ACTAATTACAAAGGTTTACGAATATCGGTAAACATTCGTGATTTTTAGGGTTGGGACAGTTGAAATGAACAATGAACACAAATGAAAATTTCAACTTTGAAAGTTTCAAACTTGAAATATTTCATTTAGTTGGAAAAGTGAAATTTTTAAAAATTTCAAATGAAATTTTCATTTCGAAAATTTCAACATTGCCTGTGAAACTTTCAGAAATTTCATTGAAAGTTTCGCAATTTACTGAAAATTTCGCATAAATTTCACATGCGGCCTCCCCTGGGACCTTTAATAATAATTTACAACAGATTCCGAATCGACCAATAAGAACGAGTTATCAAGAGTCTGGGCGTTTTTGTTCAGTTCGGCTTGGATTTGAATACACTATAAGTAATCATTGTTACTTATATGCATAAATTAATTTAAATAATTTAATTCAGTTACCAATTTAATTTGTAAATTAAATCAGACTTTAAAGTTTTTTTAAAAGTCATGATTAATTTAAACTTTTACTTTTGCTATAATTGCATCCGAAAACGGATAAAAAATGCATTTGGCTCATAAAATTTTGATGAAGTTTCTTCAATTTTTGTAAAATTTCAGTAAAATATATAAAAATAATAATAATAATATATATATATAAATATAAAACAATCAAAGTGGCACAATCTCATTAGGTTACCAAAAAGTGCTATATCTCTCTTAGTTTTAGTAATTTTAAAAATATTTTAAAAAGAAATCTCACAAAATTTGTGGTAAACATAGGTATTTACTAGTTATATTATTGGTGCAGGGGCCCACAGAGGGGTAGGAGGTAAGAGAGGCAATTTGTCATGGTCACCGAGTGGGCTTATTTCAATATTAATATATTACACTTAAAGTGATTGAAATTTATTGAAAGTTTCAATAAATTTCATGAAATTTCAGACATTTAGGAAATTTTAATAAATTTCATAAATGTCGTGAAAATTTCAAGTGAAATTTCAAGTACAAGCAAAAAGTGAAATTTTCCCAACCCTAGTGATTTTTATTATTTTTATTTCCATAAATTTAAGAAGCAGTGGACTGTTTTTTGGTTGCTACTTCACTCAGCACTCGTCGCATTATGGTTCACATTAGTTTGGAGAAAAACAATATTAGTAAAATACGATATTTACAAAGAAAATGATATAAAGGTTATTTTTGACCACAGTGAGGCGCGACGTGTTGTCATTCGATGACTTTCTCTCATACCTATAGAGGGCCATATAAGGAATTACAACCGAAAACTTGTTTAATTGCCCATATGCAGTCCCGCTGCTTCTAAACCATCGGAAAATTTTTTCAATTTAATTTTTATTTGTATTAAAATTACTTCAACAATCCCGCAAGAAAGAAGAAAATGATACTGCTTTTGACAGTTGCAGTGACATTTCTTTATGCAGTGTTATTAAAAATCTTAAAATGAGTTGTGAAAACCTACGCAAATTAAGGTTATTTCAAGATTTTAAATGGACTATAAATAAACCAAATATTTAACTACTTAGTTAGTAATATTACTTATAAGTTAAAAAGTAGGTTATTTTAGAAGTTACATTACTTTATATTAACTTCTAATTTTAACCTTTGAAACCTTTGACTTGTTATTTGTTTAGACATATTTTGGTTTAGTTTAACTTTTTGGTAAATTGATCACAAGTTTTATAAACGCCATTTTAGTTACGATTTTTATTAGGCACGAGTGTTTAATAAAAACGAGTGTCTGGAGAAGTTTATAAAACGAGTTGCATATACTTTATCTACGATTAACGCAAAGAAGAATTTGAAGACAATTCTATTTGTTAAAAATTTGTTCGAATTTTACTTTAGATAGTTGGTATCACAGTCATTGGTTTGACAGTCAATGTCAAAATCGATTCGCCATGCTGTCCTTAATTTACTTATTTACAATAAGCGGCTGTTAATGTTAAAGAAGAAAAAAAGGATTTTCTTTGGTGTTAAACAAAATTTATTGCCAGAAAAGTCTCGTGAGTTCTAGAAAAAGCATAAAAATATTATAACCAATATGCAAAATATTATGCTGTTTAAAGTATAGCCAACCTATAAAATCAAAATTTTGGGTGGGACAAAGTCATTATGAACGCAAAATAGATATTATTAACTATTATTAAACATTTTCAAAGGTTAAAATAACGTTATGTAACTTCTAAAATAACCTACTTTAACGTTATTTCACTTAGATTTTGTTTATTTTACTTAGAATGACAGTTGTTCTACTTGGGATATTTCAAGCTCCCGGGATCGCACATAATTGTTAACTTCTCGATGAACGAGCATTATTTGTGTTATTCCAGGAGAATGTAAGCGGCTGCCGGAGCGACTCCGGGGAGCCCGGAGCCGCGCTCCGGAACGTCGGTAACGGCCCGACGAACAATTGAATTACGATTTGGGAGTTGGCGGTAGCGAATGGCGAAATAGGAATCAAACAAAAGTCATGAGCGTACACCAAAATGTCATATTTGTTTATTTTTATGCAGACTGTCCCAAGATTAATAAAAACTGCTGATTCTACCTGTGTCAATTTTACTAATCGAGACAAAAACTATAAAGGATCATTTATATGTTTAGGAAGTTTTTACGCACCACAATATAGTAATAATAAAACTCAGTTTTGTAAATTCACTACACGATTCATTACTACTCAATTTGGGAAAATTACAAAACGTTTGTTGAAATTCACTAAGCATTTATTAAAAATTTGTTCAGTAACATTACTATACAGGTATTGTAATTTTTCTAAAAAAAAATACTAAATATGTTTAGTAATTTTAAAATGGTGTATTGTAATTATACTATACAATTCATTTTAACTCAGTTTAAGAAAATTACAAAATAATTTTACAATTTTACTGAACTGAAGAAAATTTGTTTCGCAATATTATAATACAAATATTGTTATTTTGTACAAAATATTTAGTAATTTACGAATACGAAAACAGCAATTTTATTAGTTTCTTCAAGAAACTTTCTTGACCCATTACTGTAAAGATAAAAAAAATTGAACCTTCACCTCGCCAGAGTTTCAACTTCAAATATCGACCGACAGCTAGACAGATAGACCTATTTTGGGTCATATCAATGTCGGGCAATTTGGTGTATTAAAACACACCAAAAACGAAAGACACCTGAGCTTATATACTGCCCACCCAAGTCAACCGAGGCGAGATGTAAGAAAATCACGTGATTGCCGCAATCGGTACATACTATGCATTTTACATAACATTATAGCAAATCAAATTACAAACAACGTTTGTAAATTAGAAACTGTCAAACTGTTTAGTAAAATTTCAATGCGTGTAGGATTTATACATATGGATTGTAACAACTTTAGTACTTTGGCTACAACATTTTGTAATTTTACTATGCAACTCCTTAGTAAAAATGTAGTAATTTTACAAACATGTTTAAAAGTGTATGCTTAATATTGGCACACCCTACCTTATACATATGTCCTCGAGGTGTCATTGTAATGAAAAAAACAAGCACAACGAAGCGCTGGGCAGTTTATCAGCGACTTTAAAATGGGCATAATTGAAAAATAAATTAATTTCCTTCGGGTTGAACCGCTTGGGAGGAACTTTTTTCAATTACGATCGCGAGCAAGGAAACACTTGCGCTTGTAGGGCCCGTTCCGAGGTACAAATTGTAATTAAGGTTTATTTTTTGAAAAAAAAAATATTAAATTTATATGGGGCGCAATCTGCTTGCTCGCAACACGAAGTTCTAGATAAGGTAACTAATCAAAATAAGGATTGTTTTTCTGGTGTTACAAGGAAATTTATCAAGGATTAAAAACGATAAAAAACACGCAAACAACTCCAGCAGTTATAATAAGTATAATTGATAATTCATATTTTTACTTTTAAGAAGTTTCAGGCACGATATTAGTCGCTAAATGTTGAAAAAACGGCTAAAAATCTTCGTTAGGTTATACACTTTCGAATGCAACGTGGTATAAGACACGAAATACAAAATGGTGGCCATATTGGTAAAAATGTATAAAGATTTCACACGTTTTTTGCCAATATGGCGCCCTAAACGACCGTCATTTTGGATTTCGTTAATATGCCAGGGTGTATTATATATTTAAATTTATATAATATACTTAGAGATGGGAAAATTCCCATTTGACGAAAATTCCCGGAAACTTTCCATCGAAAATTCCCGAAATTTTCCGAAAGTTTCAAAAAAAAAAATTTTTATTGCGAAAATATTTTTTTTATGCCAGAGTTTTTTGTGATGATGCTGAATAATCCGGCTTCATTGAGGTTATGTAACATAACTTACATTATTTATACTTCTTCTTCTGCCTTAAATTAACACACATTAAATTCTTATTCAAAGTTTCTTGGCTTTGTATCATGGCCTTAACGAAAATCAGCGGTTAAACAATTGACATTTAAATGAAAAAAACAAGGAAAGTTTCCAAGGAATGTTTCCGGTAGCTTAAAAGAAACTTTCAAAATGAAAATAAATTCCCAATTGGAAACTTTCCAAAACGGAAAGTTTCCTTAAAATGGAAACTTTCCGATTCCAATCTCTAAATTTTGGCATTAACCAATGACTGTGATACCAACTATCTAAAGTAAAATTCGACCAAATTAAATTTAAGGTATAAAATTAATTTTTTGTTTAAAAGTATTTTAAATAAATTTTAAACCCCTACATAATAAATAGACCAGACAAATAAGTGTTATAAAGTGTTTTTAATTTAGAAAAAATATTACTTATCAATTTTCCGTTAAAAATCCCTTAAAATTAAATAACCTATAAGTAATTTTCATTTTTAAAAATTACGTTAAAGAAACATAATTAAAATACTTCAGAGTTGTTAAAGCTAGACTATTTTACTTATGGAAAAAGCATTTGTTCAGTGTGCACTACTACGACTCGGAGCTCCGTATCCGTGACGTCGAAACCACACAGATTACAGCTGAAAAGCAGCATTTTTAACGTTTCCCCTTTTTCAGGTCAAAATTCACTGTGGCCCGGCCGAATTCTCGAAAAAAGAGGACCCCCTATTGGCGGAAGTGAGCACTCCTGCTCCGGCTCCGACCAACGGAAAGCCGAGTCGTTTGCTGACCTCGAAAACTTTTTCCCCCCTGCCCGAGCAGCAACTGTCGCAGTTTTTGGCGTCCATCTCCAAAACCAGGGGATTCTACGGCAACTTCGCCGATTCCATATGCCACGATGGCAGTTTTGCGGAACCCAAGGATAAGAATTGCTGGAACGGGGAAAGAATATCAGAGTAAGTCATGGTTTAGGTTATTTGTTTGATATATAAAACATGTTTTGTATTTTTAAGTCGAATTTTTATTGATTCTTTAAGATTTTTTTTATTTTTATTTAAAAATTAAAAAAATTATAAATAACATAAATTTACATGATTCTGTAAAACAAATTAATTTAATATCAGATGACTTAAGATGTGGTGGATGGCATTAGAAGTTTTAGTTGTAAAAAATTACTAAAAATTTTTCTCGAAAAAAATTTAAAAAAACTCCATAACCAGAAAATTAATTTTTCATCGGTTTTTTTCTTTCTGTTTACTCAGATGAAATTAGGACAAGTTTACAGGTTATTATTCAATTTGTGTAAATAAATCCAAAAGCACTTCCCTTAGTTAAGATATTTACAATTTGAGCACATAACCTAAAATTTGTAAGAAATGCACTGGATTCTGTTACAAAAGTTGCCAGATTTTGTTTGAATTTACCTAAAATATTTCTTTTAGAAACGTCGAAATTTTAATTTTCTTCGTGATCTTTTTGATATTTTTATCATGCCAGATTTTACCACACTTCACTCGCACAAGTGAAATCAATAAGATTATAACACAGACTGTGGATTATAAAGTTATGTTCACCAAGGAGAGCGCTGGCCCTTTCCCCCTCTTTTTAAGGAAAATAACAAAAATTTTGTTACCATTGCAAAACAATAGTAAATATTAAAAAAGTCTTTTTATAGCAATAAAATATTTTTGTTTTGTTCTTAACGTAAGCTATTAACAAAGATTTTCTAACTGAAATAAAATTAATTTGAATTACTGTAGTAATTTAAAAAAGACAAATACGTCATAGTAAAATGAACAAATTTTACTATAAAAACTGTACATTACTTTATGTAAGCGCAACGCACAAACAACTATGGATATAGAACAAAAAAATTTTAAGTTCGACAAAGATTTAATATAAATATAAAGTATTTCTTATTGCCATGACAATATAACAACTATTACTTTGTTGGACAAACATTTTTTTTATAAAAGCTCAACATTGCTGCTTCATTATAGTAAATAAGAATTTTATTAACAGTGAAAAAAGTTTATTCTGTAATCTCATTACTTTGACAAATCGTATGTTTTAGTCCCAATATACCTACAGGTATAGCACAAACAACACGTAACCGATTAGATTTAATACCCTAAATTCACAGTACTTCAAAAAAAAAATTCAAATTTTCTAATAGAGCATAATCGGCATTAATTTATTAAAGAAATGTTGACTCGAAATCCTTTAAAGTTGTTCCAAATTAAATCAAAACATTCAGTCTTTATTTGTTTAACGTCTAGCCTCTCATTTTTCGATTTTTCTGACAAACCGCAACCGCAAACACTTTTTACGTTGAACGTCGCGTCGGAAAATTTAAAATTAAAATTTTTCCCGTGGCATCTGACATAATCGTTTTATTTCACTTATTTTCGACAAATGGTTTCCATTTTGAAAGCTAAAACGCCGACTCAGTCAAGTGTCTCCTTTTTACACATTTTAGTTTATAAATAAATTGCCTGTCGCTTACATTTTTTGAAATTGAACGAATCACTGAATTTCTGCATTTTTGCCATGAAGTAGTCATATAGGTAAAACTTAAAACCTAAAAACACAAAAAAAAACAATGAATGTAGAAGTTTAGATATTTTTATTATTGGTAACTTACCAGGGCTTACCAATTACCAATTTTTTTTTAATATGTTGACCCTTTAAATTTGATTAAAACTAAAAAACCTAAATAAAAAAGTTGTACATCTTAAAATACCAATAGAAAATATAAAAAACGAATTTCTTAACTGTGGCGCCATCTGTCATTTTAAGAACAAAATGCCTGTAAACAAAAATGTTGAAAATTTCAAACTCCACATTTTTTGCTTTAACACTTTTTCTATCCAACCAACAGAAAACGCAATAAAACGATTAGAAGTACCCTCTGATTTTTCGAAAGATTAACTAAATGTTCATTTTACGAACAGTTAAAACAAAGAGGCTCATTTGCGTACATACATACCTATAAAACATTAGTGCCAATAATGTGCAAGCGCTGTCATGTTAATGCAGCAATTAACTATGGAAATTGTACGCCTACCATTTGGTGTGTTTGCACATGTACGAACTTGTATTGTAGATAGTTAGCTCACAGTTAAGTTATCGACTAAATTAGGTGGCTAATTTTATTTGTAGTTCTGATACGCGTGGAAATATGAAATTTGTGGGTAAATTGTGGCCCTTTTAGTTTCAATTTGTATACAGGTACAGTAAATTTGAGTTAAAAAGTTTAAATTTTTGACGAAAATACAACAAAAAATTGAATGAAAAACAATTATTTAGTCGATATAAACAATAAAGGGATTTAAGTATTTCATTATTGTCTGTTTTATGGTGGCGCCATCTGTCGATAACACCGTACAACACAAAATTGCCCGCATCGATGAAACTTGAAAAATCGGATAGAAGACGATAAAAAAAAGACTCGTGTATCGGCGATTTTTTTGTACACGTCAAATTTTTTTTTTATTTGGTTTTGAAACACAAAATTTAAAGATAATGCGTAGAAAGTTTCCATACTAAATATTAATGTTATTTTTTTTTATTCAAGCTTACAAATGTTCTTAAAGGGCATTTTAAAGAACTCTTACATAATCATAAGGCTGTAACTACTTTATTATTACGTCCATAAAATTTTAATACTCAAAAGTAAAAAAAAAAACAATACTACCTTATAAATTGTTTTAACGCTGAATACAATTAAACAAAATGTCTGATATTATTTAGTTTAATAAAAATATTTGGTACAACTCAATTATTTTTCAAATTTTGGCCTTTTATTTTTTTTTTAGTAAATTTGTTGCCGTTTCACGACAAAGTGACCAACAGTATTCACCGAGCATGTGCACCAAATTTTTACCTTTAAATCTAGTTTCGATTAAAGCTATGTCTTGGTGGAATCTTTCTCCATGTTCATCACTGTAATCACCCATATTATTTTTGAAAAAATCTAGAAGATTATGCAAAAAATGAATTTTTAATGACGTTAATACTCCCATATTGCCAAACGCAGAGATCATTTTTTGCACAATTTCTATATAATTTTCAGCTCGATTGTTACCAAGAAAGTTTTCAAAGACATTAACAGCAGATGTACAAGCTTCTTTTTCAACTGGGTTTACAGATTCAACTTCAACGTAGGCGATTTTTTCGCGGTGTTCATATTTATAACCAAAGCTCCTTGTTTCGTTCAGACAAAAGTAACACAATTCCGGAGAATGCTCTTTACGGGGTAACCAAATAGTAGGTATTTGGTATTTACTACGTGCATACCACTTCGGGAGCGTGCCATAAGTACGGAACGTAATTGGTTTTAAACTGTCGCTGAAATGAAAGAACTAAGGTTTTGGTTATATTACGAACATGTTTCACAGTTACATATAAACCACAAACATAACAAAATTTATTGCGATTAGGACACTCCATTTTAATTCTCAACGAACAAAACTATAAAAGGTGCAGTTTAATAAAAATCGTACTTTTATATGCGTATCATTTAGAATCTAAATTTTAGATTAACAAACCCACAGTGTATATACAAAAAAACAAAATTGTTTTTACGTTTAAACGTTGTTTTTAATCAAGAATACATAAATGCTCAAAATAATAGTTGTCATACGAATTTTTAAGATTTATTTTTTAATTTTTCCTTTAATCTTTTGAATTACCAATTTTACATATTCCCTGTACATTATATAACATTTTTCCTAATTTTTAATACCTTTTCAATAATATGGTTCACAGCAAAATTGGTATATTTTGTTTAAAAACAAAACATATTAAATGCTCGTAATTAAAAACTTTAAAGTGAAAAAAAAATTTTTTTTGACGTGTACAAAAAAATCGCCGATACACGGGTCTTTTTTTTTATCGTCTTCTATCCGATTTTTCAAGTTTCATCGATGCGGGCAATTTTGTGTTGTACGGTGTAATTATCAAAAGCTTTTAATAAGCAGCAGTATGTTTTATTAATAATTATGTCGATAAATAATCCAGTTAAATTTTTTTGTAAAATTACAATTGTTTTGCAAAACAAAGGATGATTAAATTTACAAATCAGTGTATACCAATACAAAATTATAATACAATTTGAGTAAACAAATGCACAGTATGTACCGATTGCGGCAATCACGTGATGTTCTTACATCTCGCCTCGGTTGAATTAGGTGGACAGTATATAAGCTCAGGTGTCTTTCGGTTTTGGTGTGTTCCAATACGCCAAATTGACCGACATTGATTAGACACAAAGTAGGTATATCTGTCTAGCAGTCTGTCGGTATTTGAAGTTGGTGGAACGCACTTAAAACAAAAACTCTGGCGAGGTGAAGGTTCAATTTTTTTAATCTTTACAGTAATGTGTCAAGAAAGTTTCTTGAAGAAACTAAGAAAATTGCAGTTTCTTTTTCGGAGTATAATTACATTACCATCATTCGTAAATTACTAACTATTTTTAGTGTAATTTGTTGTACAAAATAACAATATTTGTATTGTAATATTGCGAAACGAATTTTCTTCAGTTCAGTAAAATTGTAAAATATATTTTGTTATTCTCTTAAACTGAGTTGAAATGGATTGTATAGAATAATTACAATACAACAATTTAAAATTACTAAACATAGTATTTTTTTTAGCAAAATTACAATACCTGTATAGTAATGTTACTGAACAAATTTTTAATAAATGCTTAGTGAATTTCAAAATTAAAATTCACAAAAATAATTTTTCTACTGAAATATTTATTGGTCATTTTGTTTTCTATTTTAGCTACACCAAAATGGTTGTTGAATGGAACATGCAAAAATATAATCCTGAAGTTAAACCAGGGACGGACTCGCACCCAGTTGACCCTAAACTGCCCGAACTTGTCGATAAATTAAGACATGTACATAACGTAAGTGCTTTTTTTATTTCTTTTATAGCTTATATGAATTAAAACTATTTTAAGATTTGTTATAAATAAATTTTGAAATTGAATTTCCAAAATTTTATGGGTGATTCTATAAAAGTTGGGCAACTTTTGACCTCATTTTGTTTATATAATATAATCACCCTTATATTTTTCCGAAACTTAAAATTTCCAATTTTTTTTATTTTTTTAGTTGGCTGTTTCCTCATTGGGCCCCTTTGTCGAGGACTACATGCAACAAGACGGTATAGACGGCTCTGGTCAAGGTCAAGGTTCAGGACGAGAACCAGACTTTGATGACGACGAAGACGGTTACAGTAACAACGGATCAGGATCAGGAGTACATCCTGTCCCAGAAGGTAAGAAAAAGAAAATTTGCAATAAAACCCTAGACGATACAGCACATGGATGGATATTAGCCATCCACGTGCTACATACTCTAAGGTTAAAAGTGAAAACACACAAAAAACTATTTTTTTCAGATTACACTCCAATCCAAGAAAACGAAAAATTGGACATCGTGCCACGAGTCATCCAATCGGGTGCCTTCGCGGTCGCATCGTCAAACTTCGTGTTACCACCGCTAGTGTTCTGTTTAATCGCGTTTATCTACTAAGCAACCCCCGTATATACGTATATAACTTATACATACATACTTATGTATAGAGACTTGTATAAAATTGTTTGACTTTTAAAGTGAGAAGCATTAAGTGTACTGAGGGATTGCGTTTTCAAAAATCGTTAAAAAGGTCCATAATGTATAAAAAAACCATGTGGCATATCTTTTTTTCTAATTGGACAATCATTAAAATTGTGAAGCTTTAATTTTTTGATGGACCTTATATATAATAAATGGCTGTTTATATCATAGATACAGTTGGGGGAAAATGTTTTCATACTTTTCCAACACTGTACATTACAATTGTTTATACTATAAAACAGTTGACAGTGTTATGTACATAACAATCTATTTAGCTGGACTTATTGTAGAGTAAGTCCAAAGACTGTATGTTGTAATAGTTTAGATGATTAATTATTATAAAAAACCTGCTTAACTTGCCTAAATTTTACAAAAAAATCCTTCATAGTTTGCATTAAAAAATCAAAAATCCAAGGTACCTAGTGGAATGGGTCGTCTCAATACAACACGTGACGTCACATGCACTCTATGTGAAACGGTTTTTTATTATTATTAATGTTCTATGAATTGGTGTGATTTAACAATAAATATTGTATATTTTGACGATTGAAAAAACGATTAAATAAAAATATATCCTTATGTATACAAAATGTTATTTGTTGGTGGCTGCAAGAATATACAATATTTTGTATAATAAATTGTATATGATACATTCTTAGTACACAGGGTGATACACATCAAGTGTATATAAAAAAATGTGCATATTTTTCTTATTTTTTATTTTTTCTTCGTATTTTTTTTATTTAAAAAGCTACAAGGTCGGATTAATTACAAAAAAGTTGCCTAATTACAAGTGTATTAAAATGGAGTTTATAAATTTGAAAAAAAAATCAGCGGTTCTCGAATAATTTGAAAAAAATTAAAACCTGTCAAAAACAAAAATCGTTACAACTTCGATATTAATGGGAATTTTGAAAAAAAGTAAGTTTTACATGTAACATACACATTTATCAACATTTTTATCCAATTTTTTCGCTACTATATTTTGCGTCACCATTACCATCACCAACTTTGTTTATACAAAATCTAGTGGACGAAAAATTAAAAATTGTAAAAATGTACATAAATGTGTATTATTACATGCAAAACATTTTTTTTTTCAAAATACCTATAAATAACGATTTTTTATTTTGACAGGTTTTCAGTTTTTTAAATTATTCGAAAACCGAAAACTTTTTTTCTAATTTTCAAATTCCATTTTAATATACTAATAATTACGCAACTTTTCTCTTATTTAAATGACCTTGTAGCTCTTCAAACAAAAAAGATACCCATACATAGAATATATTACAAAAACTGTGGATTTTCTGTTTGGGTGATTTTTTCTACTTAATTTTAAATGCTTTAAGTCGTATTTCCCTGTGTACTGACCGATTATTTATTAAAAATTATGTATGGTTGAGAGAAAGTGTAGATATAAAAATAACCTATAGGAATATTGTATTCTTTAAATTATTTTGAGACCTATCTGTGATTGTTCATTTATTATTTAATATATTAAATTTAGGAATCCAAATTTGTTAATTGATTTAGTATTTATTCAATTCAAAAAAATACAACACGTAATAAGTAGATTATAAATATATTACGCTTTAACTACCTAATTTTTTGAAGGTGTTGTATTCGTTTAACACTATTTAAATTTTATCAGTGTACAGAAAAATTGTTTAACAAAATAGTAAAAATATATAGGCTAGTTAAATACGAAATGTTATTATAAATGTAAAACTGAAATACTTTCAATATATAAATAATACCTACGATGTGTAGATAGAGCCATATGAAACTAGTTATATAATTTAGGTTTTTATAAGTCTTGTTTTTTTACATTTAAATTTTTGTTGCTTTTTGCCATATAACTTTCATCACAATACTAATTTTGGACTTTGCATATCCTTTAAGCAATAAAGAAAAAAAATCATGAAAGAAAATTGCTCACTAACATTATTTTGTTCGTTAAAATTATATAAAACTAATTACTAGTCTTAGCTTTATGAAGAAAACGCCTTTTAATTTATATGCAACTTTTTTTAACTTTGTATCTGAGCCTATTTTGGTAGAATAAAAATATAGTTGCCTTTTTAGATGTGTTTTATTTAATTTTACTTTACCCAACTAGGAAATAATAAAAAAAATTAAAATTTACATTCTCAGGATTTATCTGAATTTGTTTAAATTTTTTTAAATACCTACCTGAAAATTGAATTTCAATATTAATAAAATAATGGGAACTTTGTGTTACCTGTTGTTTCTTAATGTGTGTGCCAGTTCTCGGCAGATTTTAAATAGTTAAAAATATTTTTTTCGTTATTTAAGGAAATTATTATTACTATCTTGTAAAGATTTTCTGTCAAAAAAAAGTAGCTATTGTGGTAGGTATATAATAATATTAAATAAGCCCCAAATACAAAAGGCACATAGCATACCAGTTCACCATAATATATTACAAGAAATAGACAATTCAACCATAGATTATAAAAGAATTCAACCATTAATTTTTAGGTTATACATTGTTATTGACGATTGTCAATTTTCCTTCCTATAAGTGGCGCCATCTATGTTAATCTTACACTTATAATTTACAGAAAACTGTTATATTTTTTGTAATTTGTAACATTTTAACGTCAAAACATGTTTATAACTATTTTTCTGTATGATTTTATTAAGTGTTAAAATGTATTCCATAAATATATTGCAAAGCCTCTAAAAATGCAAAAAATAGACACAGTGTTGCCGTTGTGGCATTTGACGTAAAGAAAAAGTTATTTCATAAATCTGTGTGATTTAAAAAAATGGTATTTATGTTAATAAAACTTAACAGTAATATTTGAGATTTAATTTTTCCGCGGTTTGCAATATAATTATTAAAATAAAAAAAATCCCAGATTTGTTGATTATGCCTTAAGTTGGCAACACTTTGGTTGTAGAAAGAGACAGCGCCAGATGACGTAGAGTGAAAACATCCATTCCGGGAGAGTGAAGAGAACACATTTGCTGAAAGGCAGTTAGAAATTAAAAGGGTGCGCCTGCTGGACGTGGTGTGTCCGAAATCGAACAGAAAAACCATACTTTCCTCTTCAATAATGTGTTTTATACTTTAACAGTGCGATTGTCGATTGTTCGGACCACAGCCGTGCCGATCGTAATGCATCTAAAGACTTTTCTAGTGTAGTATACGAGATTTTTGTGTTTTATTGTGGTGTGTTGGAAATTTTGGTGAAGCAAAATGGCGCATCCTCTGCCCCCTTCGGTGAATTGCTCGCTGAACGATATAGATTTAACTGCTCTAAAGGTGAATATGCGAAAAGCCCACAGTTTACCGCAAATACGAAAATAATTGACAATCAAATCAGCCATGTTGTAATTTAGTAAACATGTCATCTAGCTGGCTGGGTGTGATTCATAGTCTAATGCCTTTAAATCGCTTATTATTTACCCCGATTTTGTATTGCAGGACCCGGCAGGAATATTCGAGTTAATAGAAGTGGTCGGCAATGGCACATATGGACAAGTATACAAGGTAATAAAAATACCGTATGTCAAAATTTAATTTAGTTTTTCCCAGTTGTAATCCGCATAACAAAAGCAATCTATATTTACAAAACAAATAAACATAGAGTGCTCTTTATTTATCTCAACTGTCAAACTATTGTCATTAGTATAAACAGGTAAATAAAGTAATATCTTACAAACAATGCAAATGAATAGCTAGTAGTTTAGTCAGATAAATCAGCTGATAATAATTATTATTCATATAAATATCTCTGTATGACTAACTTTGAAATATCTTGGGATTTTATTATACTTTTTCGTGCGAAATCTGTGATTTCGGAGATTGACCCCACGAGATGAACCTCCCAAGGTTATTCATTCGCAAGTGACAATTTTTTGTCTGGAGTTTCATTGTCTCACAGATAAAAACCTTTCTAGGTACTCTTCTATAGTTACATATTTTGCATTCTATTTATAACATTCATGTTTTTATTGTATGTATTTATTCACCAATAAATCATGATAAATAAACTTAATAGCTTTAATAAAATATAAATTACCATAATAAATAAACGTTTTTATTTTAAAGTGCTATTTTATTTTTTGATTGAAGATTGGTGGAGTAAATTATTGCCTAAAAACAAATGCTAATCAAAATCTGCCTTGTGGACGTTGACCTTGAATGAGACCACTACTGTCTACTCTTGTGGAAAGTTATCAATACCTAGTTTGGTTAAAATATAAAAATGTTTTTATAAATAAATGCGTACCTATTTAATGGGTCATTTTCAAAATTCTTGTATATTTAGAGAAGAAAAAGTTAAAACAAAAACTTAATCTACAAACCTGTTTTTTTCAAATTTTTTTTATTTTGGGTGTTATTTAACATTTTAAATTTTTTTTAAATAAGCCCTTAAAAAATAAAAAAGAAAAAACAGTCCCCTGGGTAACAAATTTACTAACATATTAAAAAATGCTTCATTATTTTGAAAATATTTTTTTTTGCTTGTTAATTAATAATCCTTTTAAGGTTTCATTCATAATAGGATTTGTTTAAAAAAAATATTATTTATAAACAAATGTTGAGTACAAAACTAAGTAAAAGCAAAAACTATATTCTATCTCTAAACTGTCTTATATACAGAAGTATTTTTAATATATTTTCTGTATTTAAAAAATGTCCATTAATTTTTTAATGCGTATAAAAACGTTTTTTCTTGATTTTTTTTATCTGGGCCCAGCTTGTCCAATTTAACTAGCAATAAATTAATAAAAATTAGTAATATTAATTAAATAAAAATAAAATGTCAATATAAACATTGTTTTTGTCAAAAAAAAATTATAATTTTATTTGTACTGTCTGTTTTTTGATTATCAAATATCAAGAAAATTAATTAAAACATTTATTTTTTTAATAATACGAGTCATTAGAACATTTGTTCTATCATTTAAAAAATAAATAAGAATATAATAAAATTAACCAAAAAACCCTTAAAAATGGTTTATGGTTTAGATGGGCATTTTCGGGACAACTGTATGTCTATCTAATTGGGCAATAAATAAGCTAAAACAAATGAAACCAGATGTAATAACCCACTTAACCTTCTTTACATAATACCCAAGCATTTATAACTCAATAACAGGGTGTTTATGATATAAACAAACCCAGCAGGGCGTTTCTTTCTATCAGGTCACGCAAACTAACCCAAAATCGAAATACTCGGAAAAAAACACTATAGATTGATTGTTCTGTGTCGACAGCAACCACTCAACCATTTGCTTTTATCAAAGAACATCCAACCGAATCGAACCTCCACTTATCGCAGCTAAAAAAAGCTTCTGAACTTTTCCGAGATTGCTTATCGGCGCATAAAATAAATATCTAGTGGCTTATGAGATTTTGCACGTCAAGTGACATCTGTCAAGTTTTAATCGTCAGCGTGGTGACGTAACTAATTCTAAGCCCACTACACAGAAAGAAGAGTATCCGATCGAATTCCATCTCACCACTGTTTGTATACGAAAAATGTATATAAGAAGAAATTAACAAAGATAAAGATTGCAAAAGATTTCTTCTTATATACATTTTGCGTATACAAACAGTGGTGAGATGGAATTCGATGTTAATGTAGTTCAAAGAAAACTTGATTAAGCATGGTATTATTCATAGATTATATTTAGAGGCATCATTGTCAAACTTTTTCCATGGCTTTTATTTATCCGATGCTTTTATCGAACGAGACACTGAACCAAAAAGCGTTTTTACCTGAGCAGCAAACTGATTCATTCATAAAAAATGCGAGTGGGGGCTTTCGCGACGTCGGTTCGAGTTTCAAAATCGATTTTCAAGTTTCCAGACTAATAGGTAAAATTTCTTATCGGGCTCGATTCGCAAAGTTTGGTCGAGTAGAATGTTTCCATGTGGTGTGTTTAAGTATTCACAAATTTCGTTACTAAAAACTAAAATTGTCGAAACAAAATTAAAATCTTTTTCTCTGATTGTATATATTTTATTTTTTAACCTATTACCGTCTATATTTATAGTTAATAGTTGTAATAAAACAGAATAATTTGCCAATTAAAATACTGCGTAATTGAGAACGCTGGAATATTATTTATAAATATTTTTTCCATGATATAGTTACTTTTAGATTTTGTTTTTTTAAACAGACATTTAAAAAATTATGTAAATTAAGTTCCTATATGCTTAAATACAGGATTTAATTTTTATATATACAGGGTGTTTTTACCCAAACTCTTGAATATCTTTAATTTTTAAATTAGCCAATAACGCGCTATAAAAACTGTTTAATTCATGAATATTGAAAGTGCTGCTTTAAGAAAAGAGCATAAATAAGTTTTCACATGATAATTAATTTTGATAATGATCGAATACGTGTTAATTGCTTCTTCTGCACAATGCTGCCCTGGTATTTTCACCAACTATTTTCCCATGTTAACTTTTTCTGCCTTTTATCTGGGTAATTGTGTTTTGAAATTTAATTTATGTGAATATTTGTATTTTTTCAAGGTCGTTTCACAAAGGGCTTTGTTGGTGAACTTTTAATTTATCCATAAAACTAAAATACTTGGGTTGTAATATTTTTTAAAATGTCTGGTTCAAAACTAGAATTTAATTTATTATTATCCTTTGCAGACATATTTTCTGGATATACAATTCTTTTCTTAACTCGTATCACTTTATCATTTGCCATTTTCGTGTCTAGACAGTATTCCCAAACTATTGTAAAATTTAACTTGAATGCCGTTGCGAGTTTTTACAGGGGTTCTAAATAGACGTGGCCAACATTTTTCATTTATAATAATTATACACTAGGTTGTGAATCTTTTTTTTTTGTTTAAAACTTGAAAAAACAAAATTAATTTTTCATTTTTATTTCATTTGATTTAAAAATCAGACAATTTTCTAACTGATTTTATAATTATTCGATTTTTACAGTGGCAGTGACATTTCTATATGCAGTGTTATTTAATATCTAAAAATAAGTTTTTTATACTAAATTATGGTAGTCACGGTTTCCACCCTGTATAATAGATCAACAAAAATGTACCATTTAAGTTATTTAAAATCAAAATATAATACAATTAATTTCTATTCAACACAACATTAATAAAATGTATCAGAGTCTATATACTACAAAAAAAAAAACGAACTTTAGTCATATAATTATCAAGAAATTACAAATTCCACTAAATGTTTTAAAATTATAAGTATGTATTTTAATTATTACTAAGAAAATTAAATAAAATTATATGCCCAACAAATTATTCATAATTTTTCTTTTAATTAAATAAAATATTGTTATCTGTTATGATAAAAACTATATGCAGACAAATTTTTGGATGATTAATAATACCCAACCTTATCAAAATATAATATAAATATAAACGTCAAGTAAGTATTCATAAACAAAAAATTTAGAGTTATTCAATAAAATATTGCACATTTTCAATTCACCTCTAAATACATAATCTCTCAAAGTAAACAAAACGTTATTTTCCAAGGTTCTGATTATTTTTAATCCAAAATAAATAGAACAGCATGAAACGCTTCCCCGTATAACCAATAAATATTTTAAAAGTTGGATATAAATTAAGTTATACTGCCTCATTGATGGCAAATGTATGTTAATAATTTTCCTATAACCGGAAATTGCATTTGTGTGTTTATTTTTTTTGTCAAGCTCGAGGATTTTATAATTCAATAAAAACGGAAAACCCAGTGATTTTGTGACCCAATTTAACCATAAAATATTATGCATAAAAATAAAAATTTATACATTTTAGAAATATTTTAAAAAACGTCTACAAATAGTAAATATAATATAATATATATTTGATATTTTGACCGGTAATACATATTCCAAGTTGGAATTGTTACTTTATTGTTTTATAGATGTCGCCCCATATAAATATTTAATTTATATCATATTTAGATAATAATAAGTATTCGACTCTCGTCCCAGCCGTCGAGTGAATAAGTCGACGCAGCAGAGGCAGAGTAAACGTAAAACGTATAACGATAAAACCATAACCAACAAATAAACCTTCATAGTGCAAACTACTATAGTGTAAAAAAAAATACAGTGAGTACAGACTACAATACGGTCAATAATTAGTTGAGGGCCAAGCGAAAAGGAGGAGTGAAGTGACAGGTGCAGGCGAACATAGTGAAACGGTCAAAAGTCTTAAGCGTTGAGTGACAAGAAAGTGTCGAGTGACAAGTGTCAGTGCCTGAGCGGTCGCACCATCGGTCAACAGGTCGATCTCCACAGGCCAATCAAAAGAGGACATACAAGGGAGGAACAGGCCACCTGCAAATATTTGCTAAGTATTTCCAATTCTTCCGCATGACCTAACACATAATTTGCAAATTGAACTAAACAAGGCACATTGCCTAACTAAAAAAAAAAACAATAATCATCGGCATTAAATAAATAAAAGTCAATTTTCCAAGAAAAACCAAACAGCCGATCGCGGACACGCACCAAAGTTGAACAGGGCAATAAAGCTGTCAACATAACAATTCAAGTAAAACAAACCGAGACCAAATAAATTTGACACTTAAGACATAAACAGCATAAACTAAGAAAAATAAACAAAGTTAAAAAAAGCACTATAATCAAACTCCATGGAATTTGTAAACACTCGACTTCATAGTAAAAGTAAAAAAAATACCCCCCACTGGGAACTGCCTTATCGCAGCGATTGCACATCAGCTGTTTAACACGGTGATAGGTTCGTTACGCGAAACTGAAACAACAGCAGAGACTAGACAAATATTAAACAACCACTTACGTAATAACCTAGGAACGTACAGACCCTACATCGAGGACGCAATAAATGACCTAAGCAGTCGTTATGAACACATAAGTGACAAAACAGGACAAATTAATGCGTACCTAAACTTTTTCGATGAATTTCAATCGCAAATAACTCCAATAACAACCATCGAAAAAGGCGTAAGATAAATAAATAATAAACTAAATATGCAAGAAGACAAAAATAACATAAACGAGTTGAGTGTGAATAGCAGTATTGCCAGATGTAAAAGTTGAAATTAACGAATTGGGTAATAAAATTATCGAATTTTCGGAAATTAAGTTAAAATAATTGTAATAATTATGTAACAATAATTATTATAATTTAATCATAAAAAAAAAAAAGTAAAAGAGAAAGAATCGAACTTTTGGAAAATTGTAAAATTTGTAAAAGTAAAAAAAATACCCCCCACTGGGAACTGCCTTATCGCAGCGATTGCGGCCTTACGCTCGGCACGAGTGATGGGCTCCTCCGCGGGGGGGTGCAGCCTCCCGTGGCCTATACGGGGGATGGTCTACACGGCGGTAGTCGTAGTACGATTGCCGTTGTGTGGATTGTCTTCCGGGGGGGCCGCGGGGGGTTGTATTTCTTTGCGGGGGAGTTTATCATGTGTGCCGATTATCGTACCAATGGGAAAAACCATTACCAAAAGGGTAAGAGTAGCCCATTAAACACTGGGTCCACGTCACTCGTAGACAACGCAACAACATACTACAAGCCACCCTTAAACTAGATCTTAAAGACAAAAAAAATCTGTAGACCATGCTTCACATTTCATGACACGTAGCACAATACATGCACTTCTCACAAAGTAACAAGACCAGTTGGGAGCAACTAAACAACAATAAAAATAAAATAAAATAAAAAAAAAAACAACCGACACACTTTACCAAGATCAGGAACTATCCGACACGGATAATGACAATAATGAACAAGACGAAGACCTCGACTAGAAAACTACACCCCTGCAGCGTAATAACAACTCCCCAACTCCAAATAGTAATCCCAAATGTTTGGAGTAATACTAACCGACTGGTCTAGGGGGATTCCGCGTCGTACTTAGTTTTAAGTCGGCGTAATTGTCCTCCAAAAACCAACTCCCTCCCGTCCCTCATCCATACCTCACTGAGCGTATAGCATAGGCCCGGCGAACCCGGGAACGGCTATTATAACTATTCGCCTCTCGCTCTCGAGCCCCAAATAGGGGACAGTACGGAACGCAATGGACATTCGCACCCAGCAAACACGGGTGAAGCCGTGCAGTTGCTGGGGAAGAACAAAAATCGGCGTAAGTAAACTTAGGCCTGTACGAGGTTTGAGAGTCAAGAGGAAATGGGGCTGGTTATACGTCTCTTATACTCATACTCATACTCATTTAGATAATAATAAGTATTTGTCGTAGAAAATACATAATAAACTATTATGCAATAAAAATTCAGTTCGATTAATTTTATAAAGACACTCCCTTTTAGTCATTTGCATTTGAAAGATAACGTTTGTACATTATGGATTGTAATGTAATATTAAATTACATTTAACAAATTGTTCGTTATATTTTTCGAAATAATTTCTTATTACCAAGGATATTATTGCTGATAAGTGCATAGTTCAGACTTTACATCACTTTAATTAAAATTATTATTTATAACAACATATAATTGCCTTTTAGTCATGATTGTCCTGAATTTTTCCTAGGAAATTTATTATGACATTTATATGCAGAAACGATCGCTAAGATTTGTGGCGTCAATATTAGAGATGGTATTATAATACTAGTACAAATTGTCTATTGGGATGTCGCTTTATACAAATATTTAATTTAAATCATTTTTTACAAAAACTATAGTATGCAACTCGTTAATAAACTTTTCTAGGATTAATTAAATTAAATTCTTGACTAAATGGGGTAGTTAAATTTTTTCTGACCTATATTTTTTATGGTTTTATTCAAAGCGTTTTGTAATATTAAACATTTCCGTGAAATCAGAATTTCAATTGAGTTTACCGTTTTCGAGATATTTACAAAAAATATAAATTTTTATGACGTCACAAACCTCGCCATGTGACCAACATTCTAAGATTTCTATTGGTTGAAAGTTACCCTGTTGTCAAGTTGTCTTGTTAATGATTTCATTCGGTTATGTCAGAAAATACCCGAAGAGGTTATGTACAAATACTGTCACTGTCAGTTGAGTGAAAGATGGTCACCAAATTCATTAAGTACCTATCTTCCTTATTACGAGGTATCATATTACTGTTTGATATTTTAGAGTCCAAGATATATCTAAAAAAATATAAAGAACTAGGCCTACTAATGAAATGCATTTACGACAAAATATGATTATAATTATAGGTACTTACTTTATTTGTTTAAAAGCTCCAATGTTCAATGTAACCAACCATTCCACAAGATTCCTCTGTTTTGGAGTCTGTTATTAATAAATCACTTATCTAATATCAATTACAAATAACATAACAATATCATTGATATTTAATAATCTAAATTTAAAAAAAACATAACCCGAAAAAAAGAAACGTCAAAATATCAATTCTTCTTCTTCTCAACTAAAATATTATAACGTGGCGCCACCTATCGTAAGAATCTTAAACTAAACACACTGGCAACCATAGAAAAAGCTGGCAACGTTGTCAATAGCCTAGTGACGTAATTAGGAGATTTTGTTTTGTAAATATCTCGAAAACGGTAAACTCAATTGAAATTCCGACTTCACAGAAATGTTTAAAATTACAAAACGCCTTGAATAAAACCATAAAAAGTATAGGTCAGAAAAAATTTAACTACTCCATTGATACATAATATACTATTACCACGTAAAAGTTGCTTTCCAGTTCTTATTTTAATAATTTTAGAATGTTCTCACCTTAAACAAAAATATCTTTTTTTTATAAATTTTGGAACTTAAAATCCCATCTCTAGTCACGATTTATTAAAAATGTAACCAACTTCCTGTTGTTAAAAGACTGTGTGAACTCGAATCCGATCTTAGAATTGCTTTATCACATCAAGTTTTTAAGAAAATCCAACCCAAAAGTAAAAAAACGCGTTTCGTTGACATATAACCTAAAACTAATCTTCTTCTTCTTTTTAGGGCCGTCACACGAAAACCGGCCAGCTGGCCGCCATAAAGGTGATGGACGTGACGGAGGACGAGGAGGAGGAAATCAAGTTGGAAATCAACGTGCTGAAACGGTACTCCGATCACCGGAACATAGCCACGTATTACGGGGCGTTCATAAAAAAATCGCCGCCCGGCAAGGACGACCAACTGTGGCTCGTCATGGAGTACTGCGGGGCAGGTAAAGTAGACACCTGCTTTGGTTTGACGTTCGAACTGTCAGATTTGACGTTTTAAACGTCAGATTTGAGGTTGAATCTCTTTTTTTAACCAGTGACCACAAAATTTCATCCGATACTGAATATTTTTTAATAAAATTTAATCAACTATCTATTGAAAACAAGTTCCTAAAATTTCTCTAACAACTCTCTTAATTTTTCATGTTTTATACGTATTTTAAATCAAAAACTCTTTTAAGATATGTTTCTCCTATGTATAAGTTTTTTGTTATTTTGATGGGATTTTTTAACAAAAATTACAAAAGATTTTGTTGTTGATTTTTATTTTCTTTGTTTTTATTAGTAATTTTTGAAATTCCAAATAAAAAACTTCAGATTTCTAAAATTTCTCTAAAAACTCATTTAAAATATGTTTTCCTGGTTTTTTTATTATTTTGATGGGATTTTTTAACAAAAATCAAGGTTAAAGCACAATTTATTTTTGAAATGATTTATAAAAGATTTAGTTGATTTTTAGTTTATTTGTTTATATTAGTAATTTTTGAAATTCCAAATAAAAAACTGAAATTTTAACATTTATTTATTTTTTAAATGATTTATAAAAGATTTAGTTGTTGATTTTTAGTTTATTTGTTTATATTAGTAATTTTTGAAATTCCAAATAAAAAACTGAAATTTTAACATTTATTTATTTTTGACAATATTAGGTTTTATTACATAATTATTATTATTATTATAACTACGTTTTTTCTAACATATTTATTGATTGTAAAAATGAGATTTCTAAAATTTCTCTAAAAACTCTTTTAAAATATGTTTTACGTATTTTTAACTTTTTTATTATTTTGATGGGATTAAAGAAAAATCACAAAATCACAATTTATTTTTGAAATGATTTTATTGTTGATTTTTAGTTTATTTATTTTTGTTAGTAATTTTTGAAATTCCAAATAAAAAACTTTTAAATTTTACCATTTATTCATTCTTGACAATATTAGTTTTTTCTTACTTTTTTACGTTTTTTCCAACATACGTATTTAATGATTGTAAAAATGAGATTTCTAAAAACTCTTTTAAAATAAGTTTTACGTGTTTTTAAGTTTTTTATTATTTTGATGGGATTAAACATAAATCACAATTTATTTTTGAAATGTTTTGTTGTTGATTTTTAGTTTATTTGTTTTTATTAGTAATTTTTGAAATATTGACATTGGGTATTATTTTTTTTTATTACTTTTTTACGTTTTTTCTGACATACATTTTTATTGTGTAAAAATGAGATTTCTAAAATTTCTCTAAGAACTCTTTTTTCCTTGTTTTTAAGTTTTTTATTATTTTGATGGGATTAAACAAAAATCACAATTTTACCATTTATTAATTATTGACAATATTAGTTTTTTTTACTTTTTTTCTCTAAAAACTGTTAAAATATGTTTTCTTTAATTTTAAGTTTTTTATTATTTTGATGGGATTAAACATAAGTCACAGGTTAAATCACAATTTATTTTTGAAATGTTATATAAAAGATTTTAAGTTTTTTATTATTTTGATGGGATTAAACATAAATCACAGGTTAAATCACAATTTATTTTTGAAATGTTATATAAAAGATTTTGTTGTTGATTTTTAGTTTTTATTAGTAATTTTTGAACACAAAAAACTTGAGATTTCTAATATTTCTCTAAAAACTCTTTTAAAATATGTTTTTTTAATTTTTTTTTATTATTTTGATGGGATTTTCTTAACCAAAATCACAGGTTAGATAACAATTTACATATTTTTGCAATATTATATAAAAGATCTTGTTCTTGATTTTTAGTTTCTTTGTTTTTAGTAATTTTTGAAATTACTTATAAAAAACTTAAATTTTACAATTTTTTTTAACCTATTTACATATATATTCTACAAAACAGGTTTCTAAAATTTCTCTCAAAAACTCTTAAAATATTTTTCCTTATTTATTAGTTTTTTATTTTTGATAGTATGCAAAATCATGTTTTTAACATATTTAATGATTGTAAAAATCATGTTTCCAACATTTCTTCAAAAAATTTTAAAATATGTTTTTCTCATTTTTAAGTTTTTTATTATTTTTATGGGATTAAAAAAACAGGTTAGATCTCAATTTTGTTGAAAAAATTGATTGAACATTTTGATTTTTATTTTGTTTGTTAAAATATCACGGTTATTCTCAGTATTTCTTTATATGCGAGGGACAAAGACAAATAATAAAATTCGATTTGTTTCTGTGAATACAAATGAACCGAATTCAAAGCGAAATAATTGTAACGGTCGGTCGCGGGTATTTTTAGGATTTTAGTGGCTTTGAATGAACGTTTTAAAGATTTTATTTTCTATGCAACACGTGCTGGGAGAATAATTGAGTGTTTTAACCAGATGATACTAAAAAATGTTGGAAATTTGTGCGTTGAAAAAAACGTTTTAATATAATATAAATATAAATTGTAAGATGTTTGTAACTGTGTTTATTTTGATTTATGAATATAAATTATAAGATGGATTACCAATTTATATTTTTGTGGACATGATATGTAGATTTGTTTATAATGATTAATTGGTCAATTAATAAACAACTTATCAGAAACTAAATATTAATAAATATTTTTAAACTGGTTTAAGAAATATTTTTAATATTACTTCTTAATAAAAAAACAGTCCTGAGTAGTTTAAGTTATAAAATAAATATTTTTATCTTTATTTTAGGTTCTGTAACCGATTTGGTAAAATCCACCAAAGGCCAATCTCTGAAAGAAGAATGGATTGCCTATATCTCCAGGGAAATGTTAAGGGGGCTTTCCTACCTGCATTCAAACAAAGTCATACACAGGGACATTAAGGGGCAAAACGTCCTTCTGACGGACAACGCTGAAATTAAATTGGGTAAAAATTAAATTTAATATAATAAATCCTTGTGTTAACATTTTTATCTTTCAGTTGATTTCGGTGTGTCGGCTCAGCTAGATAGAACAATTGGCAGACGTAACACCTTCATTGGCACGCCATATTGGATGGCTCCGGAAGTAATAGCTTGCGACGAGAATCCGGAAGCGACATATGACAATCGTAGCGATTTGTGGTCTTTGGGAATCACAGGTAAGTGCGCAATTTAGTTTTGCAATTTTATACAAAAGTTCTTGTTTTGATTTTTAGTTTCCTTATTTTAAAGGCAAAATAAAAAAAAAACGAATAACGATTTTTTTAAACAAAAAGGTTGGATAACAATTTACGTATTTTTGCAATGTTATATAAAAGATCTTATTTAGTAAGTTCCAAATATTTTTTTTAATTTTACCATTTATTCATAAGATTTTCTTACTTTTTTATAACAAAGATTGTAAAAATTAGATTTTTAGAATGTCTATAAAAACTTTTTTAAAATTTTTTCCTTGTTTTTAAGTTTTTCATTATTTTAATAGTATTTTTTTTACCAAAAATAAGAATTCCTTTTCGAAATTTTATACAAACGATCTTGTTTTTGTTTTTTGTTTTCTATATTTTTAGTACTTTTTTGGTACTTCTTAAAAAACTCAAATTGTACAATTTATTTATTATTGACAATATTAGGGTTTTCTTAATGACGTTTTTTTAACATATTTAATAATTGTAAAAATCAAGTTTCTAAAATTTCTCTAAAAACTCTTTTAAAATATATTTTCCTTATGTTTAAGTTTTTTATTATTTTGATGGGATTTTTTAGCAAAAATCACAGGTTAGATCACAATTTACATTTTTTGCAATTTTATATAAAAGATCTTGTTCTTGAGTTTTAGTTCAGGAACAACATATAAAAACAAGGAAAACAAGAAAAACATATTTTAAAAAAGTTTTTAGAGAATTTTAGAAATTTCATCTTTACAATAATTAAATGTTAGAAAAAACGTAATTAAGTAAGAAAAACCTGAAATTTCGGAATTTCAAAAATTACTAAAAACAAAGGACTTTCACAATTTACATATTTTTGCAATGTTATATAAAAGATCTTGTTCTTGATATCTTTGTTTTTAGTAATTTTAATGGTTCTGTAAGACAGGTTTAAAAAATTTAGCTAAAAAAATATTTTACCTTTTCATTTTTTATTATTTTCATAGGATTTTATTTAACAAATTAATTTTATACAAAAGATCTTGTTCTTGATTTTTAGTACTTTTGAAAATCCTAATAAAAAACAGAATTCTACCATTTATTTATTAAGACAAAATTTCTTGAAAAACTTTTAAAATATTTTACCTTATTTATAAGTTTTTAATTTTTTTAGCATATGTATAAAATCATGTTTTTTTAAATATTTAATGATTGTAGGAATCTGGTTTTTAAAATTTCTCCAAAAACTCTTTTAAAATATGTTTTTCTCATTTTTAAGTTTTTTATTATCATCACAATTTACATATTTTTGCAATGTTACATAAAAGATCTTGATTTTGATTTTTAGTTTCTTTGTTTTTAGTAATTTTTAATATTCCAAATAAAAAACTTAAACATTTACCATTTATTCATTATTACCAATATTATGTTTTTCTTACCTAATTACTTTTTTTAACATATTTAATGATTGTAAAAATGAGATTTTTAAATTTTCCCTAAAAACTCTTTTAAAATATCTTTTTCTTATTTTTAAGTTTTTTTATTATTTTGATGGGATTATATAAAAGATCCTGTTCTTGGTTTTTAGTAGTTTTTGAAATTCCAACTAAAAAACTTTTAAATTTTACCATTTATTCATTATTGACAATATTAGGTTTTTCTTACTTAATTTCGTTTTTTTAAACATATTTAAAAATGAGACTAAAATTTCTCAACAAAATTCTTTTAAAATATGTTTTCCTTGTTTTAAAGTTTTTTATTATTTTGATGGGATTTAAAAAAATCACAGGTTAGATAAAAATTTATTTTTGCAATATTATAATAAAAGATTTTGTTGTTGATTTTTAGTTGTTTTGTTTTTAGTACAAATAAAAATTCATTATTGACAATATTAAGTTTTCCTTACTTAATTTGTCATAATTTGTTGTGTGTTTTCTACTTTTTTCTATTTTTTACTACTTTTGAAAATCCAAACAAAAAACAGAATTTTATTATTAATTTATTAATGACATTATTAGGTTTTTCTTACTGAATTTTCATGATTTTTGCAATTTTACTCAAAAAATGTCTAGTACCTACTTTTGAAAATATTTTTTTTTATATTTTACTATTTAGTCATTTTTTACATATTTTAATAAGTATTATCTACTCTGCGCGCCCAGTTTACGTGTTCAAGGGTTTTTCGAGAAAATATCCTTAAAGCCCTTTTATTTAATAATAAAAAAAAGCTCGAAAAAAACTTTTACAGGGAAATTTTTTTATGTAATTAAAAAATATCCTTTGAAAGACCGTATTTTTTTTAGTAAACCCTATAAATGTTGTACAAATCAAACGAACAGTCACGAAAATACAGGGCTTCAAAGTCGTCAAAAATGACTTTTTCAGCAAAATAATCAAAAATTATTTTTAGAAAGTTTTTTTTATTATTTATTTAAAGGGCTTTAAAAATATTTTTTGAAAAACCCGTCGAACAGGTAAACTGAGATATAAGTTGAAGTATTTCTATACAAAATTTCATAAAGATTGGTAAAGGCGTTGTAAAGTTAGAATTTTTTTACTTGTTATGCGTTAATTTTGACGGGCAGTATATTTCCATATTTTGGTAGATGTTGGATGTTTTGTTTTTGTACTTTTATGATATTTAATCATTATTTCAAGATAGATATATTTCACTGTTAATGTTATATTTTATTTTCTCTTCTAAGCTTTGGAAATGGCGGAATCTCAACCCCCACTGTGCGAGCTGCATCCAATGCGCGCCCTCTTCCTGATCCCCCGTAACCCTCCTCCGCGGCTGAAGAGCCGCAAGTGGAACAAAAAGTTCCAATCGTTCATCGAAACAGTATTAGTCAAGGATTACCACGACCGGCCCTACACCGAACAACTCCTCAAACACCCATTCATAAGGTACACCGAACTAACAAAAAATTTAACCTACACCTCGCCAAAGTTTTTCGTTTTGAATGCGTTCCACCAACTTCAAATATCGACCTATATTGGGTCTCATCAGTGTCGGGCAACTTGGTGTAGTGGAACACAATCAAAACAAATTACTCCCAGGGCTTATATGCTCGGTTGTTAAGTCAACAGAGGCGAGATGTAAGAACATCAGGTGATCCACACCGTCAAACGACGTGGCCTTTGCCTTTGGTGGAACGCATTCAAAACAAAAAACTTTGGCGAGGTGTAGGTTCAATTTTTTCTCATGAATATTACCAGTGATGGGTCAAGAAAGTTTCTTAAAGAAACTAAGAAAATTGAATGTACAACAAACTGTTTTTCAACCATTTAAAAATATTTCACACTTACAACGTCCATTGTTTTATTTCTTTTGCTGTTGTTTTTTCAGGGACCAGCCCACAGAAAGGCAAGTTAGGATACAACTGAAAGATCACATTGACAGGTGTAAAAAGCGGAAGCAAGAGAAAGAAAGGGAAGACTACAGGTTTGTTTTTATAAAAAAATAAAAACAATATTTATAAAACCTTTTTTTAGGTATTCTGGTTCGGAAAATGAGGAGGAAGAACCTCAAATCGCCGGAGAGCCTAGTAGTATTGTGCAAGCACCAGGTGGCGACACTCTTAGGAGGAATTTCCAACAAATACAAGAAGGACGCACTCTAAGTCAGGCAGTAGAACCGCCCCCAAGGTAAATTTTTTTTTTTTGTATTTTTGTTATATAAAAGATCTTGATTTTGATTTTTAGTTTCTTTGTTTTTAGTAAATTTTGAAATTCCAAATAAAAAACGTAAAAACAAAAATTTTGCTAAAAAAATATTTTACCTTTTTTTAATTTTTTATTATTTTCATAGGATTTAATTTAACAAACTAATTTTATACAAAAGAAATTGTTCTTGATTTTTAGTACTTTTAAAAATCCTAATAAAAAACAGAATTCTACCATTTATTTATTAAGACAAAATTTTTTGAAAAACTTTAAAAATATTTTACCTTATTTAAAAGTTTTTAATTTTTTTATAGCATATGTATAAAATCGTGTTTTTCTTAATATTAAATGATGTAGGAATCGGGTCTCTAAAATTTCTCCAAAAACTTTTGAAATATGTTTTTCTCATTTTTAAGTTTGTTATAATTTTAAATTTTACCATTCCAGTTTTTTAGCCATATTTAATGGTTGGAAATTAGAAATTTCTTTAAAAACTCTTTTAAAATTGGTTTTCTTTATTTTTGAGTTTTTTATTATTTTGATGGGATTTTTTTAACAAAAATCACAATTTACATATTTTTGAAATGTTACATAAAAGATCTTGATTTTGATTTTTAGTTTCTTTGTTTTTAGTAATTTTTAAAATTCTAAATTAAAAACAAAACAATGTTATGTTTTTCTTACCTAACTACTTTTTTTTAACATATTTTAAAAATGAGATTTTTAATTTTTGTGAAACTCTTTATTTTTATATTTTTTTAAGTTTTTCTATAAATTTTTTTTAAATATGTTTTCCTTATTTTTAAGTTTTTTTATTATTTTGATGGGATTTTCTTAACAAAATTAAGGTTAGTTCACAATTTACATATTTTGCAATGTTATATAAAAGATCTTGTTCTTGATTTTTAGTTTTTTTGATTTTAGTAATTTTTGAAATTACAAATAAAAAACTTTTAAATATTACCATTTATTCGTTAGGTAAAATTAATTTTGTTTAATTTTTTTGTATTTTTGTTTTGTTTATATTTTTAGAGGTGGCAAAAAGGACAAAGAAGAGATCCCTGAGCCAGGCCCACCTGCTAGACCTTCCATACCACCCAGAACCATCGTGGTACCCGAACCAGCGGCGCCACCTAGAAGGTAAGTCAATAAACATTTTTGTTTTTTAGTGGTTTCCATAAATGTTATATCATCCAAATTATAAAACCTAAATTTCTTAATTTGGTTACAGAAACATTTATATCACTCTTATATACCCATTAAAGAGCTTATTTGGGGGGTTTATGAAGGTTATTGGTACTTTTTTAGTAACACTATAAAACCCAAGTTTTATAACTAGAGATAAAAGGAATATTAAAGTCCAAAGTAATTTTTATTTTAAACTTGTACACAATACTTTGAAAAACAGCAGGGGACATCAAAATACCAAAACATAAATATTTTTTATACTATTAAAAACCTTGTTAAACTCTTATATAATTTGACAACTCTTATATAACCTTTATATAATTTATCGTTACCATAAGTAGTAAAGACTGTTTATTGGGAAGTCAAAATTAAAAAAAAAATTAAAATTTTAATTTTTTTTATTTTTAGACCCCTGCCACCCCCTCCAGACAACAATTTCGCCGCCTCCAGATCTCAACAACAACAGCAACAACAGAGGCATTCACAATCACAAAACATGTTTAAACCTATGGTAAGATAGTAATTTTTAACTTTAAACTTTTTTTAGATAACTCTCAATCTATGTGTGTGTTAATTATAATTTTTTCTTTAGAAATAGATTAGTTTTTATATGTTATTAACAACAATAGTAAAATTCGTGTCTATTTAATAAGTACAAGTCAAAATTCATTGGTTAAGCTTTTCTATTAATATTTTGTAGCACTGCTTTCCTCTAATTTAGCCGTTTCTTTTTTTATTTCATGTCCATGTTTATCACACATCTTTCACCATAGGGTCCTGCACGCAAGCCTGAGGTAGGTTCACAATATAACCAAAAAAAAAACAATTTATACACTAAAAATCATACATTTTACTCTCTTTGATCAATTTTAGTAGTTTTTCGTTAAATATCAAGTTGGCTGACATTGACAGTTCTAGGTTATGTTTTTGAACACAACTGTCAAAAATTGAACTTTTAAACATGGGGTCAATTTGTAAAAAACAAGTTATAGAATGTCAAATCATAGAAATATTAAAATTTGAGATAAACATGTTGAAAATGCATTTTATACTATAAACATTTTTGTGTTTTGTCAAAAAACAAACAATTAAATATTCAAAATATAACCAAAAAACAATAAATACGTTTATTTTTTGTTATATTTTATCATTAAAAATTATTTATTCTACTCTCTGTATATAAATATCAAGTTGGCTTTTATTTGACAGTTCTAGGTTATGTTTTTGAACACAACTGTCAAAAACTTAACTTTAAAGTTGAAGTCTAGGAATGAAATTTGTCAAAAACCAGTTATAGAATGTCAAATCATAAAAATATTAAAATTTAAGACAAATATTTCGAGAATGCATTTTATACTATTAAAAACAAGCAATTGAATATTCACAATGTACCAAAAAAACAATTTATAAGTTTCAAAACGTTCATTATTTATTTTTAGTTATCTTTTTTAATTGAAAATCATTTATTGTACTTTCTAAGATCATTTTAGTTGTTTTTTGTGAAATTTTAAGTGTGGTTTCATTTGACAGTTCTAGGTTATGTTTTTGAACACAACTGTCAAAAACGTAACTTTAAACATACTGTCTAGGGATGAAATTTGTCAAAAACGAGTTATAGAATGTCAAATCATAAAAATATTAAAATTTAAGACAAATATGTCGAGAATGCATTTAATACTATTAAAAACAAACAATTGAATATTCACAATATACCAAAAAAACAAATTATACGTTTCAAAACATTCATTATTTATTTTTAGTTATCTTTTTTAATTAAAAATCATTTATTGTACTTTCTTAGATCATTTTTAGTTGTTTTTTTGTAAAATTTTAAGTGTGGTTTCATTTGACAGTTCTAGGTTAGGTTTTTGAACACAACTGTCAAAAACTTTACTTTAAACATGATGTCTTGGGATGACATTTGTCAAGAAAGAGTTTTAGTTTAGTTTTAATCATAAAAATATTAAAATTTAAGACAAAAATGTTGAGAGTATTAACATTTTAATGTTTTGTTAAAAAACAAACAATTTAATATTCACAATATACCAAAAAAACAATTTATACGTTTGAAAACGTTTATTCTAAATTTTTTCTTATCTCATATCATTAAAACTATTTTATTCTAAGTTCCCAAATAATTTTTAGTTGTTTTTTATGAAATATCAAGTTGACTTTCATTTGACAGTTCTAGGTTATGTTTTTGAACACAACTGTCAAAAACTTAACTTATGGTGTCTAGGGATGACATTTGTCAAAAACGAGTTATAGAATGTCAAATCATAAAAATATTAAAATTTAATACAAAAATGTTAAGAATGCATTTTATACCATTAAAAAAACAATTGAATATTCACAATATACCAAAAAAAACAATTTATAAGTTTCAAAACGTTCATTATTTATTTTTAGTTATCTTTTTTAATTGAAAATCATATTGAATTGTACTTTCTTAGATAATTTTTAGTTATTTTTTGTGAAATCTTAAGTGTGGTTTCATTTGACAGTTCTAGGTTATGTTTTTGAACACAACTGTCAAAAACTTCACTTTAAACATGGTTTTTCAAGATGACAGTTGTCAAAAACGAGTTTTAGAATGTCAAATCATAAAAATATTAAAATTTAATACAAAAATGTTGAGAGTGCATTTAAGACTATTAACATTTTAATGTTTTGTTAAAAAACAAACAATTTAATTTTAATACGTTTAATACGTTTCAAACGTTCTATATTTTTTGTTATCTTATATCATTAAAAATCATTTATTCTACTTTCTCAGTTTATTTTTAGTTGTTCTATATGAAATATCAATTTGGCATTTATTTGATAGTTCTAGGTTATTTTTTGAACACAACTGTCAAAAACTTAACTTTTAAATTTGGTGTCTAAGGATGACATTTGTCAAAAACGAATTATAGAATTTCAAACATGTTAAAAATGTATTTTATACTTTTAACATTTTTGTGTTTTCCTAAAAACAAAAAATTAAATATTCACAATATACCAATAAAACAATTTATAAATTGTATAAATACGTTTGAAAACGTTTATTTTTTATTTTTTGTTATCTTATATAATTACAAATAATTTATTCTAATGTCTCAGATCATTTTAAGTCGTTTTGTATGAAATATCAAGTTGGCCGACATTTGACATGTCTAGGTTATGCTTTTGAACACAACTTTCAAAAACTTAACATTTAGGTATAGCGATGACATTTGTCAAAAACGAGTTATACAATGTCAAATCAGTAAAATATTAAAATTTAAGACAACAATGTTGACAATGCATTTTATTCTATTAACATTTTTGTGTTTTGTTAAAAAACAAACAATTAAATATTCACGATAGAATAAAAAAAACAATGAATACTTTTGAAAACGCTTATTCTTTATTTCTTGTCATCTTATATAATAAAAACTTATTTATTCTAATCTTTCAAATCATTTTTAGTTTTTTGTGAAATATCAAGTTGGCTGATATTTGTCAGTTCTAGGTTATTTCATTGAACACAACTGTCAAAAACTTAACTTTAAACATAGTGTCTAGGGATGACATTTGTCAAAAACGAGTTACAGAATGTCAAATCATAAAAATATTAAAATTTATTGTGTTTTGTTAAAAAAACAAACAATGAAATATAAAATGTTTATTCTTTATTTTTTGTTATCTTATATCATTAAAAATCATTTATTTTACTTTCTTAGACCATTTTTAGTTTTTGGCTTTCATTTGGCAGTTCTAGAATGTCAAAAATACATTTTAAAATGTTAAAATCTTATTTAACAATGGCAGAACACATGTTAAAATTGTGACTTGCACAGCAAGACTTTACTTGACAAGCAGTGGCTTTAAAAACTTTCTGGCATCTTGGAGAGTAAAAAAATCACAAAAACTCAAATATCTCTCTCAATTTAGGAGTTGGACGCGCTAGCCGCCCACCTAAACGAATTGGGCATACAGCCGGAAGCGCCGCCTAGGAACAACCGCAACAACAAGCAGTCGCAGTCGGCGGTGAACAACAACGTTTCCACCCCCAGCTCGGCCAGCAACCATTCGACCCCGAACCAGGCCAACAGCGGAAACAACATCGACAGTCTGGTCGACAGCGAGAGCGATTCCGAGCCGGAAGACAACGGGAGAGTGAGGAACGACGGCACGCTACTGGCCAGCGACCCCCCCAAGCCACTGTAAGTCCGACTTAGAGTTTTAAAGTCGAATTTAGGGATTGCAGTTGCTAAATACATTATCCAGCAATCCAGCAAATAATTAATTTTCCAAATATTAGTCTACGTTGACAGCGTTGCCGCTTTGCTACACCCCTTTCTACACCGCACTTTTCGCTCTCGCTTGATAAAGTTTCATGACTAAATTTTAATTTTAATTTATTTATAAACATTACATTACTGTACTTACATAAAAAAAAACACAAATAATAATTGAGGGGCTTGGAAGTAAAACGGTTCATAAATAAATAAATAAATAAATAAATAATTTTATTCAGCAGCATAATTTTTGTTTTTTTCAAGTGCACTTTTTTAAATAAATGGTCTAAGTGCAGAATATCACACCTAAAGAATATTCTAACTTAGTGGTAAAATTATATTAGTACATTTTACATTCTCTGGCGCCATTTCTTATCGTCTTTAAAAACCTGTCAAAATATTTTAAAATATATCTTTGGTAAAACGATTTAAGTGCATCTTTTACTGCTAAACATAGGCTATTATCTATGCTGCTAAAGCCTTGACAAGTATTTTAAAACAGACCATAGCATTGAGCCAAAAAAATCTAATTTAGATCAACCCGAACCAAGACCAGCTAATTCAGATGAAGAAAAAGTTGTATTATATAATACTTTTTGTTATAAAACTTACCCAAATTTAAAAAAATAAAGTTTTGTTCTAGTACAGTAATTGCACTTAAATCATTTTACCACTAAATTTTGTCTTACATGCATGAGGATTCAAGTACATTTTTGTAAAAAAAATTAACAAAAAAGCGAAATTAAAAAAATTCCTTTTTCTTTATAATCCTTTTTTGTCTTTAAACAAAACTAAAATATTTACACAGTTTTTTAAACTCTTTTCTAGAATTTTAAAATTGAAGTTAACTTTAAAGCCATTTATCTCAGAACTAACAAAAATGCACTTAAACCCTTTTACTTCTAGGCCCCTCAATTATTATAAAAAATAATAAAAATAATTATTTTATAATCTTTACATTAATTTTGTTCAAGGTTTTATGGCACGCCGTTTTAGCATTTATTAGATAATAGTTCGAACATTTTTTAACAAAAATTTACAAAGTTAAATTTTAAACTTAAAACAATTAATTGATAGTCAAAAAATATTTTAAATGAAAACTAAAATTGTAATTTTAACCTTGTATTCTACAAAATTATTGGTTTAAATTTGTAAAGAGTCTTTTAAATGATAGTTGATAAATTTGTAATACAAAAATGTTAAATTTTAAAGTGCTAATTTTTGGATTAAAAGTTTATTGAATATCAATTAAATAATAATAATATCTTTATTAGCCAGAATGCTATACAGAAAACATATAATATTATAAATATATAAAAAACATAAAATAACACAGAAAATAAATAAAATCATATAAACTTAAGACAATACGTATACATTATGACAATTTAAAATATATTATCACTATAGTGATAATATATGAGATCTAATACAATTTTTAAAAGTTGTGATATCACTACAAATGACTCTTGGGAAATTTATTTTTATTTATATTTTATTTTTAACAAATTTAAATTGATACATTTTTACACAAATTTAACTTTTTGAACTGTTTTTGGTAAGAAATGTTTTCCATGTGTTTTTATTTTAAATGTCTTTAACAATTTAATCTTAATAATTTTGCAAAAATTGATGAAATAATATTGTTTAATACAGAAGTGAACTGTTAGTTCATAAATTTTAACTTTCAATACATGATAGTTGAAAATATTTTAAATTTATAAATGTAACCCTAAAATTTTTAGTTGGGAAAATTTTAAACCAATAAAATTTTAAATTAAAAAAATATTTAATAAATGTTAAAACGGCGTGCCATAAGCTTTTGAAGTAAAAATCAGTTTAAAAAAGGATAAATGTACTAAAAATTTAAATATACGTACTAGTGAAATATTTTTTTTCATAACAGTTTTTGAGTCCTGTTAAAATAATATTATTATTATTTATTTATTTAGGTTTACATATTACTTATAGTAATTTACTTTAGTATAGCTAGTTCATCAGTTTTTTATAAAAAAAAACCTATATTATACACAGAGTTTAAAAATTAACAAAACAAAAATTGGTAAAATTAATTAATTAAAATTAAAAAAAAAATTAATTATCAATATCAATAAATTAAATTGATTAATTTAATTGCTGTCGAATAAAAATTTTATTTCATTTATTTTTTATTTTCTATATATTGATACATGTTTTAGGTTTGTTATAAAAATAATAATAAAAGTTTTAAGTTTTAAAAATATTAAAAACAAAATTTTAAACATTTTTTAAATTTTCTTTCAAAAATTTATAAATTTCTGGATCCAGCTGGATTGCAATCCCTAATCGCTTCAGTCTTAATTCTTATAAAATATTACTAACCAATGTATTCCTCCTCCCCCATTTACTTATCAACACCCTTCCCGCAAAATATTATTTACGTTATAATTTACAAAACCCGAAATATTTTTCGTTTTTTTTTTGTTTTTTTTTTCTTCTGTTAGTCCCGAATTTGCTTACAGGGCCGGCCTGGGCGCGGTGCCCGAGAGCTCCGCGGGCGTATCTAGTCCGGGGGCGACGGGGGGCTCCGGTTCTTCCTCCGGAAGCGCCCCCAACCGCCCCTTGCCCCCCACCCCCGACGACGACGAATCGCAAGGCGACAAAACGCTCGTGCTGAGAAAGGTAAGGATTTTACTGTTGCCGGGAGAAATGCTTGCTATTTGTGGCGTTGTCGTATCCAGGGGAATTTTGGCGGGTTAGGTTGGCAATGGAAGGTATCTAAAACGTTTTTTAGTTATTTTGGTGTTTCTATATTGGACAAACTGTAAAAATGTCTTTAAAACCACAATCCACACAACAAGGTCTGTTCTATCTCATGCTAAAAATACTAAAAATCACTGCAACCCTGCACAGAGTTTAACGGGGGCCATTTTTGTTGTTTACAATTCTTGTGCTTTGGGTTTGTGCTGTTTAATAATTGTTTTAAACGTTGGGTTTCTTACAGAGACACTTGTAAGCCTCAAATAAGGACTTTAAGTGCTAAGGACAACCATTTTACTCCTCTTTTATAAATATACCTTATTCTATCAGGGCTGTCAAATGACAATTTGAAGTTTAATTTGTGGGTTATAATTTAACCTTAAAATTGACATTTGACAGTTTTATGACAGCCCTGATAGAATAAAGTTTATTTTTTACAATAGAGGAGTAAAATAGTTGTTCTTAGCACTTTAAGGCCTCTTTTAAGGCTTACTATGAAAAACACAACGTTTAAAACGATTATTAATCTGTATAAACAGAGCACAAAAATTGTAAACAACAAAAATGGCCGCCGTTAAACTGCGCAGTGTTGTATTTTTAGTACGAAATAGAACAGACCTTGTTGTGTGGATTGTGTTAAAAACTAAAAAAACATTTCAGTAAATGTTTTTAAGTATCTATCCATTGCTGCCAAATTTATGTAAATATCTTATGTTTAAAATGACAGCAGTTGTCGGCCAGTCTGTCAAAAAATGTCGAGGATATAGACGAGGCAACGCTGCTGAAAGATTGGGATTTCGATAAGTTTTTCCCGAGCAAAATGGCGAACGGACAGCAACCTAAAAGTAGCACGCCGAAATCGAAAATCGAAGAGAAAGGGCACAGAAGGATGGAGAGCGACTCGAAAATATCGAACCCGTTTTTCCGCGGGTTCCGACGGGAGAACTCCGACTTTTTCCCGATGAGCTCGCGGCACTCCGCGATTTTCATCGACCAAAAGGCCCGAAGCTCCGGCATTTTTAACAGGCGCGGCTCCGACGCGGGCGTAAACAAGAAGGGCGAGCCCGTCTTGATGGACTACGTGAAGAGAACGCAATCGCCGACCAAAGGCGTCGTAAATAGCGAGGCGAAGAGCAAAAACTTGTTCAAAGAGAGCTTCATGCGGCCGCGCAGGGAAAAAACCGAGTCGGACATCGTGCTGCGCAATTCGGAGGCGCGCAGAAGCATCCGCGAGACTCTGGAGGCGCGCAGGAAAGACATGGAGAATCGCTTTACCCGCGAAATCGAGTCGATACGCAGGCGCAGCGCGCGCCCGTCAGATGGCAGCACAATGAATCTGTCCACCGGGACTAGCTCTTCCAATGAAGAGGGATACGTTTTCACGCAGGTAATTTTTAGTTCTATTTTGGTTTGTTTTTCGGGTGCTTTTTATCATTAATATTACATTTGGGGCGTTACATACCAAATCTTTTTCTACCCCATCAAAAACATTTTTCAGAATATTTTTATCCAAACAAAAATAATACTTTAAAATATGACTTTTTAATTTTGTTTTTAAAGCAATTTTCAGAAAAATAAAGAAATAAATATCTAACAACGGGAATAATGAACTCAATATTCACGTTTTTAGACATCAGTGATTGGCCAATTTCAATATTCACTGTGATTTGAACCATTTAACCATTTAAAATTGGTAAAAACTAAGGTTTAACCACTTCACAGATGTGTATTTAATTATATACTTACTAGTATTACACTCGAGATATGCGCAGTCTGTTCTCAAATTTTCAGTGGCGTTTTTTCTTTTCTATTTTTTTTTCAATTAAAAAAATATAACTCGGCCCATTTCTCATAATACCACTTTGGATTTTTTGACGATGTAGAGAGAATCTTAAAGTTAAAAAAAATAAACGAATTGAAAGTGTTAATCATCGTAAAAATTTCAATATTTTTCAAAAAATTAAGAAAATAAATTGAAGATTGTTCTATATATTTTTGGATTATGTACATTTAAAAACAGAAAATAAAAAAGTTTTTATACAGTGGCTGTAGCAATACAGGAAATAAAATTATTTAAAACTTTTCCTTTAGGGAAGTGTTAAAAAAAACATAAAACGAATTCCATCACAAATTATTCACTTAAAAAATATTCATTTCAATTGAAAAAAAATTAAAAACAGAAAAAACGCCACTTTTTTCAGAAAATGTCAAAGTTTCTGATACAAAAAAGGACAAAAAATTAAAAATAACAATCATCGAGAAATTTTAGTTTTTTTCGAAAATTAAAAAAATCGTCTTTCAAAATTTTTGTATTTTAAGTAATTTTCAGCAAAATTAAGAGAAAAAATATTGAAACCTATCTTTAACGTTTTTTTTTCAATTTTCGGGAAAAAAAGAAAATTTATCGTTGATTTTCATTTTTAATTTTTTTTTGTCCCTTTCTATTGCATAAAATAGTTTTTGTTTCGTGAATAATGGTAAACATTATAAATTCCCTGCCTAACAACGGGAATAATGAACACATTATTCACGTTGTTAGGCATCAGTGATTGGCCAATTTCAATATTCACTGTGATTTGAACCAATCAGGTTTTAAATTGGGAGAAGTCGACTATAATAACATTTAAAATTTGTAAAAAGTTAGGTTAACCATTTGACAGATTAAAAAGGACAAAAAATTAAAAATAACAATCATCGAGAAATTTTCGTTTTTTTCGAAAATTAAAAAAATCGTCTTTCAAAATTTTTGTATTTTAACTAATTTTTAGCAAAATAAAGAGAAAAAATATTGAAACCTATCTTTAAGTTTTTTTTTCAATTTTCTGGAAAAAAGAAAATTTATCGTTGATTTTCATTTTTAATTTTTTTTGTCCATTTCTATTGCATAAAATAGTTTTTGTTTCTTGAATAATGGTAAACATTATAAATTCCCTGCCTTACAACGGGAATAATGAAGGCATTATTCACGTTGTTAGGCATCAGTGATTGGTCAATTTCAACATTCACTGTGATTTGAACCAATCAGGCTTTAAATTGTGAGAAGGCGACTATAATAACATTTAAAAATGGTATAAAGTTAGGTTAACCATTTGACAGATGTCAGATTTTATTTAATTATTTTTGAAAATTATTTAATAATATATATAATAATATATTTAAGTATTACACTCCAGATTATGCGCATTGTCTCTTGTATAATAATATACGGTTTCTATTAGAAACTTTGACATTTTCTGTAAAGTTTGAAAAAAAAATAGAAGATAGTTCCGAAAATTATGTACATTTAAAATCAAAGAAATTAAAAAATAATGTTTATACAATAGCTATAAATAAATATTATTACATTATTTAATAAACTATGTTTTTTTATGTAATTAAACAAAAACATAAAACGAATTCCATCACAAATTAACCACTTAAAAAGCCTGTTGTTTGTCCAAAAATAAACCAAATAACATTTTTTTTTTCATTTTCTTTGTTTTCAATGTATTTAAATCAATGATTATTGTTTTAACTGAGTTTCTCTCTGCTTCCTCAAAAATTTCAGAAAATGTCAAAAGTTTCTAATAAAAAAAAATTAAAAATGACATTCTTCGAAAAATTTGTCTGAATTATTTTAGCCCATATTTGTCCCTAAAATTTAAGTTTTAAAAAAGTTATAGATATTTGAAAAATGTTTTTGATACAGTTACAATTTGGTATGAAAACGCCTCCTTTGTATTTTTGTTTTATTAAGCGAATTAATATTTTAATGCTTTATAGGTTCATTAATACACATCATTTAGATAAAAATAATTTTTTAAAGTTTTTTTAGTTTGTCAAAATTTATTTGTTTTAGTACTTATGGTGTTGGTACCTACTACATATTGCAATATTGAATATTATCATTGAACTATTTAGTGTAGAATCTAGTTTTAGACATATTAGATTCATATAAAACATTGTATTGTAAATCATATAAAACCAAGGCAGATCTTGTAACAACAACAACATACAAAAAAAGCTACCCCTACTAAAAAAATGCATGACATTAAAAAAACTAAAATCGACATTTTCCTATTTCTTTTTTATTAACTTTTTGTTGCTTAACTAACCATCGACTGTCGTGGATTAATAAAATAATACAACCTCATTTTTACTGACTTAAAAACAGAAGAACAAATCAGGATACCTCAGACAGCAGAGCATGATTGATGATTTCCAAATAAAAAAGACGATCTATTCGCATGGATACAAGTCAAATAAATAAACAAGACTGGCTGCGACTGCTGCCATCTATAATCTAAATAGTGCATTGAGTATTACTGCTAATTTCATTTGTGTTCCATCTTGTGTGTGTTTGTGTGTTTTTTAGTTTTAGGTTAATTTTAGGCTACTATTTATTGTTTTAAAGTGTGTTCAAACGACTAAATTTTGTGTAACAAATTAATATGCTTGGTTTATTAAAATTGTTTGTTATAAGAGTTTAAAAGGGTAATACAGTGTTCTGTATTTTGGGTGTAAACGGTCTTAAAGTGTTCTGCTCATGCGTAGAACGTTTTATGTCAAACATTATATTATACAAGGTGTATATTTCCCTTTTACTCTTAAAAAATTAATCAGCGATTTGTTTACGGGACAATTTATCAACCAGGTGTATTTTTTAATGTTGTTTTCTTTTAGAACGGACGAAGTGGTGAGCATACAAGGCAAAGTAGCGTTCTACCTGATCTTTTGAGTCAAGCGAGTGGTAGCCCTGGCACGCCATCTGCCAGGGAAAAATCTTCTAGTGAGGAGGTTCGTATTTCGCTTCGGAATATACAGATTATTTATAATGAAAAAAATGCCGTGCTTTTTCAGTCCCTTAATAATGTTTATGTACAAAGGGTTTTTTGTTTGTTTGTTGGTATGAATGGTTTAAGGGGGTATTTTACTGTTAAATGTTTTAAAAAATGTGAATAATAATGGACAAAATAAAACTTTAATTATTTACCTTTTTTGTAATTACAGTAATTTATCCTCCTAAAACAAAATACAGTGCCCCCCGCAATTTTTAATTATTTGTGTCCCTAACTTGCATTTGCAAACATTAACCAAATTATCTCAGTTTTTTTATAAAAAAAAATCATATTTTAAAGTTGAATTCTTCGACTGCGCCATATTAAATAATAGTAGTAATAAGTAGATTTAAATGTGTTCGTAACTAATTTGTTTTTTAATGTCTTTCTCTTTGGTTTTTGCCTTAACGACTGGCGTCCATTACAACGTTAAAAATAACTGTAAGTATAATACGTATTACGTTCGTTGTCTCTTTTTTAATTTTTTTTAATAATTTTTATTTAATTTTAATTTTCGTAGAATGTATATGGTAAAAGTAATACTACTCAAGCATTTACCAAAACATAATTGATTAGTTTAGTTTTTTACTTGTAATTAGTTTAGGTATTATGTTTTGGTAAATTTGGTGATCATTTGGATACATTTATCATAATCATAACCCATTTACTAAGGCCTAAATAATTATTATAAATAAGTATTTGTTAGATACAGGGTGGCCCAAAATAAACTTTATGGTTTAAAAAATAAATCATTTAAGGGGTTACATACAGTTAGAATTTTCAAAACATCGAATTTTTTTTTATTTTATTTTCTTAATGTACATATATTTAAGAATACACACAGAAAATTTCATATCGTTCCGGTGAATATTTTCAAAGTTACACGCAAATTTGAAAAGGCGTTTCAGAGTGCTTGGAAGTACAAGGCCGGAGAGGCAGCGACTACCCTTTTATGCACCTGCCTTGTAAATGCTCCCTTCTAATGTATTTAGATGTGTAAATCAACAGTGTGAACAGGGTGTATTATATTGGCCTGTAATAGACGACTCCATGTAATTTAAAAAATAAAAAATTGTATTCCATGTAAACTGCATTCCAAACTTTAAACGCGTTTTTCTCTGAATGGTGTTTTCAAAGTCGGTGACCAACATTACTCGAAAACGGCTAAACCGATTAGTCTCAAATTTTAACACGAGCTTCTTAAATATATTTTTTAGTAATTAATCGAAGATTTTTTCTCTCCGATAAATATTTTTGTTTTTATAAACAATTTAAGGCCGAAATTTCGGTGAAAAATCGATTTTTTTTTTTGAGAAACCGCCATTTTGTCAAAAAAATTTATTTTGCTTATTCCTTCGATTAATTACTAGATTAAACATTACTTTAACGAAATCTGTTTGGTTTTTTAAATTCAGATGATCCAGTTCAGAGTTAGAGTGGTCACCGCAAAACGTCTTTTTTGAGAGGAGCATCCGGAGATCAGCTGTAGCTCTTTTCCAAATAAATATTTTTACTAGTACTAAGTCTTAAAATATAGTTAAAAGATACCATAATATGTGTATAAATTTTTGGATCAATAAATTTAAAAGTTTTCTCAGAAAAACTTCTGAAAAATTCACTTTTTTTCGGCCTTCTAACTGTATATAACCCCTTAAAATTTTGAAAAGTTTGATAATTTTGATTTTTTTTAATTTTTGAAAATGCGAATTTGTCCTACCATTGTTTAGTTTTATTCGACCCTGAGAATTTTTCCGAATTTATTACCTTAATTTTAAATTTTGTTTACCATTTTTTAAATTTATCGAATGGTATGAATTTGTCCTACCATTTTTAAAATTTTTGCACTGTAAATTTCTCCTTACATTTTTTAATTTTTTTCCACTGAGAATTTTCCCATTATATTTTAATTTTATCACTGTGCGAATTTTCCCTGCAATTTTTTAATTTTGAAATACTTTTTTTCTTCCATTTTTAAAATCATCAAACAGTGAGAATTTGTCCTACCATTTTTAAAATTTATGGCACTGTAAATTTCTCCTACCATTTTTTACATTTTTTCCACTGCAAATTTTCCCATTATATTTTAAGTTTATCTATCTCACTGTGAGAATTTTTCCTGCATTTTTTTATTTTAGAATTACTTTGCGAATTTTTTATCCCATTTTTTAAATTTATCGAATGGTTTGAATTTGTCCTACCATTTTTTAAGTTTATGCCACTGTGTAAATTTCTCCTACCATTTTTTAATTTTTTTCCATTGTGCGAATTTTCCCATTATATTTTAATTTTATCTTACTGCGAATTTTTCCTGCAATTTTTTAATTTTTATACATAATATGTACTTACATACATGTATGTATATGCGAATTTTTTCTCCAATTTTTAAAATTATAAAACGGTGAGTTTGTCCTACCATTTTTAAAATGTATGTCACTGTGTAAATTTCTCCTACCATTTTTAAAAAAAATTCCACTGAGATTTTTCTCCACATTTTTTTAATTTTGAAATACTTTGCGAATTAAAATTATCAAACGGTAAGAATTTGTCCTACCATTTTTAAAATTTATGCCACTGTAAATTTTTCCTACCATTTTTTACATTTTTTCCACTGCGAATTTTCCCATTATATTTCAATTTTATATCACTGCGAATTTTTCCTGCAATTTTTTTATTTTGAAATACTTTGCGAATTAATTTTGAAAAACACTGCAAATGTGTTATACCATTTTTAAAATGCGTGTTTTAAATTATCCAATAACTTTAAATAACTTTTTCAGTAAATCATTTTAAAATCTTTAATATTTATTTTTTGGTGCACCCTGTATATTACTTGGGCCGTTTTTATATATTTGTTGTTGGTTTCATAGGACTAACGAGAAAGACTAATCGTCATTTTCATTATAATCCAACTAACCATTTCATTAATATTTTATGTTGTTAAGTTTGCTTGCTTGCTGCTTGAAATTTTTTTATTTAAAACAACATTGTGTATATTTTATTTATAAATGTTTTCTTTTATTTTGTGATTCACTCGCACGTTGAGTTGTTTGTAAATATATCAGTTTTTGTTGGACAATTGCCTAAAAATTGAACGAATCTTATTTTTAGTCCGCAATTTATTTATTTAAAGTGGCTCTACATAAGCAATTTGATTTTTTATGATAAAGTTCCTTAAATTATGTTGTCAGTAAGTTTTTAGTGTAAAATAGATCGTTTGTTTAATTGTAGTACACTGCCGTGCTTAATGAAAACGCCGTAACCAACAATTTCGCGATTTTTGTTTTACGGCATTTTCTACTAGAACAATTCATCCTGTGTCTATCCCCGGTACTCAAAAAACCGTATATATATAGATACGGTTTTTTGAGTACCGGGGATAGACGCAGGATGAATTGTTCTAGTAGAAAATGCCGTAAAACAAAAATCGCAAAATTGTTGGTTACGGCGTTTTCATTAAGCACGGCAGTACATTGTTTACTAATTATATTAATTTCGAGAAATTAATTGTTAAAAATGCATGTCATACGTTTCTATTTAATTATCTAATATGATAATAATCTAACTAACTGTTGTTAATTTTCAGCCCCACATTTTCCCTCGCGAACACGCCACCCCCATTTTGCACGCTAATGCTCTCGCTTTGCAACAGAAGCAGCGTTCGTTCCTGGCATTCGGATTCGGCGCCAGTTCGCAGCCGTCGCGACGCGAGTCTCACGTCAACGTGAACGTGACGCCGACGTCGCACGACATCACCTCGGACACCCCTGAAATCAGGAAGTACAAGAAGCGGTTCAACAGCGAGATCCTATGCGCCGCCTTGTGGGGTAAGTTCGAAGTAACTTTGCAATTAATTTCTAAATGAATAATTTTTCAGGCGTGAACCTTTTAATCGGCACGGAACACGGGCTAATGCTTTTAGACAGGAGCGGTCAAGGTAAGGTGTATCAGTTGATATCGAGGAGGCGGTTCCAGCAAATGGAGGTGCTCGAAGGGCAAAACATCCTGGTTACGATTTCCGGAAAGAAAAATAGGGTCCGAGTGTACTACCTAAGCTGGCTGAAGAGCAAAATTTTAAGGACTGACGGTGTCAGCGACGTAAGTAAAATGTGGATTATTTAAAAAGTTGTGGAGGGAGAAAGTTAAAATTTAAACTTGATACTGCTAATATTATTTTTTAACTATATTCCAAATTTTATTAATTTACCACTAATATTTTAAAAGATATATGCAAAAATGTGTCAACGAAAAATTGGTTTAATGAGAACTTTGAAAATTGTAAATATCTCAAAAACTGTGATGTATAGAGTATTGAAATTTTTACACATTATCCATAATGGTAATATTCAACTTTCCACCAAATTTCTATTTTCTAGTTTTAATTCTTTTAAATTTATATGCAAAAATGTGACAAATTTTAAATGTACATTTTTTCGTTCATTGTATAAAATTGTGGATTATTTCAACAGTTTTAAAAATGGAATGTTTAAATTTAAACTTGATATTGCCAATTTAACTATAGTTAAAATTTGCAATATATATATTGCAAATTTAATTGATTTAGCACTAATATTTTAAAAGTTATATGCAAAAATGTGTTAACAACAAATTTGCTTGATAAGAACTTCAAAAATTGTAAATATCTCGAAAACAGTAGTGTATAGAGTATTGGAATTTTTACTCATTAATCCTAATTATAATATTCAACTTTTCACCAAATTTCTACTTTCTAGCTATAATACTTTTAAATTTACATGCAAGAATGTGTCATATTTAAAATGTACATTTTTTTCTTCATTATCTAAAATGTGGATTATTTCAAAAGTTTTGAACATGGAATGTTTAAATTTAAACTTGATATTGCCAATATTATTCTTTAACTGCATTACAAATTTTATTGATTTAGCACTAATATTTTAAAAGTTATATGCAAAAATGTGTTAACAACAAATTTGTTTGATGAGAACTTCAAAAATTGTAAATATCTCGAAAACAGTACTGTATAGAGTATTGAAATTTTTACATATTATTCTTAATGATAATATTCAACTTTCCACCAAAGTTCTACTTTCTAGCTATAATACTTTTAAATTTATAAGCAAGAATGTGCCAAATTTGAAATGTACATTTATCCTTCATTATCTAAAATTGTGGATTATTTCAACAGTTTTGAAGATGGAATGTTCAAATTTAAACTTAGTATTACCAATATTATTATTTAATTGTATTAAAATTTTTATTAATTTGGCACTTATATTTTAAAAGTTATATGCAAAAATGTGTTAACAACAAATTTGTTCATAAGAACTTCAAAAATTGTAAATATCTCAAAAACAGTAGTGTATAGAATATTGAAATTTTTACACATTATTCTTAATGGTAATATTTAACTTTCCACCAAATTTCTACTTTCTAGCTATAATACTTTTAAATTTATATGCAAGAATGTGTCAAATTTAAAATGTACATTTTTTCTTCATTATCTAAAATTGTGGATTATTTTAAAGTTTTGAAGATGGAATGTTTAAATTTAAACTTAATATCGACAATATTATTTTATTGATTTCGCACTATATAAAAAAAATTGTAACAGTAGTGTATAGAATATAGTAATTTTTACAGTTTTGAAAATGGAATGTTAAAATTTAAACTTGATATTGCTAATATTATTGTTTAACTGTATTACAAATTTTATTAATTTAGCACTAATATTTTAAAAGTTATATCAAAAATGAGTATTGAAAATTTTACACATTATTCTTAATGATAATATTTAACTTTCCACCAAATTTCTAATTTCTAGCTATAATACTTTCAAAGTTATATGCAAAAATGTTTAAACGAAAAATTGGTTTGTGTAAATTTTGAAAATTGTAAATATCTCAAAAACAGTAGTGTATAGAATTTTGAAATTTAACACAATATTCTTAATGATATTATTCGACTTTCTACCAAATTTCTACTCTCTAGCTCTAATACTTTCAAAGTTATACGCAAAAATGTGTCAATATCGTCTTTTCCATTAATTCTCTTTAGCAAGTGGAACGTAGAAACGGCTGGATCAACGTGGGCGATCTTCAGGGCGCGGTTCACTTCAAAATCGTGAAATACGAACGCATCAAGTTCCTGGTGATAGCGCTGAAAGACAGCATCGAGATATACGCGTGGGCGCCGAAGCCCTACCACAAGTTCATGGCCTTCAAGTCCTTCGGCGAACTGACGTTCAGGCCGCTGCTGGTGGACCTCACCGTGGAAGAGGGCACCAGGTTGAAGGTGATCTGCGGAAGCTCCGACGGCTTCCACGCCGTAGACCTGGACTCCGCCAACGTCTACGACATCTACAAGCCTAAACATGTGAGTGTTATAGGGTTGGGAAAATTTCACTTTTTGCTTGTACTTGAAATTTCACTTGAAATTTTCACGACATTTATGAAATTTATTAAAATTTCCTAAATGTCTGAAATTTCATGAAATTTATGAAATTTATTGAAACTTTCAATAAATTTCAATCACTTTAAGTGTAATATATTAATATTGAAATAAGCCCACTCGTTCACCATGGCAAATTGCCTCTCTTACCTCCTACCCCTCTGTGGGCCCCTGCACCAATAATATAAATAGTAAATACCTATGTTTACCACAAATTTCTTGAGATTTCCTTTTAAAATATTTTTAAAATTACTAAAACTAAGAGAGATATAGCACTTTTTGGTAAGCTAATGAGGTTGTGCCACTTTCATTGTTTTATATTTATTTATTATTTTTAAATATTTTACTGAAATTTTACGAAAATTGAAGAAACTTCATCAAAATTTTATGAGCCAAAGGCATTTCTTATGCGTTTTCCGATGCAATTATAGCAAAAGTAAAAGTTTAAATTAATCATGACTTTTAAAAAAATTTTAAAGTCTGATTTAATTTACAAATTACAAATTGGTAACTGAATTAAATTATTTAAATTAATTTATGCATATAAGTAACAATAATTACTTATAGTGTATTCAAATCCAAGCCGAACTAAACAAAAACGCCCAGACGCTTGATAACCCGTTCTTATTGGTCGATTCGGAATCTGTTGTAAATTATTATTAAAGGTCCCAGGGGAGGCCGCATGTGAAATTTATGCGAAATTTTCAGTAAATTGCGAAACTTTCAATGAAATTTCTGAAAGTTTCTCAGGCAATGTTGAAATTTTCGAATTGAAAAATTTCATTTGAAATTTTTAAAAATTTCACTTTTCCAACTAAATGAAATATTTCAAGTTTGAAACTTTCAAAGTTGAAATTTTCATTTGAAAATTTCAACTGTCCCAACCCTAGTTGTAACAACAGTTGGGCGCGTGTTTTTCGAGGGAGTTGATGATTTTTTTTTCGTTTCAGATACAAGGGGGTATAAGTCCGCATTGTATAGTTGCGTTGCCTAATACCAACGGTATGCAGCTGTTACTTTGCTACGACAATGAGGGGGTTTACGTGAATACCTACGGGCGTATAGCCAAGAATATGCTTCTACAAGTAAGTGAAAATATTTTTTTTTATTTATATCCAATTATTGCATTTTTTAATATACTTGAAAAGGAAATATCTCAGTAAATAGGCATTTTTATTTAAATAAAATTTCCAATGGAAATTTGATTTGAATTTTTTTTACATTGTTTGAATATTTTTTTTTGTTTTGCCTCTAAAAACTTTAAATTTTAGTATAGTTTATTTTGGTGAAAAGTATTTATTTATAAACAACCCAAATTTATCAGGGCTGCATTTAACAAAATATGTACATTTTAAGTAAAAATATAAAATTTGATATTTTTTGCTATTAATTTTAAACTTGTTTTTAATGAACTAATATCAACTTTTGAAAGTATACTTACAGTATTGGGCATAATTATTGCAACAACTTTGAATCTCTGTATCTTTGTTACTGTAGATAGAAGTTGAAAATAAAAATTTTTCGCGAAAATCGAAGAAGACACATTTTTATAAACACGATTTAAACTTTAAAACTCAAAAATCTTGACTTAAAACGCTTCAAATATTTTCAATATATTTTTTTTCGAAAAGTACATTTAAAACGAAAATTTTATATAGAATGAACATTTTGATTTGGACCATTTTTTAAGAAGTTATGAGCGAAAAACAAAAAAAAGCAGTTTTTTTGAAAATTTGATGTCTTTTGAACCCCTGATCAAAAAAATCTCAAAATTTACTCAGAAAGCTCTTCTTGGGAGTACTAAAAAATATTAAAAAATTGGAGTTGTGCTAAAAAATTTCTTTTTTAAAAAGTTTAAAAAATAAATAATTTTAGGTTCTAGTTTATTAAATTATTTTTAAAATGATACATCAGAACCTAAATTTGTCTTAAAAAGCAACAAAATATACATAAAAAACAAAATCCATGTAATAACTCCTAGAATTCTACAAAATTATATACCTTGTTGTTTATCAAAGAAAAGGATTTTTAATTTTCTTTTAAATAATAGCTAAAATAGTTAACAATCTAAAGAATGTTTTGTTGTATTTTGCTACTTACTTCTACTATGAGATTTTTGAGTATCCACATTACAATTATTGTTAGTTATTAACTAAACGGTTAACATTTTTTTTAAATATAAATATAACATCATTTGACTTTGGCTTAGTTTTTAGCCAAATCTATTAAAGCGTTTTTTTAAATTAAATTAAAAGTGTGGTGAAATTTCTATTTGTGTATATACCTCAGATAAATACAAGTAGTAATTTTACCTCACTTTTAATTTTATTCAAAAAACTTGAGCAATTTGGTTAAAAAGCTAGTCAATGTAACTTATTTTTACAAGAATAGTGATATTTATTTATATTTTTGTAAAAAATAATTATTTATTTTTTAAGTATAGTGTAGAGTTGTTTTTATTTAATTACAGAAATTCATTTGCATTCTTTTACAAAAAACTTCCTAAAAAAAATTTGTAATTTAGCCTATTTACTGAGATATTTTAAAGTTTCAAGTAAAAATCACTAATATTTGTACCTTCTTTGCAGTGGGGCGAGATGCCCACATCAGTGGCGTACATCGGCACCGGGCAGATAATGGGCTGGGGCAACAAGGCAATAGAAATCCGTTCGGTGGAATCGGGCCACCTGGACGGCGTGTTTATGCACAAGAAGGCGCAACGCCTCAAGTTCCTCTGCGAGCGCAACGACAAGGTCTTCTTTTCGAGCGCGAAGAGCGGCTCGAACTGTCAAATTTACTTTATGACACTCAACAAGCCGGGCATGGCCAACTGGTAAAGCGGCGCGCACGCGCACCAAGCACTGCCCGCTGGTTACAGTCCCCTGGCAATTTTTCGGACTGGCTCGCGTATTTACTTTAATTTTTGGGGGTTTGTGGTTTAGTCGATATCTTCTCGCAAAAATACATTTTTAAACTGCAAAAGTGTTTTTGTTTTAATGGAATTGCGTTAAAAATGCGTATCAGGACGATATTTTGGGATGAAATAATATAGAATAAAAAATAGTGATGGAAAATTGAAAATATCTCGAAAACAGTACTGTATAGAATGTTGAAATTTTAACACATTATTCTTAATGATATCATTCAACTTTCTACCAAATTGGTACGTTCTAGCTATAATGCTTTCAAAGTTATACGCAAAAATGTGTCAATATCAACGTTTTTTCTTCATTTTCTAAAATTGTGGATTATTTCCAAGTGTTGCAGATGGAATGTTAAAATTTACACTGTTAATATTGTTCTTCAACTATATTCCAAATTTTGTTAATTTAGCACTAACATTTTAAAAGTTATATGCAAAAATGTGTCAACGAAAAATTGGTTTGTGTGAATTTTGAAAATTGTAAATATCTCAAAAACAGTAGGGTATGGAATGTTGAAATTTTAACGCCTTATTCTTAATGACATTATTCAACTTTCTACCAAATTGGTACTTTCTAGCTATAATACTTTCAAAGTTATACGCAAAAATGTGTCAATATCAACTTTTTCCTTCATTTTCTAAAATTGTGGAGTATTTTAAGTTTTGAAGATGGAATGTGAAAAATTACAATAAAAATATTATTCTTTAACTATATTCCAAATTTTATTAATTTAGCACTAATATTTTAAAAGTTATATGCAAAAATGTGTCATAAAAAATTGGTTTGTGTGAATTTTGAAAATTGTAAATATCTCAAAAACAGTAATGTATAGAATGTTGAAATTTTAAGAAATTTTTATTAATGACATCAATCAACTTTCTACCAAATTGGTACCTTCTAGCTATAATACTTTCCAAGTTATATGCAAAAATGTGTCATTATCAACTTTTTCCTTCATTTTCTAAAATTGTGGATTATTTCAAGTTTTAAAGATTATATGTTAAAATATAAAATTTCCACTGCTAATATTCCAAATTTTATTAATTTAGCACTAATATTTAAAAAGTTATATGCAAAAATGTGGCAACAAAAAATTGGTTTGTGTGAATTTTGAAAATTGTAAATATCTCAAAAACAGTTGTGTATAGAATGTTGAAATTTTAACAAATTATTCCTAATGACATCATTCAACTTTCTACCAAATTGGTACGTTCTAGCTATCATGCTTTCAAAGTAATACGCAAAAATGTGTCAATATCAACTTTTTCCTTCATTTTAGAAAATTGTGGAGTATTTTAAGTTTTGAATATGGAATGTTAAAATTTACACTAAAAATATTATTCTTGAACTATATTCAAAATTTTATTAATTTAGCACTTATATTTTAAAAGTTATATGCAAAAATGTGTCAACAAAAATTTGGTTTGTGTGAAATTTAAAAATTGTAAATATCTCAAAAACGATAATGAATAAAATGATAAAATTTTAATAAAATATTCTTAATGTTATCATTCAACTTTTAACCAAATTTCTAATTTCTAGCTATAATACTTATACGCAAAAATGTGTTAATATCAAAATTTTGCGACTTATTCGGCTCATTTTTGCAATAAAACTTTGATTACACCATGGTTGTAATCAAATTTTTTTTGTGATAAATTCAATTTTATCGATCTTAAAGTTTTTTTAACGCGATTTCATTAATCACTTCTGTAGTTCAGTTTTGTGAGAGGGTATTGATTATTTTACAAATTTACAAAATTAAAGAAAGTCCAATAAATTGGCCAGGGGCTGTATATATATATATATATATATATATATATAAATATACATATATACCTATTATAAGCGCCATCTATAGTTGTACAGTTAAATTAAATATAAAAATACGATTAACTAATAAACAACAGCTGGAAAATTTGGACCCTCTATTTTTAGGTTTAGTGAACAATTCAGTGAGTTTCCTTTAAACTTTTCATTGGATTATTATCATTATTTATTATTTTGTAGGGTAGCTTTTTTATATATTCGTAAAAAAAGTACAATATTATTTTACAAACTGATTGTTCTCGGCTTCGAAAAAATAGAAGGGGAGCTCTGTACGGTAGAAACACGTCGTGTAGGTTTTAAACTGGGAGAATGGTTATTATTATTACAGTACAATTACATTGATCAAAAGTTTTAAGGAAATATTCAACTTTTAAACAGAAAAAAGAATGGTGCGGTAAGTATCTTTTTGCAGAAAAACACAAATTTGTAACTTTTGGTCAAAAAGTTAAAATTTTATTTTAATCTGTTTAAGAGTGGAGCATTTTCTTGTTGTCCTTGCTGGAATCAAACCTATGTTTAATTTATTAGTACTTAATTAATTAAAATCATCATCTTAGAGTTCTTTTTGTACATTTTACCGAAAACTGACAATTTTAAATAAAGTGAATTTTATTTAAATTATTGACAGCCCTTAGAAACTCCACTTTGATTCCAACAAGACAAAAATGTACAATTTAGCAATAAACCGATTTTTTTTTGTAACCCTATTTGTGTTTAGTCTGTGTATGTTTTTGTATAAATTTATTTGGAGAACGCGCATTTAAAAAAATCATTGGTGCCAACCAAGTGTTAGTGAAATGATAAAATGCTCACTAAACTATAGATAAGTAATATTATTGGTATGTCTGTGACTTGTCTTTTTGGACGAGTTACCGACATCGTTTTTTGTACATACAAAATTTATAATGCAAGTAGTAATACCAGCACAGTAAAATTAATAAAGAAAACCAGTCTCTATTTGTTCTTAATTTTTCCCATAGTTATTTTATAAAATTTGCACATATACATGTTTATTAAGTTATGCATTGTATAGTTGATTTATTAACCATTTTTCGGTTACTAAATGAACTATACAACACAAACTAGTTATATTTAGTTTTTTTACTATAGTTTTGCTTATATAAAGACTGTTGATGTAATTTTTTAAATATTATTTCGAAAACAAACTTCTATAAATATTATCATTTAATAAAATAAATGTTATGGAACACAAATCACCCCTACTTATAAAAGTCACTCAAACCAAGTTGTCTATATAAAAAATAAACTGTTGTTGTGATATAAATATAAACACTGATACTGCTGGGTGTTTTGTGTTGCTGCAGGTGAGGTAAAATAAATTGGAAATGTTTATCCACTGTATATACTGGATTTTTTATATAACTTAAAGAGTGGATAAGTGTTTTTCATCCCCGCGCATTTCTATGTGTATGTCAGCGCGATACTTTGCATATAATGCATGTCTTTTTTATTTGTAAGTCATTCTATACCTACTTAATCGTTTTTTTGTTTATATTTTCCAAAGAGATGGTATTAGTGTGATTTTTAATTATAGAAATAATTATTCAAATATCATTTTATTATTATTATTAATTAAAGAATTTAAAAAGTATATACTTATTATATTATTTGTTTTTTATTTTAGTTTTGACCCTATTTTTTTATTTTATTATCCTTAACCTGAATCCTATGTGAAAACACATGATTTACAAAAAAATTGTTAAAATAACAGCCAAGTGAAAATTAAATATTTTTTATCAAGATTTTGGATTCCTATTTAGATGGGCTATTTATCTAAGAAAACACAAAATATTATTATTAATATTATTATTATTATACGCAAAAATTTGTCAATATCAACTTTTTTCTTAAAATAATCCACAATTTTAGAAAATTAAAGTTTTAAAGATAAAATGTTAAAATTTACACTGCTAATATGATTCTTCAACTTTATTCCAAATGTTATTAATTTAGCTGTATTATTCTAAAAGTTATATACAAAAATGTGTCTAAACTTTGAAAATTATAAATGTCTCAAAAACATTATTAAAATTATTAACACATTATTCTTAATGAGATCCTTCAACTTCTACATTTTAGCTATAATACTTTCAATGTTACCCGCAAAAATGTGTCAATATCAACTTTTTCCTTTCATTTTCTAAAATTGTGGATTATTTCAAGTTTCAAAGATGGAATGTTAAAATTTACACTGCTATTATGATTCTTTAACTATATTCCAAATGTTATTAATTTAGCTGTATTATTTTAAAAGTTATATGCAAAAATGTTTCAACAAAAAATTGGTTAGTGTGAATTTTGTAAATTGTAATATTTTAAAAATAGTAGTTTTAAAATTTTAACACATTAATGATATCATTCAACTTTCTACCAAATTTCTACTTTCTAGTTATACGCAAAAATGTGTATCAACTTTTTTGGATTATTTCAATTTTTGAAGATGGAATTTTATAATGTAATAATATTATTATTTAACTAAACTGATCGAAAAAAGTTAAGCATATTTTTGAACAAAGTTGAAATCAAACTGGATACCGACTAATATAATACCTAAAATGCGTTTTTTCGACTTCGTTCTTTTTTGTCTAAGATTCTTTCATTTTTACGTTTTTATTACCAAATTTCTACTTTCTAGTTATACGCAAAAATGTGTATCAACTTTTTTGGATTATTTCAATTTTTGAAGATGGAATTTTATAATGTAATAATATTATTATTTAACTAAACTGATCGAAAAAAGTTAAGCATATATATATTTTTGAACAAAGTTGAAATCAAACTGGATACCGACTAATATAATACCTAAAATGCGTTTTTTCGACTTCGTTCTTTTTTGTCCAAGATTCTTTCATTTTTACGTTTTTATTACCAAATATTAAAATAGGCGAAGAGGTGGTATTGATTGCACTTCTTCATTTAACGATATTGGTGTGATTTTTATTTTAATATCCTATACCTGAATCCTATATGAAAACAAATAATTTACTAAAAAATCACAGCCTAGTGAAAATTAAATATTAACGAATAACTATACTGAATAGTAGAGGTGGGTCGTTATTTAGATAACGTTATTTTGGAACGTTATTCATCAAGAACAGAACGGAACGTTACTGGAACTAAAATAACGCGTTACCAGTTATTTTTTATGTAGGAGTTAGGAGTTCCTATAACTCATATCGTTCCGGTGTACAACATCGTTATTAATAACGATGGAACGGCATAACTTAAGTTATGGTATAATTATACCGTTCCATCGTTCCGTTGTATAACATCGTTATTAATAACGATGTTGTTATTAATAACAATGTTGTTATTAATAACGATGTTGTACAACGGAACGATGGAACGGTATAAGTTATCTAACTTAATTATAAAAAATTAATTAACGGTATTAGTTAACTTAATTATGTCCATATGTATAATAAGTTTAAACTGTATAATGTCTTTTGCTTGAGTCACTTTGTTATTGACTGGATTTAGATTGAAATATAACAATTGTTATATTGCCTTAAGGCACATACTAATATCAAACTGTAATGTTTTGAGACAAATAGGTACTACAAGAAAACTAAATCTCAACTCTGAGGGTTATTTAGTAACTAATTAAAAAAACTAATCTGTTATGTCTAGGTATCTCAAGCTTTGTTTCTTTTCACGGAATTCACCCACATTTGGGTGTAATTTACTGACTATGGTGTAATTTGGCTGTTATTTTAAATAAACTGTGACAGTTTAAGAAATATATGTCATTCCATATTAAAAAGTGATATACATAATATATTAGAACCACAGACCTACAAACAAGTGTTTGTAGGTCTGTGATTAGAACGGTTATAGGTATTCTGCAATAGGAGTAGAAAAATATAATTATTTACCTACTTAATTGTCGGTAGAATTATACACAATTTCTTTGGTATACTATAATAAAAATAATCTAATACTTAATATAAATAATAACTAATAACATAAAAATTAAATAGTAACTAATAAGAAACTTAATAAGAAATTCTTAATTCGTTGTAGCAGCAGGAACGAGAAAGATAACGAATAACGCAAAAAACTATACCTACCATCAATCATATAATCCTAACTAAACTTGTTCATTAAAATGTGACGGTAACGTTACTAATAACGTTATTTTGGAACGTTATTACATTGGAACGATAACGAGTAACGCGTTCCTAAAAATTACTCGTTATTCCCAGCTCTACTGAATAGTGATGGGTCGCACATGTGCGAGTCGTACATAATGTACGACACTTTTGTGTGTGCGGAGCTGGTACGACTCTTTTTAAATGTGCTACCAGCACATAGCACCCAGAGATACAAAAAGGCACCTTCATCATATGTGGCACGGTGCGCCGAAACAGCTCTTTATCTAACCTATGGCCATTGACTAAGGAACACTTCTTTACTCAACGCTCTTTAGTAAAGAATCTTTACGTCTGTGGCTTTCTTGGGGCGGGGTCGGTTGGGTTGTGTTGTTGGGTTTGGGTTGACTTCGAAGCGGGCGGACTCGGGACGTTGGTTAAGGAAAAAAGATCTGCTTACCGTCCTAAGATTGCGTCATTGGATGACGTCACTCTGTTAACGGGAGCGCAATAGAGAACCGTCTGACGGGACTCTAGATTACAATTCGCTGCGGTGAGATGGAATACATTTCGGATTTTAACGCCTCGTCAGAGAAATAGAGTGGCTCTCTGCTGTAGCTTTGACTCTATGATTCAGCACAGAACACATAGATGGCACTACAATAGGTTACAAGTTGTAGAGAAATGTATCTGATGTCCATAGATGGCAACACAGTCTATATTATAATTATATTAAAATAAAATTGTCACTTATCAAAAAAGGGTTTAAGTTAAAATTGTATTTATCGACTTTAATAATAAACATAAAAAACATAAAACTAGATATTACTTTAATTAAAAATCCAAAACCGACAGTTGGATACGACACGGACAGTGTGCTGAGCTGTGCAACGTGCGAGATTCTCAATTTTAATCATTTTCCCCCACCCCGCACAAATGTACGACACGCACAGTGCCGTACACTGTAGTGTGCTGTGCAACGTGTGCTAGCACACAAGAATGTGCGGGTTGGACCCATCACTAATACTGAACGGCTTTATATCAAGGCATAAAAAATCTATAAATTATGTTTATATTGTTAAACACCGGGACAGCGCGTACGCAGTCCCGACTACCAAAAATTATGCGCCCGAGTTATCCGCATTAGGGATAATCGCAAGGGTCAGCCCGACCGTAGTGCAATGGACAGGCCTCGCCTCGGAGGAACCGCCTTATTGATCAAGGTTGACCTCTACGCCAGGTAAGTATGCTTATTCCAGCCCTGCCTCTCCCTTATATTACCCGAACAGTCGTTCACAGCGGTGAGATGCATGACAAGCATGCGCGAATCGTAGGTTTGTCTCGTATATTTTATCAGTGTTGCCATGTTATTCCTTACAAAATTTTACATTTAATGTAAGGAATTATTCCTTAGGAATAACATGGCAATGTGGCAACACTGATCATGACTAAAATATACGAGTAAATTAAAGTAAATAACGTAAATTTTGCTCTATAATTCTATATTTTCCTTTGGAAACTCGAAAGCTGGACGTTTTGGGAATTTCATTTTAATGTTTGGCAAGTTGCCAATGGCAACATTGCACATCAATAAGAGTTGCATTAAAAGGATTTCCTGACTTAAAAAAAAATGATCTCTTTGGTATGTTGTATACAACTCGTAATAGTAGGGGAGCCCAAGAGGGGATTTTGGGATTTACTAAAGCGCGGCAGATTAAAGTACAGGGAAGTACCTAGTACCCCATTAAATACCTCCACCAAGTATTAGCCCCGTATATGTGGCCGCGCGTCAAGGATAAAGGATCAGATTAGTAAAAAAAAATTGATCATCTGAAATTCTCGAGCGCGTCAGATTAAGGTAGGGTAAGTTAGTTATATGCTAAAAAGTGTATATTCCACTAATCTGACAATTTTCGATTGACGATAAGAAGTAGGTGGGTTACAATTTGTAACTTACAAACTTGTAAAAAAAAAACGTCATCTCGACTTTCTCGAGCGTGGCTAAATTTTTTTTTATTTTGAAGGCAATAATTCAACGTTCACGAATAATATATAATCTGACGATTTCCGTAAGCCGAAGTAAGGAAAAATAATAGATAAAGTTTAATGCGTGCAGGTACGTGATGCCAGTATTCCCCTTCCCGCGTTTCTATTCCTCTCTCACTCTTTCTCTATCTATGACTCTCTCACTCCGTCCCCACTTTGGGTTCTGTTGCCATGACGCCATGACAGCTGATTGCGCAGATGGTTTTGTTTACAACGTATTTGTAACGCCTGAAATATTTTGCGATTTTGATGTTTATTATGTGAATTAAAATTTAAAAAAAAGTTACTATGAGTGACATTAATGTAAAGTGTGTGTTTTGTGGTGAAACTAATTTACAAAAAACTGTCAAATTTACGTTAGATACATTACAAAAATGCATAAATATATTAGAATATCGTCGGAGTAAACCGGTTCTCCGAAAATCTCGTACAACAAATCGAGCCAGAAGAGGAAGATGATTCTACCGACGAAGATGATGATTGAAAAAAAATTCTCAAAAAAATTTATATTTTTCATACTTATTTTCTCATAAATAAAAGTTTTGTACTTTAAAGAATATATACTGTTTTATTTGCATGCTATTTTTTCAGCTCTTTAATTTGTTAAGTTAAAAGATTTGAAAAAATAAAAAAAAATTCTTTCCATTGTCAGATTAGGCGAATCCCTCCAGATAATCGTCAGATTATGAGACAGCACGTTTAGGGTATATAAATGAACCATATATATCTTAATCTGACGCGCTCGAGTATTTCAAAATGGCGATTTTTTTTGCACATTCTAATAATGGTCGCGAGTTTGGGTCACATCCAAATCGTCAGATTATTACATAAGAGCCTTCTTTTGAGTTCACTTAACATCATCCCCTTTGAAAATCTGACGCGCTCGATTAAATTTTTTTTTTTTTCGTTTTCAACCCTTACGTACGACCACCCCCATCATGGAAACAATCAGATTAACATACGTATGTTTTCAAAAATACGTAGGACATGGATGCTATTAATATCTGACGCGCTCGAGTATGTCCATGCAACTGTTTTTTTTCACATTTTTGAAAATTTATAGCCGCTTCCCCCACCGATGAAAGTTTATATATTATATGACATTTTTTTCTTTTTATCATCTAAGCTTCGCAATCCAATAGGTCTCTTTGACGCTCGAGTAAATCCCAATTTAGCACCCTGGGCTCCCCTACTATAATTAATCCCAAAAATTGGTTACGCCAGATTTTGGGACAATTTCGTGGATTTAGGATGGGTATAATTTGTTTAATTATTTAAATATGGGCCGATCCCGGCGGTACTGCAATACCGGGCCAACCCGCGACGGGAGTGGAGCAAGCCCCTAACTCCCGTCAATTTCCAAAAATCAGTTTAATATACTGGCACCGCATGCGGTGCGTATCAGATATTAAGCTGATAAGAACAGATACTACACTTTGATCTTAGCCATAGGCCGAGAAGCGATAACGAAAACATATTCCACCTCATGTTTTAAGCAAATGTTTTACCCTAGCACAAGCGAGAAAGAAATCTAAAAGTGACGGCGCCATCTAGGAACGCCGTGACGACAAATGTTAACGCAGGGTTATTGACGCAGTATAGGAAAGCACTCACAATTTTTTTACACGAAAATTAAAAAAGCGGTATTTGGCAAGATTATTTCCCCATGTTTTCTGTTTTTGTATGTATATTATACATTGTATAATATGGGTAATATCTAATTTTAAAAATATACACAAGTTGTGTATACATTGTAAAATTGCGGTGTTATGTATATAAACTAGGTAGTGTATGCTTTTACGTAAAAAATTAGTAAAAGTGCATTTTTACTATGTAGTAAATGCGTACATTTGCTAAATTTCCAGCATATTTTAAACATTTGGTTTGCTTATTTACAAACTTGTTATCTGGGTTGCATACCTTCAACCTTTTATAAATATATTTAAATTCTTCAAACAAAGCGTGCTTTGGAAAAAGTTAAACGAAATTAAATAATTTGACGTAAGAAACAGTTTTTTATTGTTGGGTGGAAAATGGCTGTTTCTGTGAAACGATTGTTGACAAAAGGTGCAACAAAGAAATTGTTGCGAAAATTCGACGAAAAGAATTCCGATAAATGGGAACATTTATGCGAGAAAAGTTTAAAAAGCTTTCGTTTCGACGAAATTGATAATATTTGTTGGATGAACGAATTGGACAATTTTAGGTAAACTTTGATTTTTCAGTTCCCAAAAAATGCAATTATTGATTAATTTTAGAAGATATTTAAAAGTAATTAATGTTTTTGGAAAAACAAAGGTGTTTTACGATCACAATAATTTAAATGTTGTCAAATCCACTTTGGATGTGTTTCTAAATACTATTTCGGTGAATAATTTAGATATGGATATTTATACGAATTTGGTACATTTGATACAAATTTTGGTTTGTGGGTAAGTTAACATATATATTTTTGAAACAGGAAGCCATTGCAGGTGTATATACATTTATAAACAATATTTTACATAATGTAGGTATAATACTATTTTAAACATTAAATATTAAGTAAGTGACGTCATACTAAATCCAATATGGAGGCTGTCCCAAGATGGCAGCATATGTGACGTCATTCTAATTTCAATATGGCGGACAACGCTACTTTGATTAAAATTTTTTAAAATGTACTTACCTACTTAATTAAAACTTTTTATTTTTTAAGTGTTTGCAATTCTACTTTGAAACACAAACACGTGATTAACAATGAACATCTAATAAAAACGTTGGAGTTTATGATTAATCAATGTAATTTAGAAGAAATTTATTTAATTCTACAAGATTACCTTTTTTCTGAAAAATCTTCATTTGCAAACTGCAGAGAAAGCTTGATGAATATATTTAAATATTTCGTTGAAACAAAAAAATATGAATTCGTATTAAAAATATTTAACAAGTTATGCGAACAGTAAGTAACTTGATTTTTTTTATATCAAATTATAACAATTCTGATAATATTTCAGAACTGTTATTTCAAACGATACCTGCCTCATTATTTTAAGGTCTATGCTTAATATTGGACAAATAATGTTTAATGAAGTGAGTGACTAAATTTTTTTGAAAAAAACAACATTTTAATTATTTTACATTGTAGAACCTCGACGATGACATATTGTTAAGTTTTGTGAAAGGTTTAAACAATATATATTTTCAAGAAGCAAGCTTCAATCACCTATTGAAGTACCAACTAAAAGAAGAATATTTAAATTTTGTTTCTAGTATTACAAGCAATATTGATCAAATTTGTATATCGTTTTGTAAATCTAAATATGGCCGCAATGAATATGCAAAACATTTAGTTATAATTCTTAAAAACCACGAGCAAAATAATAAAATTTCTATTAAAAGATCCCAAAATCTGTTGAAAGAAATATTGTTGTTTGATAAAGATATACACAAATGGACAGAACAGGGAAGTACAGTGTTTTTTTATATCTATCAAATATTATGCGAACAAAACAAATTTATTTGGGATTCTGGTACTGTAATAAAAATATTAAAACCAGTGGTGTTCAGGAATTCGTTGGATATTCACATACATAAATCCATATGCAACTTTTTCCCATTTTTATTGGGCGATGGCACTAAAAAAGATATTGTTTTCGTTGGAATAATGCTGTTGGAAAACATTTCTCTACGCCCAATAGACGATTTCAAAAAATTGATTAATTTTGATTCCAAACAATTGACTTGGATGCTGCAACATGGAAATGATACGTTAAAGAAAAATTGTCTGGTAATCTGGATAAAAGATTGTAGTGATATTACCATTGTGTGTGAAGCTATAATCGAAACCAATAGTCATCAGATTTTATTGGAAGTTCTTGTTCAGGAGAGTGATGACGAATTTTATCAAAAGTAAGGATTTTAATGTATCAGCTTTATATGTTAGGCAACACAGGTTGCTAACATGATACACGGGTTGCCTACATATTATACTGTATAAACTTTTCACGCTATTTTAGATGCTGTCATGTTATTAAAAAAACAGAAAGCGATAATTTGGACAAAGCGATAGGGAATAGAATAATATCAACCAAAGGGTCTCCTGACTCTAAAACTTCTGTATTATCAAAGCTGTTACTTTGTCAACAAAAAACGACCAATGAGGATTCATTGAATTTGAGTATTTGCGAATACTTTTCAAAAAATTTATCGGATATAACCGATTTAAGGGTTTTGGCAGCAGCTTTACTGTACTGCAGAAAATCTCTGGGAAAAATTAATAAATATCCAGATGGGGTTTTATGTTTTGTACAAAATCAAAATATAATCGAAAAAATCGTCATGAATTTATACTGTAATTGTGATGAGAACTGTGCGGTGGAGATTCTGAAATTTTTAAATTATTTTTTTCGTTTAACGGTAAATTTTATAGCCTATTTATATTTTTTATAACCCTTTTTAATTAAAATTGTAGAAAGCACATAATTTATCTTTAAACAAACCAATCCATATAAAATTGGAAGATTGCCTTAACGGTTCAATTCAAAAAATAAACTTGACCATACGTTTAATATACCTGATGCTAAATGGTGAAAAAAATTTGCAAATGGAAAAAACTCAATATCCACACCTTTTCGTGAAAACGCACATAATTTGCAATATGGATAAAGTTTCATTGAAGTCTTTCTACATTTTGATGGTACTGCTGAAAAGAAATCATCAACTTTCCCTGTTGCCAAGCACAAAATGTTTTGTGGAAATGTTTTGTCGCACCAAGGAACAAAATCTTGCTTTCAGTCAGTTTTTGGTGCAGTATTTTAAAGTATTAGCCAAATTGAGAGAGCCTTCATTTCATTCTTGCGTTCCACAGGAGTCAATCATCAAGAATTACATTTTGAGATCTGATATGCCACCAAAATTGGTTAATTTGTTAATAAATTATTATAGGACTTTCAATTAATATTTTGTTTGTTTTTAGATTAACAAGATCATGGAAAACTTACAGTTTTTACATGAATAGAGAAAAACAATGATTTATGTGCTTTATATTAATTTAGAATATTCAAAACAAAATATTTTGAATAAAATGTTTAAACTACTTCAAATTGCTTATAATCTTTAAAATCCACAAATTGATTTTGTGATTTTTCAATAAAATAGTTGTAAAACAATATTTATTTATTTTTTTACACCCCATCAGTAAATTTCAGTTTCTATAAAAAATATATTTGTGTTCTCAAGAAGTAAAAACAAAAGTCCTAATTAATATTTATTACCTATATATTTACATCTCAGCTTTGTTATATTTATACTTGCCCCTCATTATTTTGGGTAATGGGCATGTACCAGGACATGGTATTTGCCCGGGTATTTCACATATACAATGTCTATCACAGTGAGGCCCAAAGTTGGCAGGATTATCTTTCTTTTCTTTTGCTATCACTTCAGCTTCCAAAACTTCTCTAAAGTACAGAAATTAAAAACTATAATATAATAAAAAATAAATTTCATCAATACATACTTTGTTTTCCCAACAACTTCTAAAAGGTGAGTGTGTATTTCCTCTTTGGATCTATTATCAACATCTATTAACATTTGTGTCCCATTATCTAAAAAACACATATTAAAACCCCACACAACAAAAAAAAAACAATTTTCTTACCATAAAAACACCTAATAAATGGTGTAGGAGTCATACTCTTAAAAGTCGAAATTTGCACCGTAGGATTTTTATACTGTATTTGCGGTAAGTACCAAAACACAAAATCTCTAAAATAAATCATCAAAAATCGAAAAATCAACAAATCAACCAACTCACTTGGCCCCATGATGATTTTTTCCACCCATGTTATAATTAATCGTGAATATCTTGATTTGATCTTTTAAAACCAAAGAACCGGCCTCCAAGTATTTCAGAGTTCTCCTTATAGGAGCTGCGCCCTTCATAAACGGCATTTTTTACGATATTACTACGAAAATTCGGGATGCTAAAAGTGAGGTTAACTGAATTATGTCAAAATTGCAGATGTCTGTATTTGAAGTGTAGTTGAAGCTGTGTATTATAGGTGGCTCTGACACCGCAAGTTTAAAAAACTATTAATTTTCTTTTAAAAATATCAAAACAAATTGAAAAAAATCGTATTGGTGTAAAATGCGTTAATTAAAATTGTAAAATTCTTGATAACAATTAAAAAACGCTTAAGTTTTATTAAATTAAACTACTTTTAAAAAATAATTATATAACCATAACAGATATCTATCGTGTCTAATCACAGAGGAGTGTGCGTCTAATTAACAATGTCCATAATGATTCATTAATGTATTGATTATGTCCCATTGATTAAAAATGATTTAAGTTAAGTTAAGGATTTTTGGGCAATCCAAAAATATTTAGTTTGATAATTGATAAATTTGTTGTTTAATATAAAAATAATGCCAAGATATACAATATTGATTTTTTTAATTTTTGAACTTTACAATTGATTTAATAAAATTCGAAGGAACTTAATTTAATTATGTTAGAATAACGTCAATTTTCCAATACAAAACGCCCTTTTTCGTACATTTTCCATGACACTAAGTGAACTAGGCTTTTACCCTAATAACACAAGTATATACTAGAAACATGCCAGAAACATATGCATGCGACAATAGAAACATCCCAGGAATGACCCTATTTTCCCACAGATATACCAGAAATGTTTCTGGCAATGACCATGTCGCCCTTTTTAACGTCCCTCGGCCATCCTTTTGGGATGTTTTGAGATCATCTTAGAATGTTGTAGGTATGTCTTTAAGACATTTTATATTTACTTTCAGAACATAACAGAAATGTTTCATACAAAACATTTATGAAATTTTTATAGGTTTTTTCCTTAAATAAAAAACATTAAATACTTTTATCATTTAATTAACATAAAACCATTAACATAACTGAAAATACGCATAAATAAAAATAAATAGATACAAATTTACAAAACTCTTCATCGATGAATCCGCAAAAACTCGTTTGAGACATTTTTGACAAAATCGATTTTTTTTGCATAATTAAGTACTTACCTCATATCTACCCATACAACGAAGACTATTGTAACTCAGTTTTGATTGTAGACTAGAGTAACTCAACTTAGTTTTCGCCTGTAGGAATGTGGATTATTACACTTACTATACAGGGAAGTTGTTCACTGGTTGCCTATCGTTTCATGTCTGAGTTACTGAGTTCCACCAAATAGAGCTTGAAAAAATCTGTCAAAACCCACGTTTTTTGAGTCTCCCAAGATAATCTCAAGACCCTTAAAAACAAATTAATTTGAGATAAGAGAGCTTTTAATGTTTTTTTCGTCTCCTGTAAAACTACAGTTTTTTTCATACGAGGTTTTGCGGATTCGACGATTTATTACCTAAAACAGCTTTAGAAATCTTGGATTGGCTAAAATCTTTTTTGCCCTTTTTCCCAATAAAGGAAAACTGTTGTGCGACCTGGTCTGAAATAAAATCATACAGGTTATTGCCACCAATACCCACAAAAAATAAAACCTTAAAAAAGAAACTAATATAGAATTTAATTACTTATAATAATATTTATAATGTTTTCTTACCAAATCATCATAATTTACTTACCAAAAAAGACGCCTCAGGCCACCCACACAAAACAATAACTTAAAGTGTACAACTTAAAATTTAATTTAAGTCTTAAATTACTGTGATCACATTATAAAACGAGAAGAAAATTCTCGACACAGAACGTTCTCGATTTTCACGAAATGTCATTCTTGGCAATAAAAGCCGCGAACCTACAGAGATGCCGTTGGTTACAAAACAAAATTCCCCAGGTAACAATCAATTAAAAAATATCTAGTATGACGACATTGTTCGCGGTCAATTTAAAAATTACAAAGTTATTGATATTATAAGAATTTGGTGGTTTTGCTAAATTGATAGGTTATTTTTTTTTAATAAAGTGTGTTATGTGTTTTGATCATATATCTATAGGTATATAGTTTTAATATAAATTTATTTAATATTTGTAACAAGTTGGTTACAAAACAAAACAAAATTCCCCAGGTAAAAATCACTTAAAAAGTAACTAGTACGAGGTCATTTTTCGCGGTCAATTTAAAAATTACAAAGTATAATAATTTGGTGTTTTGCTAAAAATTGATTGGTTATTTTTTTAATAGAGTGTGTTATGTGTTTTGATATAAATTTATTTTATATTTGTACCAATATCAGCTATTTAAAAGGTTTATGCAACATCTTGGCGTTTTTGCTAAATTGATAGGTTATTTTTTTTAATAAAGTGTATGTGTTTTAATATAAATTTATTTAATATTTGTTTTGATCATATATCTATAGGTATATAGTTTTGATATAAATTTATTTAATATTTGTAACAAGTTGGTTACAAAACAAAACAAAATTCCCCAGGTAACAATCACTTAAAAAGTAACTAGTATGACGTCATTGTTCGCGTTCAATTTAAAAATTACAAAGTATAATAATTTGGTGTTTTGCTAAAAATTGATTGGTTATTTTTTTAATAGTGTGTTATGTGTTTTGATATAAATTTATTTTATATTTGTACCAATATCAGCTATTTAAAATGTTTATGCAACATCTTGGGGAAATCACACCAGAAATGTTACTGAGGAAACATCGCAGGGATATACGATTTAAGTCCGAAACATTGGGGCATAAATAGTACATAAATTGTATGTTTCTGGCATGTATTGTGTTATCTGGGTAAATACACATTGACAAGTTGTGGCTGTATGGCGCTTTAGTCACGGGCTGAAGTTAGCAACAGGTTTTTAGTCACGGGCTGAAGTTAGTTTTAAGTTAGTTGACAGTTGTCAAATATCATACAATCGTTAAAATAAAGTGCCTTTCTTGTAAAATAATACTAAATGTGAAAATTATTTTATTATCTCAATAAAAAAATTCAAAAGTATTAAATAGTTTCTCAACGCCAATATTTGAAGAGTTTATATGAACCATAGATAAAAGATATGAACATTGTACTGACCTTTAAATTTCGCCGGCAGTAAACTATAACTTAAATTCGGGCACGGACTCCACTGTAAAGTGCTCATAAAACATTTTCTCTACTTTCACTGTGAAAAACTGTCAATTTTCAAGAAATACATTTCGATTTATAACCTTTACAAAACTTAAAAATTTGACATTTGACGGTGACCCACAGATTCCCCTATTGTTTCATAGATGGCGCTCTGTACAAATTTTTGATTTAAATCATTTTAAGATAATAATAAGTATTTTTCGTAGAAAAAGTATAGTATGCACCTCGTTTATAAACTTTTCTATAAAATGGCGTTTATCAAACTTGATACATAATATACTATTAAAAAACAGTTGTCAGAATAAAGAAAAATAATTTAACAGGAAACTAAAAAACCTGTTAAATTAACATAAAACAAGTAATTGTCATCATAGACTATGATTAACTTGATTTTAAATTTCTCAGATCGCATAAAAACATAAAAATTCGATGCACATAACCTGTTTAAAATTATTTTTACAAATTTTGATTATTGGGCAATTATCTTGTTTTCTTACAAAATATAGCCGCATGATTAATTGCTAATAATTAAGAGAAAAAGTACAAAGAAAATTCAGCTTGCAAGGCTAAAAAACAAATTTAAGTCTTACGATTTTAAAATGAAGAATTTATTGGTGCTATCCTGTCAACGTTATCCTTGGTTCACAAGTGTCAAAATTCTAAGATTTCTATTGGTTAAAATGTGCCCTGTTGTCAAATCGCCTAACATTCTATTAAAAAAATACGAAACAATAATGTGAATGACGTTAAACCACTTACCCTTTCGAATATTTTCCAATAAAATTGTTAGTTTATAATTATTTAAAGGAAAATTCTAAATACCGAACGAACCATCGACAATAATCTGCACAAAATTGCAAACATGCGAAAACTGGCGAAAGACGCGCGTGCAAAGAAAATCGGTGTCATCATTTTGCCCATGCTTGCATAGAGTTACCATACGTAACTATATACATACATTTATACCAGGCAAGATAGATAAGCGTAATAAATTAGAACTTGCCGCTGCCTTTGGCCCCCCCACTCTTCTACGACGCTGTTTGTGTGAGGACCAATTTGAAATTGAAATCGTGGGTCTTTTAAAAATCTACCCGGGTACGATTTACTCTAAACGTGTCCGGATTATTGTGTGGTTCTCAAGAAAATAACGCAGAAATGTTCCTAAGTATTTATGTAAGTTTTTTTTCTCTTATTAAATGTAAAGTTGGTTGTCGCGCGAAATTCGTGTTAAAAGTGTAAAAATGACCTTATTTATTTAAAAATAAATAACTAAAAGAATGAAGTCACTTCATTCTTCATTGAAGTGTATATATTTTGAATAAAATTAAATGAGGAATTTAAATAGGTATATTAAAAAAATAAAAAAGTACTTCTACAAACTACTAGATAAATAGCATCATTTATATTAATAAGTGTCAAATTACTTTTAATAAAATTTCTACAATTTCAGTGTTTATTATATTATTATAATAAATAAAACATGTTCTTCTGTACATAGATATCATGAGAAAATATTTTTTTTTTGCATTTCCAAAGAATAAATAATTAAATAACAATAGGATCATTACAACACATCAGGGTTCATATACATAAGTATAATATAATAAGATAAAAAAAATAAATTTATATCATTTATTAAAATTCACTAATCCATTCATATGAACCCTCATGTGTGTGTGGCAGAAAGGCATAATAGTATATTATATATCAAGTTTAATAAACGCCATTTTCGTCAGCAATTTAATTTAGGCACGAGGGAGTGCCTAATTAAATGAGTGTCTAGATAAGTATAAACGAGTTGCATACTCTACTTTTTTTACGATAAATACTTAATATAATCTAAAAAATAATTTAAATTAAATATTTGTATAAAGCGGCATCTATAAAAAATAAAGTAACCATCCCATGGGATTGCAATCAACATTTTTCACGTAATTTTCACCATTAACATTAAGTTAAGAATAGTATATTATGTATCAAGTTTATAAACGAGGTGCATACTATACTTTTTCTACGACAAATACTTATTATTATCTTAAAATGATTTAAATCAAAAATTTGTATAAAGCGCCATCTATGAAACAATAGGGGAATCTGTGTGTCGCCGTCAAATGTCAAATTTTTATATACTTTATAAACACAATTATAAAGGTTATAAATCGAAATGTATTTCTTAAAAATTAACAGTTTTTCACAGTGAAAGTAAAAGTAAAGAACATGTTTTATGAGTCCGTGCCCGAATTTAAGTTATAGTTTACTGCCGGCGAAGTTAAAAGGTCAGTACAATGTTCATATAAACTTTTCAAATATTGGCGTTGAGAAACTATTGAATACTTTTGTATTTTTGTATTGAGATAATAAAATAATTTTCACATTTAGTATTATTTTACAAGAAAGGCACGATTGTATGACATTTGACAACTGTCAACTAATTTAAAACTAACTTCAGCCCGTGACTAAAGCGGCATAAAGCCACAACTTGTCAATGTGTATTTAAAAGGTCACTTAGTGTCATGGAAATATGTACGATAAAGGGCGTTTTAAAGGTGGGAGTAGAAAAAATATGTTATCCCTAGTCAAAAAATTGCCGATGTCAAAAATGACAGGTGACAGATGGCGGCTGTCAAAAATAACAGGTGACAAAATTGACAACAAATTTTGAATAAATCATGAATTTTGGAAATTTCGGGAAAAAAAATTTGAAAATGTTTTAAATTTTATTTTTATATTGCGGTAGTTGCAAAATAAACTACTTAACCTCATCGACGTCATGCTCTTTTGATAGTTACCAGCATTTTAAAAGAAATAATGCACTATTCATTTGGTAATTTTTTATATTTTTCTTAAAATAAAACAATTTATATTTTTAATTGATTTATTATTTATTTTAGTTTGATTCATGTAGATTTATTAAATAACTACTCTTTATGAGTGACGTTTAAATTTAAACTGCATCTACCGTCAAATGACCAAAGTTATGCAGAAAATGATAATTTATTTATTTATAATTGCGGTATTTGCAAAATTCTACAATGAAAGAAAAAGATGACAATTAAATTAAAAATATATAAATACTCTAGTTACTCGGTTCATTTGGTCTAGACAGGGTTTTAAATCTGCATCTTTTTGGTTGTTCTGTTCAGAAGAGCTGAATACCAATGTCCGTGGGTTCGACGGCTTGAATTAATTATAAGGAATTTAATTTTTAAATTTTTTGTCTATCAAATATATACCGAAACACGTTTTAAGAAACTGAAAGTGATTCGTATTCAACGGATGTTTCATTAAGGTAAGGCTTTTTTAACATGTAATTTTTAACTTGTGACGTCAAAACAAGGAAAAAAGTAATTTTTTCATTTAAGTATTTTATATTAGTTACATAAAACATTTTGTATTTTTTTAAATTAAATATGGCACGCTATTTATTAATCTATGATTGCCTTGGATTTATTTTTTATTTTTATTAAAATGTGTCAAAATTTGTTAAAATGTCACCAGCCCATAGTTTATAGAAAAATAAAAACACTGGATGGTGTGATTTTTTGTTCACTACCATAATTTCGAATTTGAATCCCATACCTTTTCTTAATATTCTTAATTCTTTATAGTTTACTTAATTCGTTTCATAGAACATAATAATTCGTTTTCACAACTCATTTTAAATAACACTGCACACAAAAATGCTACTGCAACTGTCAAAGGCGAAAAGCGTTACCATAGAAACCAATTATCAACAACTCGCAATGTTGTCACGTTTAAATCCTATTTTTACGTTTTGAATTATGTAGTAGTGCCTTTAATATTAAAATAAAAATTAATTATAAAATCAGTTCCAACGGCTTTGTTATCTATGATCAGTTCGAAAATTGTCTGTTTTTTAAATCCAAGTAGGTAATAAAATGACAAAGGAAATTTTGTTTTTGTAAGGTGGTATACCTATCGCTATTTATAACATAACTGTATGTAAAAAAAAATAAAATATTCGTAATTTATTGATTTATTTAATGGTAGGCATCTTGTAGAGTGATTTTACTTTCAAAAAAACTTGTTTTGAACTTGAATGATTGAATTTGTTATTTAATTTATAGGCATATACCTATACATCATAATGTACTGAATTAAAATATTTGGTAGGTAGGAAAAATTTTACGTCTTCAATAAATTCAAATAAATACATAACACTTTTGGGTAGCATAATATTATGTAAATTGGCCACTGTTTATTCATGTATTTACACGTTCCTTTTTGATACGATATCTTTGTAGGTATTTAGTAATTTTTTTGTTTTGATAATTAATTTTGACTTTTAATGCTATTTATATTTATAGTAAGTACTACTTTTAACTGATGTTCGATTAATTCAAATTATTTGTTTTTTTGGAAATGTTCTTAATAGAAAGTTTAATTGCATTTTTTTTGGTAATTTTGAAGACCCAAGAAATTATTTATTAGCGTTTGTTATGCGTAATTCAAATTAATTTTATTTCAGTTAAAAAATCTTTGTTAAAAGCTTACGTTAAGAACAGTAACAAAAATATTTTATTGCTATAAAAAGACTTTTTTAATATTTACTATTGTTTTGCAATGGTAATAAAATTTTTGCTATTTCCCTTAAAAAGAGGGGGAAAGGGCCAGCGCTCTTCTTGGTGAACATAACTTTATAATCCACAGTCTGTGTTATAATCTTATTGATTTCACTTGTGCGAGTGTGGTAAAATCTAGCATGATAAAAATATTAAAAAGATCACTAAGAAAATTAAAATTTCTACGTTTTCTAAAAGAAATATTTAAGGTCTATTCTATAAACGAAGCAGACTTGTTGTTTAAAAAGTGAGTTCATATTTTTTTAATTTTGAACATCATATAATATGAGTTAATTTTTTTGTTATAATAAATAATTTGTTTTATTGCCTTGCAATTATTTCAAAAAAACTACCCAATACCCAACAGTAGGTTGAAAATGTGAAAATTGTTACAATGAAAATAGTTTATTGAATTAACAATTAATTTGTTGTTAAATTTACATAAATTTTATTACTATTATAAAAAAATATTTGAAACGAAAAGGGCTTTGTAAAATTTACAAAATTTCTATGAATAATACCATTAGGGTTTCATTAATACTACAAAACGTTTTTGTAAACGGTATATAACTGTTTTTTTGGACAAATAATAATAACTATATTTATCAATACGTTTCTGCATCTGGAAGAGTGTTATTTATATAAACATAACGTAAATTTACTTTATAATTAATGCAAATGCTATTACTGAAAGCAGCGTTTGTAGATAAATAATTTTTATAAAAATGATCTTTTTGCCGTAACCAAAGCAATTGTTGGATTATTTTTTTTGTAAAGTACATCGAAAATATTGTTTGGGGTGACAAAAAAATTATGGTGAAAGTTTGAGTCCATAATATTAATATTAAGAGGTCTATCATCGCAATTTTAGATTTTTTTTCCTGAGCGAGTTTAACAAATTTGACTTGGGAATATTTTTTGAAGAAAATTGAATGCTCTACAAAAAAGGATTGATTGGAATTTCCCGTCAGATGAAGCGTTTTCTTACAATCATGTCTTAAAAATTTGTATAGTTTTACAATTTGATCTTTTAACTTTGGAATTTTGTAATTCATGTAAAAATCAGTACCCGGAAAAAAAACGATAAATATTCTTATGGGAAGTCAAATGCTCTACAAAAAAAGTCTTTTATCATTTTTGACTAAATTCACTCCATCAAAAGTTATTCAAGGTTAAATTTGAAGTCAAAACCAAATTTTAACATTGAATAACTTTTGATTGAGTGAATTTAGCCAAAAATGTTGAGAGGCTTTTTTTGTAAGGCATTTGATTTTCCATAATATTTATATATTTATATTTAATATTATGGACTTTTAATATTAATATTATGAACTTTCACAATAATTTTTTTTGTCACCCTTAGCCATATTTTCGATATACTTTTCAAAAAAAAAATAGTTGATGTTTTTGGCCCAGTCTAATCTTTACTTTATTGACAAACTACTTTTTTGTTATATTTATTAAATTTCATTAAAGTGTACCAAACATACTTTAAGACTTTTTTCTTTGATTCTAGAAGCAGTTACCATGGCCAACTCTGTTACTTCTAGTGCTGTCCCTTTACGTCATCTACAAATATTTGACCCGCAACCACGATTACTGGGCCAAGCGGAATGTACCTTACGTGCCTCCGGTTTTTTTGGCGGGAGGTTTGTGGGAGGTTTTTAAGGGGAAGGCGCAGATTGGGAAGCATTTGGGGAACTTGTACTTAAAATTTCCCAACGAGCCTTACTTTGGGATATACATAATGGGAAAGCCTTACTTGGTGCTGAGAAGCCCGGAAATCATCAAAAGTGTTACCATAAGGGACTTTGGTAACTTTGAGGACAGGACCTTCGCGTGCGATAAAAAAGCTGACGCCATGGCGGGAAATAGTTTGTTCATCATCAGGAATCCAGATTGGAGGAATATACGGAACAAAGTTTCGCCGATTTTTACCACGGGCAAACTCAAGCTCATGTTTCCAATCATGAAGAAACACTGCAACGATATGGTGGACTACGTTGAAAGCCAGACGGATGTAGAGGTTGACATAAAGGAGGTGTCTGCTAAGTATATGACCGATTTGGTGGCATCGTGTTTTTTTGGCATCGATATTTTCTCCTTTGGTAAGGAAGATTCCGAATTTAGACAGCACAGCAAGAATATGTTTGATTTGGGGATATCAAAATCATTTAACATGTTTTGTTATTTCTTTGTACCCAAATTGGTATCAATTTTTAAGCTGCACTTGCTCGATACTGACTTTTTGCAAAATGTCTTCATGTCTACTTTGGAGTACAGGGAAAAACATAAAAACACCAGAAATGACTTTGTGGATTTGCTCATCAGTATTAGAGACAACCTTAAGGAAACACCTCAGGATAGTGTTATAGGTAAAATAAAAACTACTACTTGCTATAAATGCTAACTCTAATGTACAAGGTTCTGATATGGCACATTAAAGGCAAGCTAAAGTTTCTGATATGGGGTGTTAAAGATTTTATAGTGGTAATTGAAATATTTTTAACTGCACTTTTAAAAATTTCTATTGTAATTTTACTAAACATGTTTAGGAATTTTTACGCACCACAATATAGTAATAATAAAACTCAGTTTTGTAAATTCACTGCACGATTCATTTTGTTGAAATTCACTAAGCATTTATTAAAAATTTGTTCAGTAACATTACTATACAGGTATTGTAATTTTGCTAAAAAAAATAATTAATATGTTTAGTGATTTTTTAAAATGGTGTATTGTAATTATACTATACAATTCATTTCAACTCAGTTTAAGAAAATTACAAAATATATTTTACAATTTTACTGAACTGAAGAAAATTCGTTTCGCAATATTACAATATTTGTGTTGTTATTTTGTACAACGAATTACACTAAAAATATTTAGTAATTTACGAATGATGGTCTATTGTAATTATACTACAATTTTCTTAGTTTCTTCAAGAAACTTTCTTGACCCATTCCTGTAAAGATTTAAAAAAAATTGAACCTTCACCTCGCCAGAGTTTTTGTTTTAAGTGCGTTCCACCAACTTCAAATAGATAGATAGACCTATTTTGGGTCTTATCAATGTCGGGCAATTTGGTGTATCGGAACACTCTAAAAACGAAAGACACCTGAGCTTATATACTGTCCACCTAAGTCAACCGAGGCGAGATGTAAGAACATCACGTGATTGCCGCAATCGGTACATACTATGCATTTTACATAACATTATAGCAAATCAAATTACAAACAAAGTTTGTAAATATGATATGTTTTTTATTGGAAACTGTCAAACTGTTTAGTAAAATTACAAAGAGTGTAGGATTTATACATATAGATTGTAAAATTACAACTTATCTTAGTAGATTTCCCAACATGTCTTGGAAGATTACTTAAATTGTATTATAATTTTGTATTGGTATATACAAATTTGTAATTTTACTCATCCTTTGTTTTGCAAAACAATTGTAATTTTACAAAAAAATTTAACAGTGTACATGATTAAAATGATATATAGTAAAAATGCAAACAGAAGTTGTATAAAATAAGTAATGATTTGTATATTTCTAAACACTTATTGTAATTCAAATAGCAAATTTTGGTTTGTAATTTTATTGATTATCATAGTAAAATTAAATTCCGAATATATATAGAAATTTTACAAAATTTCAAATTCAATTCTACAATACAGAATTGTAAAATTACTATAAGTATCTGACAAAAACAAAAACATTGTAAAATTGGAACCTGTTTAGAACTTTGGCTATAACAAAATGTAATATTACAACAAATGCGTATTAAAATGCAATACAATACAACATTTTGTAATTTTACTATGCAACTGCTTAGTAAAAATTTACAAAGTTAGTAAAATTTTACAAACATTTTTAACAGTTCTAAAATTTGTAAGATAAAAAATGCACCTACATGTATGTATGTATACTCATTTAAATTTGACAACCATTAGGTATTATTGTTATGTGGTATAACACTGTGTTATTATTAACACACTATTAAAACTACACAACAGCCTTTTATCAAAACTAATATTTTTATTAAAACATTCCTGTAAAGACCATGAAACTATTTAATGGGCCATTATATACTCAGACTTAAGTATTTGCTGGGTACCTTATAGACTTTATAACTTTTTTTAGATACAAACAGAATGGTGTCCCTTGCCATAACTTTTTTCATAGCGGGTTTTGAAACGACCAGTAACGCAGTGGCCTTTGCTCTTTATGAGCTTTGCATCGACCAAGAATCCCAAGAGAAACTTAGGAACGAAATCAATAAACACATTAAAACTGAAGAAGACATTACATTCGAGTCAGTGCAGTCTCTGAGATATTTAGAAATGGTACTGTGTGGTAAGTAAACAGCCACTTCAAGAATGATATCTTAAAATTAAAGGTGATTTTTCAGAAACTTTGAGAAGATACCCCTTTGGTCCATTCCTAAACAGAAATTGCAAACAGGACTACCTTATTAAAGAAACAGGTTTCAAAATTGACAAAGGTACACCGGTACTGATACCTATAGACGGTTTGCATAACGATCCGCAGTATTTCCCGGAACCGGAAAAGTTTGACCCGGAAAGGTTTGCCGATGGTTCCAAACACATGGTGCAAGCTTGCACGTATTTGCCCTTTGGGAGTGGACCTAGAAACTGCATAGGTAAGAAAAAATCTCATTTTGGACTTTTCGTCTATTTACCTACACAGTAAAAAAAATCAACTCTAAGCAACACTAATTAGAGTTCACACAGGTCCACACTAAATAGTGTTGTTTTATAAAACTACAATTAGAGTTAATTTGTAGTGTAATTTTCCCCAAGTAAGCAAGTATGATTTAACACTATAGCACTGAGGATAAAGTAATTTTACACTGTATTAAAAAGTGTTAATTTACCTAAAATCGTGTACTTCTACACTTCCTGGGTAAACTTCCACTTTTGTTCAGTGTAAATTAACACTATTATTTGAGTAAAACCTATTGGTGGTAGTGAATAAAACGAAAAGGTAAATAAAGAGAAACATTTATTTGAAACAAAAATCTATGACAATTATCAAAATCGGTGCCTTTTAAAATATAATTTTATATTTGAGTCGTATTGCTGGCTTAAGCAAAATGGTTCCTTAAAACGTAAAAGTTTTAGATCAAATTGATCTGATCAATGCAATGTTTTACTGGCTGCCAACTTGTAAGCAATGAATTATCTTGAGAATTCAACAGTAATTCATTTTTCTGTTATAAAAAATGGGTGATCCCATTAGTAGAGAGGCGTCAGGTGGCTGTATGTCGGGGATTTACCACACGTGTACAAATTTTCCATAATATTAATAAAAATGTAGGTATAGGTTTATATAACAACCATTACGCTTAAAAATAAAAAATAAATCAAGTGTGTATGTATTTATATTATTAATTTTACAAGTACCCGACCTACTGCCGTAAATTATTGATATATAATATAGGTCGGGTATGGACATCCTTTTAACATATTGGTATTTATTGAGTATTAAGGCTTAAAGAAAAAGGAAGTATAATACTTACCAAAAAATAAGAATGTCCCCTTATGGATTCACCGTAATAAAATCTAACTGAACAAAAATGCCACACTTCCACAACGCGGTATCTCCGGATATGCACTGCGTAGGTATCAACCAAACATTTTAAAACTCATTTCGGTTACCAGTTTTTTCAGTCTATTTTGCCACTATTGGTGTAATTTAACTTTAATTGTGATACAATGTGCACTAGTAGTGTAAAGAAAAAAGAGCTCTTAGTAACATCAAAAAAGACAAAGAAATTGGCATGCACTGTGGTGTACATTTTGTCACGATTTAACACATTAAGGGGTAATAAACACTCGCATTTTACCCTTTTGATTTATTTTAATAATAAATAGTGTGAATGTACCAATGAATAATGTTCATATTCTTTAAATGTGTTTAATAAAGTTAATAAGCACTAAATGCTACCTAGTGTATTTTTTAGTGTAACTTTTACACTTACAAATCACCTCTAATATTTTTACCCCTACACTAAAAAATTTACACGGGCAATTTTTTTTACTGTGTAGTATTATATCTTTAAGAACAGAATAGAGGGAATTTTCCAAAATTTGGTCTAATCGATTGTTAATCTTAAATTAAGAATAAGATTATTTCATTTTAAGTCTTTCTTAACATTTAACAGGCAAGAATAAGATCTGCATGTTAAAAGAAAGATTAATTAATTAATAGTTTAATGTTAGTTTTAGCCTTGAAAATATTAGGTCAATCATCTTGTTTCAACTGTACTTGATTTTAAGCTAAGAAATAAAATCTTTTTAATTTAAGGATATGTTAATATTTAAAAAAAATTCAATGTATTCGTAGCCTAAGCAAATTATACTTAAATCAAGTGATTTTTTTAAAGAATAAAGGTATTCTTACATTTTTTTAGTTTATGTTTTGTATTATAATGGGAAGCCTTTTTATGCACAATACTGAATTATTTGCTTTTAGGAGACAGATTTGGGTCGATATGTGCAAAAGTGGGTCTGGTCTACTTCCTAAGAAAATACAAAGTCGAAAAATGCCCATCCACTCCAGTTCCTGTCATTTTAGAGACGAAATCACCGTTTATGACGCCAATAAACGGTCTCCCAATGATAATAAAAAAAGTGTAAAATAATTGAATTACTAATTTTAGTTCCTAACATTAAGTGATGTGTAAAAGTGAGAGAGTTATTTAATTAGTATATTATGTATGTTTTTGTAGTTCTTTAATAAATAATTTTAGACTGATAATTCAATTTTACTATGGTACACCATATTACGTATTTTAGTAGTTAAGTAACCTAGATTGGTCAAGTATGGGTGGTTCAACAAGCCAGAAAATATTTTTTTTGTTAATTTCGAAAGTAAATTCTTTACCAGGATCCTGAGAACTTGAGTGATCGCGACTTCCACCACTAACAGTCAATAATTCCTATTCCCCTGGTATTTTTTAGGGTTAGCTAACCCTAGGTCGCCATAATGAGTTTTTTAAGATGGCATCCATTACTTATCTAAACATTTATATAATATTTTTCATAAATTTTTTTTTTTTTTTTTTTTTTTGGAAATCCAAAAGGCTAACGACTTTCGTCTTCCTGCCCAATTACAATTTTGTATATAACAAATACTATATTTTAATTTATGTTCTATACTTTACAAAAAAAAAAAAAAAATGTTATAATTAAATATATTGTTAATATCTTCATTATTCTTCTGTCAATTCCCTGAGTGAGTCATACAACGATTTCTCTGGGTATTTTCTCCTTGGTGTTGTCTCGAGTTGTGTTTTAAGAATCAAAGGTTCCATCACATTAAGGTTTTCGGGTTTGTTGGCAAATTTTTTCGCTAGGTATTCCAATCTTTCTTGTATGGGTTGTATTCCAGTGATATGGTAAAGGGCTTCATTGGATGGGTTAAATAAGGAATTTTGAGGATGTCTGATTTTTGTAATTTTCCTTATGCTTGTGCGCTCGCCTATCTCTATGTTTGTTAGGGTGGGTTTTCTGCAATTTATAAAAAGAACTGATCCATATTCCAGCACTGGGCGACAGATTAGTTTATAAATGTTGGTTGCCACAGCAATATTTATTCCCTGGTCTTTATAAGTTAAGCTTCTAAAGTGCTTGGCCCTGTTTATAATACATGTCTTGGTGTGGCTTGTGTGTTGTTTGAAGTTTAACTTGGAGTCTATCAAAATTCCCAGGTAACGACATGATGTTGAAGGTTCTACTGTACTTTGCATAATATTTATTGTGGGCGAATTTTCTTTTATTTTGTGATGGAACAGTAGTAGGCGTGATTTTGACGGACTTGGTAGGATTCTCCATTTAGACATCCATGACGATACCTGATTGGTTAGTTCTTGTAGTTTCACACTTGCTTCTGATGTCGTTTTTCCATGCGTTATCAAAACTGTGTCGTCAGCATATTGGAGAATATAGCTCTGTCTGTTTATGTTTAAGTGGTCCAAATTGTACATGTCATAGCAAAATAAATTATACAAGAACGGTGATAATGGTGAGCCTTGTGGCACTCCTTGTTCTGGTGAAAAGGTGGGGGATAGTGTATTGCCAATTTTTACTTGTATTTTCCTTTGTGTGAGAAATTCTTTTATTATCCATACCAAATAATTCGGGCTTTCCAATTTCACCAATTTTTTCAGCAACCCATCGTGCCATACGGAATCGAAGGCTTTACAAATATCCATAAACAGCGCAGTTGATTTATTTCCCTCTATACTCTTCTGTTGTACATTTGATGTTAAAACAATTAGTGGGTGAGTAGTGGAAGTTTGTCTCTTGAATCCAAATTGGTATATTGGGATTTTATGTCCAATGGCCTGTTCTAATCTATTTTTAATAATTTTTTCAAAAGTTTTTCCGACAACTGGCAATAAGGTGATGGGCCGGTAGTTGCCTGGGACAGTGTGATCCAAGTTCGGTTTTGGAATGGTAATTATTCTTCCTTTCTTCCATTCTTCCGGAAAATAACTATTATGCAGGCAGAAGTTATAAATTTTTATTATTTGGTCATGGATTTCCTGGTCAAATTGCTTTAAAACCATTCTAGGAATTTGATCATGCCCTGGTGCCGTATTCTTCCCGTTCAAACTCTCGAAATATTCGTCTTCAGTTACATTTTCTATATTTTCATTTAAGTTTCTTTGAGTAAAGTTATCTCTTACCCAGTTATGTGTATTATTTTTATAATTTCCATCAAAACTTACATTTTCCGTAAACTTAAAATTTTTTTCAAATTGTCTTGCAAAGGCATCAGCAATTTCTTGCTCTGTTTGTAAGATTTTATTGTCTTCTTTTATATAGTGAATGTGGTTATATTTTTTATATCGAGAGAGTTTCTTTATTTCACCCCAGTATGACCGACCCTTTGCTACGTTGATATTTTGGCATGCTTCTAGATATTTATCTGCCCTATATTGTAGAATTAATGTATGTATATCCTTATTTAATTCGTTGTATTTTCTTTTAAGTATAGGGTCGTAATTAATTTTTATCTCTCTATATAGTTGTTTCTTTATTTTAATTAGTTTTATGATGAATGGTGGTAATGTATGTGCAAAGAAGCTTGTTTTTAAAATAGGAGTATGTTTTAGAGTAATTTTGGTGATATTTTTTAGAAAGGAGTCAATTGTTTGAGGAGAAATATTCTCATGTAGGTTCATTGTCTGGATGATTTCATTATTTATAGCTTCTATATTACTTTTTTTAAAATTATATTTGATGTTTTCTGGAATGGTTTGTGGATTTTTTTCTATATCAAAGTTAAATTGAATGGCAAGATGATCGGATCCTAAATCAGGTATTAGTTCTACTTCTGTGATATTGTTAATGATGTTTTTTGTACAGAGCAAAATGTCTGGAGTAGTGTCACTATTATTTGGCATTATAAAAGTAGGAGGGGTGTGGATTTGGGTGAAATCTGAATTGTTTAAAAAGTTTTGTATTTGTTTTTTTCTTTTATTTGTAACATTAAAATCTCCTATGATGATTGCATATTTGTACTGTGATGCTTTCGTAAATAAATTTTCCTCTATTAATCTATTACTATGGTGCATGTAAACCAAAAAAAAGTGTATTTTGTCGGTTTTGTAAGGAATAGTAAAATGTAACACATCATTGTAGGGGTTGTTAAAGTGTGGAGGATTTGATTTACCTATTTTAAGCCTGCGATCACCTTGAACCAAAGCACCCCCTCTTGTATTATTGTTGAGTATGTTGCCATGTTTATGGTTGTCCAATCCCTATATTGCATGGAACGATCTTCGTTTGTTTTTGTCTCTACAAACATGCTGCATTGAATATTATTTTGTTCAATATAGTGGTTAATTAAATGTTTTTTTGCAATGTAGCTGTTGATGTTTGAATAAATAAATTTAATTGTTGTTGACATGAATTTGGATTCCATCATTGGGTTCTGTTGGGGAGTGACTGTTTTCTTCATCTAAATCGAACATCAAAATGTACAGGCGATTTCCCACAAATGTTGGCACAGTGTTTATATTAAAACCGTCTATAAAACGTTTTTGTAATCTAGAAATTAGTTCTTGCCTGTCTGTATTTGTTGGTTTATTTATTTTTTTTATGTACGTATTGATAATATAATCATGAATTGTCACCGCCGAATGAATTTTATGATTTTTTGTAATTTTCTTGTCTATTTCACTTGTAGTTTTGTTTAAGGAACGAATTTTAATGTTTGGAATACCTTCAATATTCAATTTCATAAATATTTTTCCAAAATATAATACGGAAAGTTTTAGTTATTAAAAAATGATTAAAACTAAATGATTTTTAAAAGACTATACAATTTTGTAGGTTTTAAGTTTTGTTGAATTTTTACCCAAGCAATAATTTTTCTTAAAACCGTAAAATATTTAGAGGGCATATAATTTTTAAGATGTATCGTGCCTATTTTTATCAATAAAATAATGTGCGTTTGAGTTTTAATGCAAAATATTATTAGTTTTGACAATTTAAGTTATATTTTTTAATTTTACTCTAGGGTGGCCTTTATTACTTTGTAAGTACCATTTTGTAAAATATAAATTAAAAGAACAAAGACATTACGAATGTCAATGTTTTAGAAAGAGAGAGCAAACAGTTAGTAATTATAGCGTTATTTTTACGAAAATTTGCGGTATTTATATTGTTTTTATTACGTTATTCTTTTAGTAGATCAAAAAGGTTACTATGTAGGTAAAATAACGAAATAAACCATTCCCCAAATTTGGTAATTTTTCTTATCTATACCGTTATAAAACCGCTTTGTTTAACAGTAAAAAATACTTTAAAGTTGACTTAGTAGTAAATATAATTATTTAAACTTAAAATGCTGCTTGGGATTCCCCACCTTTACAATTTAACAAATCAATGTTATTTTTTTTAAGTCTGGACTGGGACTATTTACCAATTCATTTATGATAATTACCTAAATAAAGTGTTTTATTTTTTTAACAACAATAATAAAATGATAAGATATTTTAATTATTAAATACAAAACATTGGTATTGTTATTGTACCATAGACAGTGGCGGATTCAAGGGGGTTTGGGAGTATATACTATTTTTTGCTTAAAAAACATTTACCTATATTTTTATAAAAAATTCAAAAAAATGTATTTACTTATTTAAAAAGTAATTATTTTCTCGTTTTTTTAATCTAAGTATATACAGGGTGTTCCAAAAATTCGCCCAACATCTTAAAGATGCCCGATCTATCTTGTTGCAAGTATTGTTTAAGTAAAAGTCCTAAAATACATGTTCTCATCAGATACCTAATAAGAATATAAACAAGGTAAACCTATTATTTTTAGGTTTAAAACTCATTGTTATAAGAGCTTTATAAAGCTCTTATATATTTGGGTGAATCTCACGAAATGTCGCCCGACGGTGCTAAAAAGTCTAAAACCTATCCTCCGTGACTGTTACGCTTTCTAGGTTAACCTATATGTTTTCAAATATCTAAAGTCTAAAACCTATCCTCCGTGACTGTTACTCTTTCTAGGTTAACCTATATGTTTTCAAATATCTGAGGTAGTAAAAGCATACTAAAAATATCAGTTCACTAAGTAAATTAAACTCATCCAAAGAAATCAACAAATTTAAAGAAATAATTTTTATAACCATTTATGTAGGTGTTACAAAATTTGATTCTATCCTCCGTGAATCTGTTTTTGCTTTAAATTTTATGCGCTTTAATCATTTTAAATAAGCAAAAACCTCTGTTTACGACATTATAGATGCATGTGATTCCTTAAGGTCAGAATTTATATGCAGATGAGAGTGTTGCTGTTTTATATTTCAAAAGTTTTAGTTCATTAATTTTCTATTTAAAAACCTATCCACCGTGAAGTGTAATATCTCAGTAAGTAGATTTTATATAAATATTTTATGAATGATTTCTTAAAATTCTTGCATTGGTGCAGAACTAAGACAAAGTCTTAGGTGCAGAACCACTTATGTTATGTTATTACCAGACCTGGTGGCTTCCCAAAAACCCCATTCTAGACTAACAGTGAAACAACCAAAAATATTAATAAATATTATTTATTTTTCATTAGCTCTGTAAAAAAATAATACAAAATATCAATTAAATATTATTTTTCCAAATTATTATGAAAAAAATGCATATTGCACGACGATATCGCTAAATTATGACAATTAGGTACTGATAAATATTATTATAAAGCACAAAGTTTTGAAAACAGTTTTCGTCCAGTTTTCGCCACCTTAACTTCAAAATGGTTTCAGTACTAAGCGTAAGCAAATTTTTGGTAGATACACAAAACTAGTTTTGACTCTAAAACTAATTTTTAGATCCTGTCAATCAACTTATTCACTTTGCCACTTCTGGGCCTAACTCTAGTAGCCGCCTATTTCTATCTCACCAAAAGACACAACTACTGGGAGGTCCGTGGCATCCCATACGTCACTCCATCATTCCTGTTTGGAAGCTTGGTGGACGTATTTACGGGAAAACTGCAAATAGCTGAATACTTGGGAAGCTTACACGCCAAATTCAAAGGGCCATACTTTGGGATGTACATGATGGGAACGCCGCAGTTGATCGTGCGAAGTCCAGCGTTGATCAAAGACATCCTCATAAGAGACTTCAACGTTTTCGACAACCGCAGTTTTTCCAGTGATCAGAATGCCGACCCGATTTCAGCCAACAGCCTTATAACAGTAAAGAACCCTAGATGGAAAGCACTGAGGAGCAAAGTGTTGCCCATATACTCAACTGGGAAGTTGAAGTTGATGTTTCAGTTGATGTTTAAGAGCGCCAACGATCTGGAGCAACATTTGGAAGAACACAACAACGAGTCCATAGATATACGGGAAGTTTCCGCCAAGTACATGACAGACTTGATAGCCACCTGTGCGTTCGGATTTGAAGCCAATTCATTTGCCAAGGTGGAATCCGATATCAGGAAATTCAGCAGGACGATGCTGGACTTCACAATGGGGAAGTTGTTCTGCTTTCTCTCGCATTTATTTTTCCCCAAGTTGGTTACACTGTTCAATCTAAGATTTTTGGACACCAGAGCTCTGGAGAAGGTTTTTGTATCGACCATGGCCCACAGGGAAGAGACTAAAATCAAGAGAAACGATTTTATAGATTTGCTGCTGAAGGTTCGGGATGAAAAGGACGATTTGGTACTTTTCGGTAAGGATAATATCATAAATACTTCCGCATACACAGTAAAAAAAATCTTCACACTGGACTTCACTAGAGAACACTTTTTTAGAGTTCAAATTTTCACCTTAAATTTAGTGTGAATTTTAGTGTTGTTTTAATTCTAGAGGTTGTACTCTTGTAGTGTAACACATTTAACACAGTTCGTGCGACTTCATACAATATTTGATTGAAAATTACTACACTAACCCTGTTCGGTAGCTTTCTAAAAGTGTAAATGCTATTCCTAATAGTGCTGGAAATTTAATCTACCACTACTAGATTTAAAAATTGTACAACAATATTGTGTAAGATTGGTTTCATACATAAAATTCATTTAATGTCAATAAAAATGGTTTATATACAAAAAAGTTTTTATACATACATACATTTCACTGCCGAGGCGTCAGCTGAGGCAGTAGATTGTGTGTAGGCAATTGACCATATGCAAGGAATGCGGTCGATGTTGCCAATGGTAAAAAAATAAAATACCCTATTGGGAACATTCAATTATATTACGTTGGCTACATTGAAAATTTGAATTTCCCGCACAAACTAAATTAATTTCCATCTTTTTTTTTAATAATAATAAATAATAATAATTCCCACATTTGAAATTCGCACCTTCATTTATTATACAACATTGGAACTACCTTCTTTATCTCTGGAAACTACTAGAATGTATGTCAGTTTGTGCGGTAAATTCAAAATTTCAGTGTAGCCAACGTAATATAATTGAATGTTCCCAATAGGGAATTATATTTTTTTACCATTGGCAACATCGACCGCATTCCTTGCATATGGTCAATTATTATGCTTTCGCTGCCGTGTTTTATATACTATTTTTTTTCAAGCATTGAATTTTTTAATTTTTTTTTATATTCTTTCACATTTTAGCTTTATTTCAGTAGGAAGTTTAATAATAATTTGACTTTTGAACAAGTAATATTCAAGTCTTTTTATATAGACTTTGAAGTGTTTAAAAATTATTGTACTCTTGAAAAAATATATAATGGAGGTTTTCAATGATTTTGCTCTTATTAATTTTTATATTTTCATTTATTTTTAATTATATGAATTACTTTTGGGTAGAGCTGCTGGGGTGTTTAAATAATGTTTATATAAAACAAATAAAATTTATATTTATATAAAAATACAGTCCATTGTAAGTTTTACGTTACAAAAAATTAAACTAAAATATTTGACAATTACTTTATATAAATGTTAAAACACCAAATAATATTTTGGCACTTTTCTATAGACACGAATATTCTCTGAATATTACAAGAATATTAGGAATATTCCCAATCTATTAAGAAGATTTAGAGAATATTCTTAGAATATCCCATGCTTTTTGGGACAAGCGCCATTTTTATTAAAAAAAAATTTCTAGATACAAACACAATGCTTGCTCAAGCCCTGACATTCTTCATAGCCGGAGTAGAGTCCATTAGCAACTTGGTCTCCTTTGTTCTATACAACTTATGTCTAAAAGAGGAATATCAAGAGAGACTTCAAAAAGAAATTCAAGAAGCCATAAAGACCCATGCCGATTTAAATTTCGAAAACATAAACACCCTAAAATTTCTGGACATGGTCGTGAACGAAACTCTGCGAAAATACCCGTTTGGATTGTTCTTGAATAGAGTCTGCAACCGGGACTACACGGTTAAAGAAACAGGGTTTGTCATTGAAAAAGGAACCCCCATCATTATTTCCATCGATGGTATCCACAAGGACCCAGAAATTTACGAGAGTCCCGAGGAATTTAGACCCGAAAGGTTCGAAAATGGTAACAAGTCTTTCTCGCAGAATTGCACCTTCATACCATTTGGTACAGGTCCTAGAAGTTGCATAGGTATGTCATAAATTTTATCTCCACGCGGTCTATAATTTAAACTTTATTGTTGTCAACATTCGATAAAGAAATACCTTGTTATGGCCTGGGCCGATAAAAAAATTTATGAGGCAAGTAATTAGTTCGATTTTTTCTCGCTAGGGGTATTGTTTTGACAAATTAATCCTTTTCTAAGAAATTAACGTACTAAACTGGTTTAATTTATTTATAATAAGCACTAATTTGTTTGTTTTACTGTTAATGTTTAATATTTTTCATTAAAGTATTGTAAAATTAAATATGAATAATAAAACAAAAAGTGAGGTTAGGCAACGAAGAAAACGCACGATTCTATTTATACGATTTAATAGTTATTTATGTATTAAGGGCATAATAAGGTTTTTATGGTCCGAGGCGCTATTTCGAGCCCGAGCGCGTTAGCGCGAGGGCTAGAAAAGCGTCGTAGGACCATAAAAACCAGTTATGCCAGCAATGCATACAAAACTTTATGCACGATTAATTTATTATTATTTTTAATATATTATTGTTTTTAAAGACGTTTACGTCAAAGAATTTTTGTTATAATTGTCATATTATAATGTCAACTGACATCAGTCAGTTTTAAAGTTTAAAGATAAATGAAATTGAGGAAGCAGCTGAAAAGGCGAAAAATTGCGGCCTGCTGCCGGTAAAATCAAAATCTTTATACGAAAAAACTTACTTAAAATATATCAAATGGTGTAACATTGTTGTTTTTAATTTTTGACGTTTCATTATAGCCCGCTGGGCCATAATAACGCCCGCGGGCTATAAAAAGACGTTTACGTCAAAGAATTTTTGTTATAATTGTCATATTATAATGTCATCGTGCATAAATTATCTTTAAGTTTTAATTTGCTTTAAGTTTTCAGTGAAATTAAATGTTAAACACAGCTTAAACATTCCAAACTACCTATAAATATATTTTTAAATAAAAATCCAAACAAATTGAAATTAAATACCTACCTATTTATTAAACAATTAATTGAATTCAATGTAATAGCAAAAATCCATTTCTACTTAAATCATGTAGGTAGGTATTGTCAAACTATTACTGCTTCTAAAAGCAATAATAATTATTGTACATTTATTGTAATCTTTAGCTAATAAATAAATGAGATTCTAAAAAAGTGAGGTTAGGTCGCTTTGATGTTGAATTAAATTGACCTATATAAAGTGCTTTGAAGATAAAATGTTGTATGCCATTCGGCCAAGAAGTGCCTTTTTGTGCTTCACTCAATTGTAGGCCTCCGCTACGCGTCGGCCTTCACACCTTGAGCTTAGCACAAAAAGCCTTACTTCTTAACCTAATGACATAAATAACTATTATTATAGCTCCCATAACTTACAGTCAATTTTTAAGGCATTCGTTTTGCTCTGATGGCGGCAAAATTGGCGATTGTGATGGTTCTGAGAAAATTCAAGGTGGAAAAATCAGCCGATACGCCAATGGATATAGTGATAAAACCGTTTTCACCATTTATGACCCCAAAAAATGGGTTGAGCATGCGTATAAGAAAACTCGAATGAATTGTTTTTGTAATATATTATTATGACAAGGTTAATTTATGTACAGGTAGTTAATAGATATTTATGTCGAAAGATTAACTTATTTTTTTTTTAAATATATTTATAGGTATGTATACGTTAATCCTCGAATTTTGCATGGATTAATTTTGGTATAATGAAATATAGCTAAAAATAGCACATTTTTTACATGAAATTATTTTACAACTGTTTGTATAAACATTTAAAATATACCTGGGCATTTAAAGAAAAAAATTGTTTTATTTTGTTATTTGCTTTTGTGGTTGAAAAAATAAATAAGAATTACCAGTTTTCCTAAAATAAATATCTTTTTCTACTCCCACCTTTAAAACGCCCTTTCGTACATGTTTCCATGACACTTATAAGTGACCTTTTAAATACACATTGACAAGTTGTGGCTTTATGGCGCTTTAGTCACGGGCTGAAGTTAGTTTTAAGTTAGTTGACAGGTGTCAAATGTCATACAATCGTTAAAATAAAGTACCTTTCTTGTAAAATAATACTAAATGTGAAAATTATTTCAATTCCATAATACGAAAGTATTAAATAGTTTCTCAACGCCAATATTTGAAAAGTTTATATAAAAATTGTACTGACCTTTTAATTTCGCCGGCAGTAAACTATAACTTAAATTCGGGCACGGACTCCACTGTAAAGTGGTCATAAAACATTTTCTTTACTTTCACTGTGAAAAACTGTAAATTTTCAAGAAATACATTTCGATTTATAACCTTTATAATCTGTGTTTATAAAATAAAAAAAATTGACATTTGACAGTGACACACAGATTCCCCTATTGTTTCATAGATGGCGCTCTATACAAATTTTTGATTTAAATGATTTTAAGATAATAATAATAAGGTATTTGTCGTGGAAAAAGTATAGTATGCACCTCGTTTATAAACTTTCCTATACACTCATTAATTTAAGCACTTGCTCGCAAGCTCGCTCGTGCATAAATTAAATTCGTGTATAAAATGGCGTTTATCAAACTTGATGCATAATATACTATTATTTACTCTTATATTGACAAGCTGTTACTTTATGAAGTTTTAGTCACGGGCTAAAGTTAACAACAGTGACTTTTGGGCATTTTAGTCATGGGCTGAAGTTAGCAACAGTGGCTTTAGGGAATTTTAGTTACGGGCTTTATTATAAATTGGAAAAAATTGAGGTTAAATCCGTTGACATTTGACAGCTGTCAAATGTTTAACAAATTAAATTGGCTTTAAAATCTTCTTTGTGTTCGTCGTAGATAAAGTATAGTATGCAACTCGTTTTATAAACTTCTCTAGAAACTTGTTTTTATTAAACACGTGCTCGTGCCTAATAAAACTCGTAGGTAACTAAAATTGCATTTATAAAACTTGATACATTATATACTATTTTTTACTTCCAACTTTAAAACACCTTTTAAATAAACCTTGACAAGTTTTGGCATTATGACGTTTAAGTCACGGGCTGAAGTTAGTTTAAATCTAGTTAACTAACTAACTCAATTGACAGTTGTCAAATGTCATAAAATCGTCAAAATAAAGTGTATTTCTTGTGAAATAATATTAAATGTGGAGATTATTTCATTATCAAAAAATAAAATAAATATTGAAGTCAAAGTAAATAGTGTATTGACAACAATCTTTAAAAAGTTTATGTGTACTGACCTTTTGATTTCACCCGCAGAAACTAAAAGTCCACAGCCAATATTAGTACACTTTTACTTTCACTGTGATAAACTGCTTTATATAAACGATTGTTAGTATGAATATGAATTCAAGAGAGAAATTTTGATTTTAACAGAAAAACACTACCATTTTAAAAGCCGGTAAAAAAGGTTCCCAACAAAAATTTGGTTAATCTATTTTTGTATAGATGTCGCTCTATAAAAATATTTAACTTAATAATTGATTATTTTTATACCTAATAATAATTGCCGTAGAAAATGTATAGTAAGCAAATTGTTTATAAACTTTTCTAAACACTCATTATATTATAAGCCAGGAAATCATCTCTACTGGCGCCACCAAGTGGCGGAAATACACAGCTTCGAGTTTGTTTACGTTCTGTCAAACTTCAAATTGTTGAAATTCATGTTAACCTTTATAATCTGTGTTCATGTTTAAAAACCGATACAAATATCGGGTTTAATTAATGCAACTAATATTTTTGTGACTTAGGTACCTGATATTGTATTTCTACAGGGTGTTCGGACAGTAAAAAACTCAATTCGGATTCAACGTTTTATCGGTTTTCGAGTCGCATTATGAAATTGAAAGAGAACAGTAGGTAAGTTAAATTTATTACTGAATTGTGGTTAATTACACTGTTGGGAGGTAAAAATATAACAGCTAAACGCTCGGACACGTAGAGTAAACACAAATGAAGAAATACATTTATTGTACCTACATGATGTACTAATACTTTTTTCCTAATAGGTATATCCAAAGCTTTTAGTTTTTAGTATAGTCAATGTTAATTTTTGACAGCGGTAAATAAGTATGGCTTTAAAACAAATGAAAATTGTGCAATATATAAAAGTATAAACTCAATATTTTTGGTATAGGTAAAAGAACCTAATTAAAACAAAAAAATTAATTACATGATTACAAACCTACATTTCCTAGTTTAGTAACAAATCTTATAATTATCAAAAACAACCTAATAAACCCCTACAGTAAAGTTTAAGAAAATTTATAAAAAAGCAATTTTCCAAGAACCCCAATTACCTTGAGGTATTATTTTAATTTAATTTTATTCTACCTAAACTTACTACTGTTGCAATAAATAACTGAATCACAAAGGTAAATTAGCAGATGCACCTCTGTCTTACAAGTGCAAACAAAAATTAATCAGTTTTAACCCTGACATGATATAAAAAAGATGTCTGAAGAATCGAAGCCAACCCGTCTCTCCGCCTTCCAGAATTTATTTAACTTCACCAGCCCAGCGGCAAAAAGATTGCTGGGGTGGAGGCAAGGCGACGAGGAGGAGAACTGGTCGGAGAAGGCCGTGGATTTGTTGGTGAAGAAGTTGAAAAAACGCAAAGGTGCTTTGGAGGACCTGGAGCAAGCCTTATCCACACCGGGAGCGCCGAGCAAATGCGTGACTCTGCCGAGGAGTTTGGACGGCAGATTGCAGATATCGCACAGAAAAGGCTTGCCGCACGTGATCTACTGCAGAGTTTGGAGGTGGCCGGACCTGCAGAGCCATCACGAGCTGAAGAGTTTGGAGGCGTGCCAGTTTCCCTTCAACGCAAAGCTGCAGGAAGTGTGTATCAACCCTTACCACTACGAGAGGATTCAATCCGATGTCTTACCGCCGGTTTTAGTACCGAAATTCAACGATTTTGTGCCTGGTTATTCGAGATTACCATACCCGCAACCATCGGAGCCCAATATGCCTTACAACGTGACCTACTCGCCCAGCGGGAGTTCCCCAGGATCGCCTTTCTCGACCATGTCGAGTCCAAGCCATACTAACTACGAAACGGCTTCGGAATCTTACAGCCCCAGGCGCGACGTGCCAAGCAGCCCCACGCACTCCATCGGCTACGACGTGCAACCCATAGCCTACCAAGAGCAGCCTTGTTGGTCCTCTATAGCCTACTATGAGTTGAACACGAGAGTCGGTGAGGTATTCAAATGCCACTCGTCGTCGGTTTTTGTGGACGGTTTTACCGATCCAGTGAGCAATAACGACCGGTTTTGCTTGGGGCAGTTAAGCAACGTCAACAGAAATTCCACCATTGAAAACACCAGGAAACACATCGGGAAAGGTCTGCACCTATACAGCGTCAATGGAGAGGTTTATCTAGAGTGCCTATCCGATTGCTCGATTTTCGTACAATCCCGCAACTCCAACGTGCAACACGGTTTCCACCCCTCTACCGTATGCAAACTACCCTCCAAATGCTCGCTAAGAATCTTCAACAACGCCCATTTCGCCCAGTTACTAACCGAGTGCGTTAACTATGGCTTTGAAGCAGTCTACGAGCTCACGAAAATGTGCACCATAAGAATAAGTTTTGTCAAAGGTTGGGGGACGGAGTACCACAGACAGGATGTAACCAGCACCCCCTGTTGGTTGGAGGTGCACTTACATGGCCCCCTGCAATGGCTAGACAAGGTTCTAACTCAAATGGGGTCGCCACACAACGCCATAAGTTCGGTCTCATAAAAATTTGTATTGTATTTATGTTTAGTGTGTATATTTTGTAATTAATAAAGTTTTGTGGTTGGTAATCCTGTTTTACTCACTTACCTCTTCAGTAATTTAATTAATCTTCTAGTTAATTGCGGTAAGGCTCAGGTAAAATGATAAACTTATGTTTCAAATATAAATGTATTTCATCTACATAGAAAATGTGATTTAATATAGTTGGCTTATGTAAATATTTGTTAAAATGCAATGACAAATTATAAGGGAAGCAGAAAATCTGTTTTTGTGTGTATAAATAAGTACACTGACTATCTAATACTAAGCTATGTAATTACATATCGGTATGATGAAATAAGGGGACATTCCACTATCTATTTTTCTGTGCAATGTCCCCTTAAATATATGTTAATACAATTGTTAGAAAATACATAAAAATTAAAAAATATAATAATATAAATATGGAATAATTCTATATAAAAACACATTTTATAAAAATCGTTAAAATGTGTTTTTCAAATGATGACAATACTGCTAAATTACTTAAATATGATTGTTTTAAACTAAATATCACAAACTACATGGATAAATAAATTAAATGTTACAATATTGCTCCTAATTTATTTTATTATTTTGGCGCTACTAACTAAATCTAATGGCTAAGTGCTCAAAATCGTCGAGATAAAATTAAATAAAATATTATTGTGCATATAAATACGGTTAGAATTTTTTTCCTGGTTAAGTATTTAAATTTCCTGCAATTTTTTGGCATTTTTGGCCAACTAACCCAAAATCAAACACAGCCTTTCTCTATACTTTTAAAACGCAAGTCATACGAACTAACATCACCCTGTACATTTAGAGAGAATCAATACTGCATTTTTTACCTAACAATAATTATGCATATCTACTTAATATAATTTTGCAAGTTAAACTTTTAATTCGATTAATAAATTAACGATTATTTATAATGTAATAAAATTCTTTGGAATTAAACCAAAATGTCAAAAATTTTATAATGCCCAATTCTAGTCAAAGAAAACATTACACTCGAGCTCACACATAAAATTCAACATCCAAATATAATTTCACAAAGCCAAAACACATATTTACATTCACATTTAATTTAATTAATTAAGAAAGCTACACCAAAAGTCAGTCTGCATTTTTGTCGCCTACATATAAAACATACATTATGTACATTATTTTACACACAATCGCTCGAGCGTAATGTATTCCTTAAAAACTTAAAAATACTTGGTCCTATATCAATAATTAAAAAGTACACGACACACTGCAAAATTGCCAACTTTACAAACATGAATTTCGAAAACGAAGGTTAGCTCCAGGAACAGTCTTTTTGATGCTTTCTTTGTATAAAAAATATAGTCTAACCTTCTATTTAATGTGCCGCATGTTTTACAATTATTCAGGGCCGTAGAATAAACGCAAAAATTTTATTCTAAAGCCCTTTAACTATAATTAAAAAAAACAAGCAATAAATAGTGCCAAAATTATGAAAACCCTGTATATTTTTTGTTGTTGTCGAAACAATACGTTAAATTAAATAATAATATTATGAGAACAAACAGCTTTATTTGAGTATAACAAAATCGGTGGGGTTTTTGAAGTAACTTTAAAGTGTGATGTTTCTTGGGGTTGTTTGCGTAATTGTGATGTAATATTATACAGGGTGTCTCCAAATTGGCGCCCCAAAGAATGCTCTGAAAATACCAAAATTGATGGAGTTATTTAACCAATTTATATTGAATTGTAATCTGGGTTGCCTACGTACAATCTTTAAAATAAATTCGTCTTTACCATTTTGGGACACCCTGCATAATTGGGTGTGATTAAGAACAGTACAAGTCCAAGATTTTTATTTTTTAAATCAATTTAAAAGTTTAAAATGCATTTTTGTGAGAAAATAAAATCATTTTATAAAATATGATTATTATAAAGTAGTTCAAATATTCTCTCAAAAATGCATTTTAAACTTTAAAACTGATTTTATAAAATAATTTGTCATAATTTTGGACTTGTACTGTTCTTATGACATATCATCAAAAGAAGTTTAGTTTTTTAAGCTAAGTTGGCATTCTAAAAATAGTTGTAGCTTAGATTTTATATTCCAAGGATTATTTGACATCTAAGCAACAAAAAATACTAATGAAGTTTTAGCGAAAGATTTGATTTATATATTATAATAATTCATTTTTTACTTACAACCAACATAACCTCAAACGTTTATTACAAATGGCAGTGATTCGGTACTGCCAACATTTAATTTGACAGGTGACAATAAAAAACCCCAAATTCATGTGTTACTTGATAAACCCGACCAAAATAAACTAAGCAACAAAAAGTGGATACCACCGCAAATTTTTACCGTTTTTTAAATGGTCATAAGATGTTCGTTTCGTAATGGATTTTAATGCGGTTTTCAGCATTTTGTAGCCTGATTTTTCCACTTTCACTTAACGCTATTTATGTGAGATAAAAATGTTTACTGTTTAATGTACAGGGGAAATGATAAGAGCTTGACAAAAAAGTCATTTTCTCGTGATTTTCTCTGTCAACCAGGAAATATTTTTACATTAAATCGATATCGGAAATATTAGGCAACAAAATACTGAAAACCAAAAAAAAATCATTGATAACTAAAGATAAAATGACGATTTTAAAAAAGGTACAATTTTAGGGTGGTATTTTTTTGCTCACTTCAATCTTCTTCTAATTTGCCGGTGCAAGTCTGTTTCCCGAAGTTCCATCCGACGTGTGGACGACGTAGTGCGTTAATCTTGTGGGTAGGCAACCGGCATTCAGCTGATAGAACTCTACCAGCTGCAATAGGTCGTAGAACTTCGTAACGCCGCTGTCCAAGGAGTATACGTGTGCCTCCCTCACTGGGTCTATGAGAGGCGAAATGGGCACGTGCAGGATTTTACCGAGAGCCTTGCAGGTGAGCACGAAGGCTCCAGGACTGGAACGGCTCTCGCGCACGAGGAACACCCTGAAAATGGAAGAGAAGGTTAGTAATGGGGTAGTTAAATTTTTTCTGACCTACACTTTTTATGGTTTTATTCAAGGCGTTTTGTAATTTTAAACATTTCTGTGAAATCAGAATTTCAATTGAGTTTACCGTTTTCGAGATATTTACAAAAAAAAATCTCCTAATTACGTCACTAGGCTATTGACAACGTTGCCAGCTTTTACTATGGTTGCCAGTGTGTTTAGTTTAAGATTCTTACGATAGTTGGCGCCACGTTATAATATTTTAGTTTTAAAACCACTTGATCTATAATTTTAGTTGAGAAGAAGAAGAAGAATTGATTTTTTGACATTTCTTTTTTTCGGGTTATGTTTTTTTAAAATTTAGATTATTGAAAATCAATGTTATTGTTATGTTATTTGTAATTGATATTAGATAAGTGATTTATTAATAACGGACTCCAAAGCAGAGGAATCTTGTGGAATGGTTGGTTACATTGAACATTGGAGCTTTTAAACAAATAAATTATGTACTTATAATTATAATCATATTTTGTCGTAAATGCATTTCATTAGTATAATTCCTAGTTCTTTATATTCTTTTAGATATATCTTGGACTCTAAAATATATGATACCTCGTAATAAGGAAGATAGGTACTTAATGAATTTGGTGACCATCTTTCACTCAACTGACAGTGACAGTATTTGTACATAACCTCTTCGGGTATTTTCTGACATAACCGAATGAAATCATTAACAAGACAACTTGACAACAGGGTAATTTTCAACCAATAGAAATCGTAGAATGTTGGTCACATGGCGAGGTTTGTGACGTCATAAAAATTTATATTTTTTGTAAATATCTCGAAAACGGTAAACTCAATTGAAATTCCGATTTCACAGAAATGTTTAAAATTACAAAACGCCTTGAATAAAACCATAAAAAGTATAGGTCAGAAAAAATTTAACTACCCCATTAACCGATTTTTGACGCGCAGTTAAGGTTTATTATTGCATTACCATGGCAACGATATGGTTGCCAAGGATTTGTTTACCGTTGCTAGGGACGCTATTTTCTGTGCTATCGCGCGAAGAAATGTGCTCAGGAAATTATAAGACCCAATATATAGTAAAAATTGATTATTTAGTTTATTTTTTATGGAAACCTCATAAATATTATTTTCTTTGAAAACTAACTTTATTAAATTTCACGAAATGATCTTGTTTAACAATTCTCATCGGAAACGATCAAACTCCAGCCCACTCTGACGTATAAACGTAACAAACGTGCAATTAGGTTTTTTGTACGTTTTGCCCACAATGTAACAAACGACGAACAGTTGAACAGTCCGCAACAGCCGCTTAGTAACAAACTCGATCGTACGGTAGGTCAGGTAATTACAATGGCGGTAAGGTCACGGTTTGTGTGCTGCGGAGTGCCAAACTAAAAATTATTATGCCATCACGTCGCGATCCGGTCGGCAGCCTTATGGTAAGCTGGTGCAAGAGGGCGCAGCTTTAATGTAGGTAAAGGGTGGTCCAAAAAAAGTTTTAAATTTAAAAAATATGGCCGTTAATAGTTATTATTTACAGACGTCTACGTCTCATCTGCGGAACTTCCGCATCGTCATAACTGTACCTACATCCGCATCCGCAACCTTAATGCGGATTTATTTGCCACTCATTAATATGAATAGAAGAGATTATTAAGTCACTGGTTGTAAATTTAAAAACATCTGCATCCGCATCAGCATCTGCAGATGTCGACCTTATGTAATATTTTTAGACAGTTTTTGGTTATTTTAGAAATTAAAAAGCAGTTTGGGATATTTTTAGACAGTTTTAAATGTCTGGTCATTTGGGATGTTTTAAAACAGTTTTTATTATAACATCCAACTTTTATAATATAATTGAGGGCAACATTCTTTTTGGAACACCCTGTATATGTCAAAAATTATATTCTTCCGCATCCGCAATCTTTAATAAGGATTTATTTGCCACTAAATTCAAAAACATCTGCATCCACATCAGCATCTGCAGATGTCGACTTTATATAATATTTTAGACAGTTTTTGGTCATAATAGACATTTGAAATGCAGTTTGGAAAATTTTTGGACAGTTCTAAATGTCTGGTCATTTGTCGTCATAACTGTTCCTACATCCGCATCCGCAACCTTAATGCGGATTTATTATTATTAGAAGAGATTATTAAGTTCACTGGCTGTAAATTCAAAAACATCTGCATCCGCATCAGCATCTGCAGATGTCGACTTTCTATAATATTTTTAGCCAGTTTTTGGTCATTTCAGACATTTAAAATTCAGTTTGGGATATTTTTAAACAGTTCTAAATGTCTGGTCTTCCGAGATGTTTTAAAACAGTTTTTATTATAACATCCAACTTTTATAGTATAATTGAGGGCAGCATTATTTTTGGAACACCCTTTATATGTCGCAAATTATATTCTTAAAACATTTCTTATAAAACCTTTATGAATAATTCAAGCTACAGTTGCAGTTTCCGAAGATGCATATCTCGACATAAAAATCATGTACACCTTGATTTCCTTAGCCGCCTACTCACCAGCACGAATAACAAAAGAACAAACCCGTAACGGTACTAACGTAAACGAAAATTTCGTAAAAGATGGAGAGTTATTATCATTATTATTATTATGACAACTTTAACGTTCAGTTGTAAAATTAATATTAAACAATTTTATTGACGTTCAGTTTGTTAAGATTTAACGGCTTCGTCAAGGTTTACTGTTAACTTACTCTTTAATGCTTTTTCTGTTAAAAGGTAAATTATACATGTTTATAAAATAAACTGCACATATTTTCTACATGGCCTTACAGATACTTATTAATAATATGCTTCGTTGGAATAAAAAATATTTTTAAGTGTCAGTTAATTACACTTTAATAAAAAAAATGTGGTAGCCACTCATCCAAGTATGGACATCATAAAAAACTAAAATAACAAAAAATTCTATTCAAGTTTTTATTACAACGAACAAATTTAACATCTATTATAATAATTAGTGGCACTATCACGAATTTTTTCTCTACATCTTTTACAAAAAATCACGCTATGGTACAGTGGTATAAGAGTACGCGGAGGTTAATAATATATTTGCAGCAAAAAAATAAATTTATTGTTAAAATAAAAAATCATTACCAATACGGCACTGCATTAAGCGACAAATTGAAGCCCACATAAAAATGACATTGTAACGTTAAATAAATCAAGACACTTTGACTTTGTTAAATAAGTCATGTGTTGCATGTATAGTATGCATGCTACACTTTTAATTTTTTCATAATCTTTGCATAGTATCTCTACACGTGTATCAATGTTTAAATATGTAAATCCAATGTACATATATTTATAGATGCATTTTTTCTTTACGCAATTTTTTTTAAATTATTTTTTCTAAAAAAGGCAAACAAATAATTGAGGTCAAAATTGCCATTTTGAAAGTCGGTAAAACAGATCCCTAACACTAATTTTGGTTAGTCTATTTTCGTATAAATGTACAAATATTTAAATTTTTGAATATTTTTAAATATTTGTTGTTTATTAAACCTGATACATAATATAAAATATTATGTAAAATTAAATGATATCATTCTGACATAAAAAGTGACTTTCATTTATTTGATGTCAAAAAATGATTTAACTGCTATATAATATTAATATCACGCCATCATATAATCCTCGTAATTTTTCTACGTACATTTGATTTCACAATAACTTAAGTAAGTGAATTTTTCTCGTAAAACGTAACATTTATGGTTTTATTTATTATTTAGTTACAATTGGACGTCCTTACAACATCAGCGTGATGTCAAATTGAAATCATTTTTGTTACGTCACATCTTGCTGACGACAAATTTACATCTTTGATTAAAACAATAATTTAATTAATAGGATATTAAAGAACTAATGTCATAAGACGTCATTTTGTCGCACGCGGACAATTTATATGGACGAGTGCGACAAAAGGTCTTATGACATGAGTTCTTTATGGTATTTTAAATATTTTGCAAAAATTCTATATAAAAAATTAATTTTATACCTTAAATTTAATTTGGTCGAATTTTACTTTAGATAGTTGGTAACACAGTCATTGGTTTGACAGTTAATGTCAAAATCGATTCGCCATGCCGTCCTTAATTTACTTATTTACAATGAACGGCTGTTAATGTTAAAAAAGAAAAAAAGGATTTTCTTTGGTGTTAAACAAAATTTATTGTCAGAAAAGTCTTGTAAGTACTAGAAAAATCATAAAAATATTATAACCTTATGCAAAATATTATGCTTTAAGTATAGCCAAGCTATAAAAAAAATTTTGGTATCTCATTACAGCACCGAAAGCGGTGTTATAATGAAGTCATTATGAACGCAAAATAGGTAAAATAATTTAAAATTGCTCCAATTAAATAATTATAACGAAATTACGTTTAAAAAAATATTAAGAAACATATTAAATTACATGGAATTTTTCATCAAAAAACTAAATACGTAGGCACCTAGTAATTAGATTTTTTAATATTCATAATGCATTTTTGTAACTTAATAAGTGTATTAAATATAAATAATATAATAATTAATATTTATAGATATTTTTTTTAAACTTAATAATTATAATTATAGATAATTGAATGGTGGTTTAATTAAATATTTTTTATATAGGTACACTGAATCCTTGGCTAAATCATTTATGCATAATTAATATCATTTAATTGCAAAAATGTTTAAAAAGTAAGTTATTCATTCTATTATAATATTAATAAAGTATATAATTGAGGTATAACAAAAAATCTTAGTTTTGAACGTTTTGGGTAATTAATTATTGTAATTTTTAAATTTTCTCCATTTTTTTCTTAATTCCTTAAATATCTACTACCTGTAAAGGTTATTAAAGTAATTTTTTTCTTCTAGGGGTAACTTTTTAAGCATACATTTTTGCAATAATATTACACAAACATATTATGTTTGTGTAATATTCACTTGTGAGTGGTAACATTTCGTGACGCGTGAAAGTTAATTAACCAAATAAAGACTGTTTTTAAATCAAAAGTTGTAACATATTTTCCCAAAATAAGAACTCAAAACATATGTTTGTTGGTTTCCCTATATTCACCCTCGAGGCAAATTATATCGCACAGTAAAATTCTTATTGAAAGACAATAAAATTTTAATTGAAATTTGTAATTAACCGTAAAGTTGTTAAGTTATTTTTACTTCATTGAAAAAGTTGGTCAAAGACTCTTAACCTCATTTCGAAAGCGATTTACTTTTGACATTTCGCATTATGTAAATATAAAACATAATTTTATTAAAACTTCAGCCTCGACTTGTGCACAGTTGCACTAAGGCGCGGGTGGGGGGTACAAAGAGGAAATTGCAGTGATGATAAAAAAGGAAATTTGCAAGATATTTTATCGTCATAAAAATAAATTAGGTTTGCAATTTAATCAAGTCAAAAGCGGATGCTAGAAAATCTGTCTAAAATAAAACTTCTTTGTAATTAAATTAATTGCAACATAAATTGGCCTGGACTAATTAACTCCCAGTTACTTCCCTTCCTTTCCAAGAGATACATACGGAAAAATATTACTTTACAATTTGACTTAATTTCATTGTAATATCGTTTTTTACATTCATTATTTGCTTGAATGGTTTTTCCCCTTTTTGAGTCAATTACACTGGTCAAAATTAAATTTTTTGTTTGCCATAACAACTTTTTAGGGTAATTTGGTTGCGCTAATTCTATATATAAACAGGGTGGCTCAAAAGTTTGGAATATTGAAAATTTAAAAAAATGATTTCAATTTTTTTTAAGAGAAGTATTTTATTTTAGATTTTAAAGAGAATTTTTTATGTTTAAACGTTTTTTATAAGAAAACACTTTTAGTTAAATGCAAAACAGATACGTAATATCTCTAAAAATGAAATAGTCAAAATTCTACTATTTGAATTAGTACCAGCATCTTTTACTAATAAAATAGTCGTTTTCACTTTTAAATAGTTATTTCTTTGGCTATTTCTAAAAAACACAATTATTTTTGTAATTTTACTTTTAAGTTAATTAAAATTATTGTTAAAACAACAAATTAATATATGTTATAAGGACAAATTATTAGTGTAAAATCAACAAAAATTTAAATGTTAAAGTAACACTTCTTTTGTGTAATAAAATATCATAATTTTTAAACATTTTATGTTAAAGTAACAAATTAATATATGTAAAAAGGACATATAATTAGTGTAAAAGTAACAAAATGTTGAAGAAACACTTTTTTGTGTAAATAAATGTAACATTTTTAATTATGTCAAAATTATATACACTGAAAGAAATATATACTAAAGTTAAATAAAAAAATAATTAGGGCAAATAAATTTTATGTTTCATATATGGACTACCACATACATTGCTAAAACAAATATATTCGTTTGGTTAGCAGCCTATTGCTGCCCTAGCAATATAAATGTGTTTTTAGCAATATTTTTTTGCTGTAATTCACTTATAGTTTACATTTTATAGTAAGGGTAAGTTTATTTTTATTTAGATCTAACATATCTTCTTTACAATAAATGTATTACAAAATTTAACATACAATAAACAGTAGTATAAATGTGTAAAGCACTAGTATAAAATTTTTAGTATAAATTTGTATTTACTTTTAGCAACAAATTTCTTTCAGTGTAGATTTAAAATCAAATTAACTATGTTAAAACAACAATTTTATTTTAATAAAAATATCATAAACCTGTTTGTTAAATTAACTTTGTAGTTATGTTAAAAAGAAAAGTTATATTCACTTTTTTTACATATTATGTTGTGTAATCAATTAACATAAGTGAAATAAGTCAATTCAACTAAAAAATTTTGAGTGGACTTTCTGGGACACAAGAAATATGTTAAAAATACATAAAAATTTTCAACCGTGTAGGAAATGTGAGAAATTTTAGTTGTTTGTGTGTGTGTGTGTGTGTGAGTGTGTATGCGTGTGTGTGTGTGTAAGAGAAAGAGAGAGAGAAAAAGAGACAGGGATAATTTCACCTGAAATAAATTTATATCCTTGGCATAAAACAGAAGCAAATTTGCTTTCGGCACGCGCCTAAAGAGCGGCATGCTTTCAGCGTGCCACGCCTTTTGTAGGCTTTAGTAGAATATTCGCTACTCTACCGTACTCATAATTGTTTATTTGATTTACTTTTGGTAGAAATAAACCATTTGGTAACAATTTATTTCACAAAAATGTACATTACCCGATAAACGCCACCAAAGAAGTTTCTCTTCAATAATGAGAAAAAAAGAATGGATACTTAAAATTTTTTTAAATTTGCCAAAGAATTCATCATGTCTTCTTACCCGTCAGAGCCGTGTCTGTTGACCAACTCGCTGGCCTGGTCGCGGCTCATGCCGCTGTGGAACCACGGCTGCAGCATGTGGATGCCGTTCTCCAACGCGTGGGCGCTGTTGCCGTTCTGCATCCGCACCGCCGGCCTCCAGCGTTTCTTCCACGAGTAGCCCTCGGCCACGGCGATGGCGCGGGCCTCCTGCGGGTCGTCCACTATCCTGCCCACCGGCCCGGTGAAGTCCATGGCCACGCGGGATCTCACCGACTCCTGAAACAAAAAATTTAATAATTATTAAAAAAAAATACCCAATTATTTCCGAAAATCGCCCAATTTGCGATAAAGCGCCCAATATGGCATCACTGCATCGCAGCGAGGTCACAGGCGGTCACGTGGAAGTAGGGGGGTGGAGTCTCATAATACAGTAGCGAAGTTGGGATTTTTTTTTGCTGAATGTTCCAGTTTTATGTCATTTTAAGTATTTCGTCATTTTTTGTAGTCATTTTTTAATCATTGTGTAGTCATTTTTACTTATCGTTTTTTTTCCTTGTTGATAATATTCATTTCTTAAAGATATTTTTTTATTTGTAGATATTTTTTTATTTGGAGAATGGTTTATTTCGTTATTTTACCCACATAATAACCTTTTTGATCTACTAAGAGAGTAACGTAATAAAATCAATACAAATACCACAAATTTACGTAAAAATAACGCTATAATTACTAACTGTTTAATCTCTCTTTCTAAAACAGTGACATTCGTAATTTCTTTGTTCTTTTAACTTGTATTTTACAAAATGGTACTTACAAAGCAGAGTTGCGAGATTTGTACTTAAAAAGTATTGCCATTAGAAAATTGAGAATGGAGAAAATAAAAATTATCAATACATTGTATTTTTTACTCTAAATTGATTTAAAGTAAAAATACAAAAATAATTGTACTTATTAATTTGAATAAATAATATTTTTTAGTACAAGTCAAAGTAAAAAATTGATTGTACTTAAAATATAAATGAAAATACAAGTACCAAGAATACATCGTCCTTCAAGTCATTGTATATTGTAAATAATTTTAATCAGAATCTAAAACTATCTTTATGCATATATTTAATATAATTGATAAACCTTTTTACAAATATTTTAATTATTGACATGTAAGTATTAAATATTTGTTATCAACCATTGTATTGTTACTTTAAACTATTAATTTTATCATTATCATGTTAACATAACCTTATAATAATTTTACATATTTTTGTAGTTTGCCTGAAGATGATCTAATATAGATCGAAACTAGTCGCAATAAAAACATAAACAAGCACGGTATCCTTATTCACCATTCTAATCAAATCAAAAAAAAAAATACAATGTATTCTGTTCTTTATTATTTTTTAATTACAAAATAAAAAAATATTTAGAATCAGTAAACATTTTAAGTTAAAATAAAAAGTACTTGATATTTTCTCTGATTATAATTACAAAATAAAAAAAAATTGTAATTATCAAATTTGTAAAGTAAAAATAAAAAGTACTCAATATTTTTCTCTCATTACAATTATAAAATCAAGTAATAATTAGTAATGATAGCATAATCCATTTAAAAAAATACTCAGTACTCCCAACTCTGTTACAAAGTAATAAAGTCCACACTAGATTAAAATTAAAAAATATAACTTAAATTGTCAAAACTAATAATATTTTGCATTAAAACTCAAACGCACATTATTTTATTGATTTTTTAATTATTTATTATTTTTAATAATTTTTTAATAACTAAAACTTTCCTAATGGATGCCATCTTAAAACACTCATTATGGCGACCTGAAAAAAAATTTCCCTTAAAGTTTTATTTTTCACTTTAAGCTTATTTTTCCGTGTTTAGTCAATATTAATAGTATTTATTACCACTAATAACCCTAAAAAATACCAGGCGAATAGAAATTATTTACGTGGTTATAAATTATGACTTATGAGTAACATTTACCATTAAGTAAAAATTCTGACGTTAAAATTATCGTTAAATTTTTCTTTAGGTGAAATACACTTAAAAGTAATTTTCTTTCGTAAAAATTACGTCCCTCATAATACGTGTTGGAACTTAAGGGTTATTAAAATAGGTAAAAATAACATAAATAAAACTTATTAAATAAGTTTTACTTCAAAGTAAATTTTGAAGGTTAATTTAACAAAATATTTACCTGAATTAAGTAATATTGCCTCAAAGCTCTACGCTTTTACTTAAAATGCTGCTTGGGTCTTGAAATTAATTATTAATAAACTAAATATTTAACAGGTAAGGTACTTATAAGTTAAAAAGTAGGTTATTTTAGAAGTTACAAAACGTTATATTAACTTCTAATTTTAACCTTTGAAAATGGTTAAGACCAGTCATTTTTTTAGACATATTTAGGTTTAGTTTAACTTTTGATATTACTTTTTGGTAAATTAACCACAGCTTTGGTTAATTTGGGTATATTTTTTCAACCAACAAGTTATATTTCACCAAATATATTTTAACTCGTTAATAAATTAACTTTAATTAATAAACTGGTTAAAAAAGTGATGGTTTTGCAGTTTTCATTGTTATCTATATAAAGCTTAATATATAAACCTATTGGTTGTAAGTTTTGTGTGATAATGGAGCCTAAAAGAAATAATTTAAAAAAATATAAACTTTCTTTAAATTAGTATAGAAGAGTTAACAAAGTTGTAAATCATTATTTATCAACAAATCATAAAACAGTCCCCTTTTATTTAATTAATTTGGTATATAAGGTATATTTAATTAATTTGGTATAAGTTACAGAAACCAAGAAGTATAATCTTATTATGAAGTTATTTATATAAAATGATTTTTTATGATCATCATAGCTATTTTTTTCAATAAGATAAGAATAAATAATAAAATAAGTAAAATATATTAATTTTACTCTATGGTAAACTTTATTACTTACTTTGGAAAATTAAAGAGATAGAACATACATGAAGTAATTTTTACGTAAAAATAACGTATTAAACAATTATTCGTATTTGTTACGTAATTTTACCTTTTTCGTTTACCGTAAAAAGGAACGTATAAGTAAACAAAGCAAAATAATTCTCATTGAACCTTTCTGTTTGAAACCCACTAGAATACCCTGCAAATTACATAGTCCAAACTAGATTACCAAAAGCCAACTCTACAGCAAAACACATACATAATACATAAACAAAATTAATTATCTTAAAGCTCGCGGTGGTATCTTCATTCCACTAGCAAGCATGGCCGCCTAGCGAGTGCAGAGTCAGTTTTTCGCGTAATTAAATCCAACCGAATTCAATTAAGCTCAACTACTTCAAACATTTGATATCCGCTGTCTACTAAGTGAAGGGAGTAAAAAACTTGCATCACTTTAGTTTATCTGCGAGCATTTCCCCAAAGAAATACTACATTTGGTTGGATGGGATATAATTTTATTTTAATAAAATATGACTGCAAGCAGGATATGAGAAATTGTCTGCAGTGCTGCAACATTTCTAGGGTTCTTCTTTCAGTCAAATATGCATGTGCTTTTGATTTGTGCCATTTATCAACGTGGTGCAATTTGATTTAGGTATACAGGGATTTCAATCATAGTAAAGAATTTTAGAAAAAAACACAGTAGGATGGATTTAGAAAATTGTAGGAAAAATTCGCACAGTGGGATGAATTTAAAAATGGTAGGACAAATTCGCACAGTGGCTCAAAATAAAAAAAATTGTGGGGAAAATTCCAAAATTTGTAAAATTTCAGACATTTTTAGATTTCCAAAACAATTTAAAACTTTAAAAAGTTTTAAATATATTCATAATTTCAATTATTTAAAAAAATAAGAATAAAAAAACAGTGCATTTTCAACTTGCCATCTGTGTGTCGTATCCAAAGTACAAATAACTGTATTATAACAAATTACAAACACAGTGGGTTAAATTTAAAAATGGGAGGACAAATTCGCACAGTAGCTCAAAATAAAAAAAATTGTGGGGAAATTTCAAAATTTAAAAATTTTTAGATATTTTTAGATTTTCAAAAAAATTTAAAACTACAGAAAACTTCAGAATTTCAAATAGTTTTTATAAAGTTTTAAAAATATTAAGTACAAATTACAGTAGTATAACAAATTACAAACACAGTAGGATGAATTAAGAAAATGGTAGGAAAAATTCGCACAGTGAGATAAATTTAAAAATGGTAGGAGAAATTCGCAGTGGTTTTTTTTTAGATTTTCAAAATAATTTAAAATTTTTAGAAAGTTTTAAAAATATTCAAAATTAATTTTTTTTTTAAATTAAGAGTAAAAAAAAACAGTGCATTTTCAACTTGCCATTTAGTGCGTCGATCCAAAGTACAAATAACTGTATTATAACAAATTACAAACACAGTGGGTTAAATTTAAAAATGGTAGGACAAATTCGCACAGTGGCTCAAAATAAAAAAAATTAACAGAAAAATTCAAGATTTTAAAAATTTGCAAAATTTTAGGAATTTTAGATTTTCAAAAAAAATTTAAATTACAGAAAATTTCAGAGTTTCAAGATTTTAGAAAGTTTTAAAATATTCAAAATTTAATTTTTTTTTTAAATTAAGTGTAAAAACAGGGCATTTTCAGTACAAATTACAGTATTATAACAAATTACCAACACAGTAGGACAAATTCGAACAGTGGCTCAAAATAAAAAAAAATGTGGGGAAAATTCAAGATTTTCAAAATTTCAAATATTTGCAAAATTTCAGAAATTTTTAAATTTTCAAAAAAATTTAAAATAAAGTTTTTAGAAAGTTTTAAAAATATTAACAATTTAATTTTTTTAAAAATTAAGAGTAAAAAAACACTGCATTTTTTACTTGCCATCTAGTGCGTCATATCCAAAATACAAATTACAGTATTTTAACAAATTACAAACACAGTTTGATGGATTTAGAAAATGGTAGGAAAAATTCGCTAAGTGGGGTAAATTTTAAAATGTTAGGACAAATTCGCACAGTGGTTCAAAATCAAAAAAATGTTGGGAAAATTCAAGATTTTCAAATTTCCAAAATTACCAAAATTTCAACAAAAAAATTAAATTAAAAAACTTTTAAATTTTCCAAAACTGATTTTTTTTCCAAATTTCAAGAAATTTTAAAATTTAAGTTTTAAAAATTGTTCAAATTTAAAAAATTTGCAAAATTTCAGATATATAAAAAAAATTCAAAATTTAAAAAAAAATTGGTTGAGAGGGTGCAA